ACGTTGATTAAGCATCATGAGGTGGAGCGTGAGGGGTGGTTCCCTATTTTTATTTATTTATTTTTGTTGTTGCTGGGAGTTGGAACCCTATTAGTTAGGTTGCTTAATATTTACGCTCAGTACTCTTTAAAATACCAGAATAGGGAGGATGGTGTAGGTCTAAGTTTATTAGATTGATCAGTATTGCTGAACTATGAAATATTTTTTTTGCATACAGGTATAACAGAATAGCTTTAGTGTAGTTGTTGTTTTAAACTTGAGTATGAACTTGCAGACTTGCAAAATGCAGCAAGATATTTTAAAAAACAGTTTTGTTGATTAAAAAACACTATATCGGATTCATATCGGTATCGGCAGATATCCAAATTTATGATATCGGTATCGGTATCGGACATAAAAAAGTGGTATCGTGCCATCTCTAGTTAGAGGATCACATGAAGTGTGAATTAGCTGATGCAGAGATAAAACGTCTTCTGCTAGTTTCCAGATTTTCCACTTTCATGCCACCAGAAGCTACAAGCTAACATATATTTTGTCAACCCTGTAATGCCAAGTGTATCATGAATTCTTGTGAGTTGTTGAGGCTGAAATGCTGAATATAGCAAATATGATACAAAATAAAACTTTATAAATAATAATAAGTAAATAATCCAACATGTATTGAATAGATAAGGAAGTAGAAACATGTAATTATACAGCAGATTTTAAATCAAAGTGTGTAAAGTTAAAAATAAAAGTACATTTAAAAAAGTTCTTAAAAAGCTTAGACCTCAGGATGGTCGAGTGATTGGGAAGCGACGATCTTGAGGGAGTTTATGGCTAGAGGTTATCTACCACATGCACGTGAAAAACATTTAAAGGCTTTAAATTCAAACTGTACCAGTTTACACTGGATTCTGTCATACCCAGGGAACCAGTGCAAGGCTGCTGTATTGTCCTTTTTGGTAATCAGTTATTGGACTAATTGTATATGTAGGAAATGACTGACTGACTCCAATATACAGTGCATTCACATCAGACATTTCTAGATGTAAAAAAGCATGAATAACCTTTTGCAGATCAGAAGGTTTTAAAAGAGAATTTAGTCTGGATGTTGTTCTGAGCTTTAAGAAGAAGCCCACTGAATCTCACTCACAACGCTTCTTGATTCTCAGGCGTTTTCTTCAGCTTCAACTTGAGGATGAATATCTCGGCAGCTGTTATTCGTCCTTTCTCGTCTCATTGAGCCGTATCACAAGGTCACGTCTCTGCTTTAGGACCAGATACAATGAAAGACCTATGTTATTCCTGCCATCTTCAGATGTACTACATTAGCATGCTAACATCCCCAAATTAAACAATAAGCATGCTAATGCTTGTTCTTCCTTGGCTTTAAGCACAAGCTAGAAGTATGGCTGCAGAGGCTCAACCCAATCCAGGATTTCTGGGACAGATACCCATTTTTGGCAAGTAAAAGATCTCATATGGAAGCTTGTTTCCACCACTGAAAAACGAAAAAGTGGGGGTTTATCTCAAAATTGTAAAATCAGTAACTCAAAATACGTCAGAATTTTAAAGTATTCTCCCAATATCTAATTATTTACTGCGATTTTTACATTAGTAAGTTGAAATTTTGACTTATGGATAGTAAAGCTTTTTACTATTTACCATTTTTATTTAATTATTTATTTTCCCAGTGACAGAAACAAGCTTCCATACATTCTTGATATATCTGAGCCAACTTTGACTTTTCATCACTAGCTGCTTAGCTGCATTTGCTCCAAACAGCAGAGTTGTAGCATAGACACTATGTGTCAAGCTGTCCTAAACATATTTTTCTTCATCATATTCACTATAAAACTGCTGCTCTAATGTCTGCACTGATATTGTTATCAGTATCACTGACAGGTTCATATCATCCTAAAATATTTGCCAGCCCATATATGAGCAGTTTTTCTTGTTCCAAGTGAAATCACACATTAAGTTAATAGCTGATAAAAGGCAAATCTGAATTCAACTGCTTGAATCATTTAAATTCTAAGGTATCTTTTATTATTCTCTTTATCAAATCCCCAGCTGACGTCTAAAAGGTGAAGCAGTATCTCTTCACAGGTTACAATGCAGCTGGAGTTCGGCTTAAAATGCCATAATTGCTGATGTCAAGATGTGCCTTTGGCTGCAAATGAAGCTGTGATGAAGTCTGCCGGTTCATTAGTGCTAATTCATGTAAAGTGAAAGGAAGAGGGAAGAGAAGAAAGGACGAGGATGAAAGAGACAGTAATGAGTAAGGACTGAAGGAGACTGGTGTGGGCCTGGGCGGATCTCTCCAAGCCGTCAAATTTGGTTTCCCGACTTAATTCACGCAAGCACAGGCAGAATTTTGTCCTCATTCCACCCCATATACATTAGTATGTCATCTTTGTGGTTGCTTTTATTGTGCACAATATTCTTAGCAGTTTATTTGATCAGGCACTGCAGCGAGACGGAGAATATTCTCTGTGTGTTCAGATACTTTCAGACACATCAGAAGAAATCAAAGCCACTCAGGGTTTCCTTAGCACAGGAAGGATTGGCATTTTCACTCATTTACACTTTTCCTTGTGGACCTCTTATCATAATCAGGACTGCTTTAGCTCAGATGGTGCAGCTATTAGTTGTAGGGTTAGTGGTTTGTTTCCTAGCTCCTCATCATCATCTTCCTGTCTGTCTGTAAGTCTTCAGCTTTTTTTTCCCCGGTTGTTTTTCTGATTAAAAATTCAAAAACTTCAAAGCACAGATCAAAACAACATACGAGGGAGACTAGATAAAAGAGCTAAATTATATAAAAGTGTTGGAGCAAGACACTGCTAAAATCCAACCTGCTGCTCTTTGAGGCTGCACCAACAAACACAAATGTTTTAAACGAAATAATAGTATCAGCGTGTGCAAATGCAAACCATGAAAGAGATGATGTTTGGTCATTTCAGCTTTTTGATTTGGTCTGGTTTTGGTAGGATGTTACCATGGTAATATTTACTGATGGGATTGTAGCACAGAGGGCCAATCATGTGAGAGGGTAATCACGGGCAGCAGGAGAGGAGAGGGCAGGTTGATCACACAGACTGAAATTGTTTCATATTCCTGTAGCTTTGTAGCATCAACCTTCTTTTATTTATATTTTTAAAGTTGTTGTTGTACTTTTTGAGTGCCTTAGGTGTTTTTATTTATTAATATAGTGGCTCTGCTAGAACTTTTATTGTAGGTTTAAGAGCTGCGGAGATGAATAACCGTTAGCTGCTGCAGAAGAATGCAGTGAACTGTATTGATTTTAAATACAGTTCACTGCAAATGATCGGTCCTGCCTTTTAGCAAGTTTATAACACTGCAGAGTTGGTTTGCAGACAGATTGTTTTGGTTAATGTTTGGCTTTCAGTATTGGGTATTTCAGTCTTTTGTAAAACTGATTATAGTTTAGCAATTCTGACTCTGTTTTTAGTGCTGTGGCTGGTTGTGTCCTCTGGTGATGTTCCCTTATGTTCGGTGCTGATATTGTCTGTGCTGCTGCATTTAATTAGTGTCATTTGAAGAGTAATTTGGTTTACATTTCACGAAGACGATAATCCCAGTGCTCCATCACTGGGTAGTTAGCTTCCAGCCTTTAGGATGGTTTTGTTTCTTCTTCTTTTTTCTTAATGCCTTAACAAATGGTGGTTTTGTGGCTGATGACCCACACTGACTGCTGCGACCTTTTCATGGAAGCCCTTATGTCTTGATTCACCTGTGATACAAAAAAGTGCTTATTACTGCCGGTACAAAAGCAAGCTGCCTCGTGACGGTGCTAGAGGTTAAAATAAAGTTGTGCTAATTAAAGCAATATATTCAATAACTGTTGAAACATGTCAGTAAAAAACATAAATGTGGAAGTTTATGTTTAAAATATTTAACAGTACCAACATTACAATTTATGTATGGACAAGAAAGTCACCCATCTGCACATGGACTGCACAAGGGTCCAGATCTGTTGTTGAGAAATCTCTCTCCAGTCCTGAGTGAGTGCATTGATAATTGATGAACGTGTCCCAGGTATGTTGCGCAGGACACATATCGGGACTAAATGGTGGCTGACAAAGTGTCTGGATATGCTCCTGATCCAGAGAGACCTGCACTGCTCTGTCAGCAGGGAGGGCAGCTATTGTTCTGGTGAAACAGCCGCAGGGTGGGTGCTGCTGCAAGAATAGCACAAGTACAGGTTGGAGCACCTGATCTCAGCACCTCTGTGCACTCAGATTTCCACCAAGAATAATCACATCATACATGGTGCTCTCGTGGACATGCAAGGCTGCAGCAGCACCTCAGAAACATCACCATGTGAGCTCCTTTGTGTTCAGTAGACAAATTTATCAAAGGCACTGTTGACTCAAACCAATCAACCTTATCAGAAAACTACAGAAAACTAGATTAAATGATATCCTGAGAAATGACTTTACAGTACAACAAAGATTTGAAAGCTTATTTCACAAAATAACACTTATAACACCTGTATGTACTATAGTGTATATAATCCTGTGTGTATGATTGTTCCCATCTGCGTTATAGATATCTGCATTTCTTAGCAGACTGAGCAATACTGCCATCTCTGTGGCTGTGTCAGGTTATATAAAAGCCGTTGCCATGAAGCTAGGTGGTTTGGTTTGCAGGTGTGCAGATAATTAGTACAAGTCTTGTCGGGAATTTCACGGAAAGATAGAGCTTTGCTAATGTAAGCTCAGCAGCAGCGCTCTGAATGTCAGGCTCAGCTCCTAATTGGGAGGTTGTTAAGCTGCTGTGGAGCTGTCAAATGTCTACCAATTACTTGTGCTTCCACTTGTAATACAGAAAATCATTGTCTTATTTTAATTAATGCTTTTCAAACTGGCCTGAAGACAGGTATATTAACCAGGATCAAACAGGATTTTTTACCTCGAAGCCGTGATGATTTATAAAGTTATTATTGCCAGATGTATGTTAGTGACTTTTCTTTGTGTCTGCTTGACCTTGTCTAGGTCTCCAGGGAGTTCCAGCTTTCCCTCCCCCCAAAATAAAATCAAATAAAAGAAGAAGTTCTGGAGAGACCCTGGGAGCTTTGAATTCATACCTTTCCAGCACTAAAAGAACAAGATGAACACCGCAGGATGATGTAGTTCTTGCTGACGCCCTCCATGCAACGTATTCCCCTGGCTGACATAACTGGATAACTGGTGACCGTGGGATCAATGGAGCAATCTGGGAAGGATCTGAACCTCTCCTTTCTGCTGGAACATGAACGAGAAATGATCCTGAAGGTGCTGCAGAAAGACGAGAAGCTGAGGAAAAGAGAGGAGAAGAGGATTCGGTGAGGACTTCCACGTCACCATTTAAACTCACCGTCATCACGTTTACTTTTCTTAGTGTCCTGTGACATTCTTGTGTTTCTGTCCCGCAGGAGGCTGAAGAATGAGCTGCTGGAGGTCAAACAAAAGGGTTTCATCCGGCCACATGATTTGGGAGCCCGACAGTGCACTCGCTGCCTCAAGACTCTGGGCCTGATCTTCGACCGGGGCGATCTCTGCGAGGAGTGCCAGTCTCGAATCTGCAGCAGCTGCCGTATTGTGAACCCCAGAACACGCGAGTGGAGATGTACCTTCTGTGACAAGCTCACGTAAGTGTGACATCTGAAGGGGGACCAGAGCAGCGTTCAAGCTTTTCTTTGTACTAAAGATGATTAATTGCACCACATCTGCCTCCATTCATCTGTGAGGGTGCCCTGGGGTTTCACTGCTGTGATCTACAGGGCTTAAAAGAGAAAAAAGCACTGCTGGTCTGTGTAGATCTATCATGTTCAAAAGTTAAATGAGCTAACATGTGAGGACTAAACAGATACAACATTATGCAACATCTTTCTCTGACACTTACCTTTTCTTTCTAATCAGGATTGTCCTTAGTTTCTCTTGAACTTACCCTGCACTATTGCCACATTTAGAGTTTTTCTGGCCTCTAAAATTTGCAGGGTTTTTGTTTATTTGTTTGTTTTTAGCTGTAAAGCCTCGTTTTTCAGCTGGTTGTTTTACTGTAGTGTGATTGATCAGGTGCTGTGAGCTCTGTTTGGAACCATAAATCTTCCCATCTCTGCTCTGACAAGCCACTGTCCCTGACTGTCGCACACCTGGACAGTGAAAAAAGCCAGCAACCGTGAGCCGTCACCAGCCTTGGCTCCTGTGTAGTGATATTTTGAATCAGGGATTTTTAAACTGGTACCGTACGTACAACATTTGAAAGGTGCATTTAATGCAAATATCCCCAGTGTCTGTGTGACAAAGCGTCTCGACGCACTAGTATTCGAAACAAATGTAGTCTAATGAGCACTCGAAGGTTTCCAGTAATTCTCCCCGCCTGCTGATTTCCGTGATGGAGGGCTAAATAACAGAAACACCTCCCTGTGCAGTTCATTAGTGTCACAGCAGCTTAATAACTGTGCTTTTAAATAGGCTACGCTCTAAAACAGTTTCAGCAATAACTCAACATTATAACCCTCATGAATAAAGGTGTTATTTTTAACGCTGAACTGAATTAGCTTCGGTGTCAGATAAATAGTGTGACCGAGTGTGTTAGGATATCTTCAAACCTCGTTTCTTTGAACCTTTGGGTGCTCCTGGTGGGCGTAATTGTCCAAAGGCTTTTTAATGCCACTTTTGATTGTATCCTGACATTAAAACCTGCTTTAATCTGCTTTAGCTTTAAGCTCCAAGCTTCCAACTACCTGTGCGTGGTGGCTCCGAGCTAACTAAGCATTCACATTTAAAAAAAGGTTTCTGAGAAATAAAGACGCAGGTTTTCCACTGCTTAGTCTGAATAATTATGCTGAGGCCAGAAGATCATGTCTGCAAGAAGTAAAACTTTTCTCAGCTCACGCCCACACGTGTAGCGAAAAGGTTTACATGCAGAAGATCACAATCCGAACCAGGAGGAAGGAAAAATGGATTTTGCCTACGGGTGCCGGATTAATTTCAGAAGTTAGGAGGGTAAAAGGGAGAGAGAGAAGTAAATGCCCACCACTGTATTCAATAGTTTTTATGCTTTGTGCTGGATCTGTTCTCAATGGTGATTGAAAATGCAAAAAGCGTGACATAAAAGTGTCGAGCTATGATTTACAACTCGTGTTTAGTGTTAGTTAATGAGACTGAGATGCAATCGCTGGCCAGTATTGCAGAGATGTAATATTGCAACAGCAACACTTTCAGAGAAATATATTTTTCTATGTGCAAAGTATTACCAAAGCTAAAATTCAAATGTTTTTCTCATTTTTGCCTGCTTCATTTACCCGGAGTTCTTTGAGTCGCTATTGATGATTAAATTGAGAATTCAGAGACTTAGAAATAATGTGCGACATGGGAGAATAGAGCACTTTCATTCCTTCTTGTTTCCTCTGATTTTACTTTTACTACATGTGCTGTCTTGAGGTGTTGATTCCCCTTTAATGTCTTTGTACGACAGGGAGCTTAAGGTGTCGAGCGGAGAGTGGTTCCTGGAGGAGAGGTCTAAGCGCTTTGAGCGGGGGCAGTTGAGCAGTGAGGTTGTCAAACAGACGATCCTGAGCACCCCGCTGAGTGAGTCCGACTGCTTGTGTTCTTCAAACCAGAATGATTACAGTTGAAAAGACATGTTAACGGTGCAACAGAGAAGCAAATGTGCTGATTTCAATACTCACTGGCTGATGCGTTTGTTCCCGAAGGCCCAGAAGTAAAAAAGGCCGCCCCTTCAAAGCAGGAGAAACCTGAGCCTGCAGTATCCAACAGATTAACTGTACTCAATGGTGCCAGGAGAAAAGGGTAAGCAGATAACACAGAGCTTTAACAGCTGTTTAGCTTCATACAAACACATACTGACCTTAATGAATTAAACAACATGAATGTTTAATGCATGCAGGACATGCAGCACATAGACAGGATAAAATCATCAGAGAGTAAATGTTCAATGTGTTGAGTGTGCACCTCAGTGTGAAAGCATTAGAAAAGATCATATGTATGTATATGTATATATGTATGTGTGTATGTATGTGAAGGCAGCACTGAGAGGCATACAGACAGAAAGCAGAGCAAATGATAAACAATAGACGATAGAGATTTACTTTCAGCATTTCATGGAGTCGCAGTTATTTTATCACTTGATGAAATAACTAGTTTTGTCCAAGCTAACAGACCAGCACCTCCAAGTTGGCTAAAAGTTGGTTCTACTCCATTACATCTTTATTTTCTGTTTTTGCTTAAGAATACAAGCAATAAGTAAAACAAAGTTAATCTGAAATATTTTCAGCATCCAAAGCGCTTAAGAAGCAAAGCTGAAGCAGTTGCCATTTCTGGAACTGCCTTCAGTGTTAAACTCTGGATTAGATGCTGTTATTCAGCTGACCTCTGTGTTTTTTCAGGGGTGGTGCAGAGGGTATGGAGTCCATGGCATCCAAAAACCTACGTCCCCGGTCTCTGGACAGATCGTCCCATCTTGATGCTAATCGGAGGGTCAGGGTCAGCAATCGATGCACACAAACAGCAGCGCACTGGGGAAAGTTGGAAAGTTTTTACATTTGGGGTGGAAAGCGTATTTTAAAGGTTTGCGTGGTTTTGTTTGTTTGTTTGTTTGTTTTTTAATGCAGCCTGAAGGAGCAGAGAGTGACGACCCTGAGGGCGCACCTGAGAAGAAACCTTCTGGCCCGAGCATTTCTGTATCCAGGCCCTCAGTTTCATCAGGTATTTTAATTTTTGTCCCTGCACAACGAGGTGATGTGAATCCTGCCACCGTCTCACAGCTTCATAGCTCTCACACAAGCATTTTGATAATTCACAAGCTATCGAAACAAGTCACACTTTCAAGAACATCACCTTTGAGGGTTGATGCAAAAGCACTCGTCTCCACTTCAACTCAGACTGTAGCTCACAAAAGATAAAATTATTCCTTCCTTTTGGAGAAAATGTCACATCTGCACGAATTAGACTATTAACTTCTACACTCCAAAGTGCCGAACCTCTTCATCTCTTTCAGAGCACTTGCCTATGCTCCTATCTGCTGGCTCTGTAACTTTATCAAGGTTTTTTAAAATGGTTCTGATGAGGGTTTTAGTTCAAACAAAGCTGAATCTCTACTCAAAGCCAGTTGTCAGACCAAAGCAGTAAAAAAATAGTTGTTTTGGTCTTAGTATTTTTCTGTGCCTGATTATATAAGAACTATTCACAGCTTATTTTTCTTTCTGAGACTTTTTTAAGCTGCCTGAGGCTCATTTAAGGCCACAGCTCTAAACAGTGAGAAAGGCAAAAGGGTGTAGTTTGGAAAAGGCTTCACTCTCAGTTCCCAGGCCTGGCAGTTTTTCCAGCATAAAAAGAGAGAGGAAGGACGCAGAAATGAGCTCTTAAAGTTTTTTTTGTGCTGGCACTCAACAGCCGACGGGCTCCTCCAGGAAACTGACTGAAAATATAAAAACTTGATGTGAGATATGAAAAAAGACCCCTCAGCTTTCAGTTTCTACTCTCCAGAATTTAATTTAGAAACATTTCAGGAGATATTTTTGGAAGTCAAAACAAGATCTGGAGAAAAGAAGAAAACATTGAGTGAGCGGAGGGAATGCGCACTTTCTAATTAGAGAGGCTCTGCATAACCCCCTCATATGACTGCAGAGTACCTGCAGGAAGGTTTAGCTGACGCGGGGATTATGGTAAAGTGCTGAAGCACAAACAGGGTCTACACAGCAGAGATATTGGAAGGAAGCTTTACCTGCAATCTAATTAGAAAAGTCAGATGGAAATGACTAAGAGAATCCCAGAAAGTTGACGGTGCTCATCTGGACGAGTGGTAAAACGTTTCTCCTGCTGAAAACGCTGCGCACGATGAACGGAATCAACCTTCTGAGGTCTAACAAATCTGCAAGACGATTTTATGGGATAAGTTCTTTGGGAGCAAGTGGCATGGAGTTCAGATGGAGCTGTTTGGCCGCAATCCAAGGTTTCAAATGTTCAGAGAGAAAAGGGGAGAAGTAAAAGCGCCTTGCTTTAGCTGATGGATCAGGAAGATTGGATTTCCACAAATGTCACTTAACTCTGAAAGCAAATAGCATGCAGCTAAGAAGTGAAACTGAAATAAGCAGCCTTCTACAACAAGACAAGGATCCTAAATGGACCTCTGTCTCTTGCATCTTTCTGAAAATTTTTTTTCAATAAACTGTGTTTTTTAGACCTATTTTAGGAACATGAATTAATTTCACTCCAACCAGTCGCAGCAGATGGCCCCGCCCCTCCCTGAGCCTGGTTCTGCTGGAGGTTTCTTCCTGTTAAAAGGGAGTTTTTCCTTCCCACTGTCTTTAAAGTGCTTGCTCATAGGGGATCACATGATTGTTGGGTTTTTCCTCTGTATGTGTTATTATAAGCGCCTTGAGATGACTGCTGTTGTGATTTGGCGCTAGATAAATAAAACTGAATTGAACTGAATTGAATTTAAAGCAACAAATAGTTGGAAAAGAAATCCTACATCATAACAAGAAGATTTATCTGCTGCAGACGGCACGATTGAGCAAATAGGAAGTTAATAAGTTTCCAAATCTGACCAGAAGTCCGCTGCTGTCTGCCTATATTTCTCAGTGTTTACGTTACAGCACTGCACCTTCAGAACAGTTTTCCTTATTTCTCTTGCCTTCTTCCCTCTCTTCCTTCATCAGATCACAGTCGATCAGAGTGTGACCTGTTATCTCCCGGCTCTGAACCCAGTGACAGTGCCCTCTCTGTCAAAAGCCGCTCAGTCCCCGGCCTCAACGAAACGGTAAGCGCCATCATCCCACCCCCACTCCTCCTTCACACTCATCACACATTTGATTTTTCAAACAAACTCATAAATCTCTGAGTGGGAAATTGCCGCACCTAGATTTTTTTTTCCCTCTGTTGCGCATTTATACATGATGTGGTTACACACTACAGTAAGCTCGGGATCCGTGGGCCGATGAACTCGACACGATGCGTCAGATGTGGGACTGAATGTTAATTTCACTTCAGAGCTCACTTCAAAGAGCATGACAGGCATCTAAACAGATGTAGGCCAAAAGCAGGTGGAGGATGTGATGGTCAGTGTCGGGCTGCTTTGTTTGTTTTTCAGCGAGCAGCAAACAGAAAAACTCTCAAATGTTTTTTTTTTCTTTACCTACTCATCCATTCATGCACTGTTCATTGTAAAAACAACCACAGTGTGGTTTTGCTCGTGAAAATTTAATTACCGCTCTCTGTCCGGTCCTGTCTGATTAAATTTATGGAAGCTGCCTGCATCCACCCACACAGCTGCCGCATGGAAAACTGCACAGAGCACAAAGACGCTCTGGCCGGCTTCTCGCGTGCCATCTCCCGTGTCATCTCCCTTCTGACTGAATCCGCTGTCATCCACAGGAGTTTTCTGACGACGAGGACATCGATGCCCTGATGTCAGCCCACAGCAAGATTACGAGCAGACGCCTCAGCAACGCCGTGTCAACGGTAACACCCGTGCTAGATCACTCACAAAATCAAATAGTAATAGGAGTTCCCATGTGGTCAAACAGGTACACGATTATGCTCCGTATGCACACATACCGTGCGCTCACCGCCAGATGTGTGACTCAGATGTGTGCGTTCTAGTGTTGACTGTGCAAACACAGACTCAGCTGTGTCACGAACACCTCCTGTAATAGGAAAGCTTAACCCTGTTTCCGTAAACTAAGTAGTCGTATGGAGGGAAGGGTCACTGCTTTGAGGCGTGCAAGTGTGTTTATGTAGGTTAATGATGTGCGCTTTGCGGGAAATATGTCATCCATATGTAAATACTGAAAAGTGGAGATGTGTGTTTCAGAGGTGGGACCAAGTCATTGTTTTGCAAGTCTCAAGTAAGTCTCAAGTCTTTATCCTCAAGTCTCAAGTCAAGTCTCAAGTAATGTCAGGCAAGTCAGAGTTGAGTCTCAAGTCACTGGTGTAAAAGTCCGAGTCAAGTCACAAGTCTGAAACTTTGAATTTCAAGTCCTTTCCAGTCTTTAAAAAAAAAAAAAAAAACACGAAAAAATAATGTTGCAGTTATATGCTAAATGTAAATATTAGACCATGTAATTTTAAAATCTGTGTTTTTCTCAACACATGACAAAATAGTGAACTTAGAAAATATACACAAATTGTGAAATTGCACCTCTTTAAAATGCAGCTCAATTAAACCTAGCTCCAAGAATAGTTTTCACCGACAGTTCTGAGATAAGCTGCATGTTATTCTTGGATGCGGTTGTAGGACCAGCTTTAAAATCGCATGACAAAAATATCATACACATTAAAAAAAACTATCACCAACGTAGCCTGGACAACATTTGCTAGTTAGATGAAGTCAGCTATCTCATCTTAGCATATTTATATGCATATTTATAATCATACGGTTCTTGGAGTGATCATGAATCGCATACGATCATGAAGTTTAGTAACTTCAGGTCACTGCAACAAGCCCAGGTACAGTTTACCGACGGATGGGTAGTAGTAGTAGTAGTGGGTAGTAGTGGGATGGGTAGTAGTGGAAATAATTTCTGGTACCCATCACAGAAATGTAGCAGTGACAATAATACTGTATGCTGTAATCGTACTGGGCAATTAGTGATACAAAAAACCTGTTTTATCCTGTGAATAAAAGTATATGTTTTTGTCAATGTACCATAATAACAGAAGCGAAACGCAATATTGTGTCAGGACAATTCACTATTTATGCGCAATACATAAAGGAGCATAGCGCGACAATTTCTGTTCAGCGCCAGACTTGCTTGTAACCTATATCACCAATTATGTTAAGAAAAATGGCGCATTAACTACAACAGCAGACTGACCTTCGTGTAAATGCTTGGAGCAGACTAACCTGTGAGCTGGAGTGTTCTGGGACGTTATATTTGGTCTTTGAATGGCTGCAATCCAGTCGCCTCTTTGTTACTTCGGAAACATGGCTCGAACAATTTCTCTTCAACGACGTAATCCGATAACAACCGATCTCTTTACCCGTCGGCTTCCCGTGGCTGTCATGCGACCGGCTATTGCAGTTAATAATACAACAGCTTCTTGACATTTTTGTGTTTCTTTTTATCGCTGTATAACCGATTTTAATTGAAAGCCTGCGTGCGCTAGTACCGCTTGCCACGAGTTCCCAGAATCCTTTGCGGTTCTACCCGTGAATGACGTCACATTTTCAATCTCTATATAATATGCATGTTAAATTTTATATTCGGGGTAAAATATCAAGTCTTTTCAAGTAAACCGGTTCAAGTCCAATTCAAGTCCCAAGTCATTGGTGTAAAAGTCCAAGTCAAGTCACAAGTCTTAGAACATTTTTTCAAGTCAAGTCTAAAGTCATAAAATTAATGACTCGAGTCTGACTCGAGTCCAAGTCATGTGACTCGAGTCCACACCTCTGGTGTGTTTATATGAAAAGCTAAGATTTGAAGCTGCACCCATCTATATTTCAAACTAACAATGGAAGTAATGTGAGGCCTCTAATGAACTCTGAGGAATGATCTCAATCTGCAGTCCTGCAGAAGCATTTCGAGATGATCGTTTTGTGGAAGTGGAACGGCGCTCATAACACGACATTAGCATAAAAATGGCTCCCCTGTGAGTTCTGAGGCATGATGACTGATTGTTTAATCATGTGTAGTTTATCAAAGTTCCAATAAAGAGACTAAGGTGTCAGATTTTTTGCATTTTCTCACTCGTCATGTCCGTCACGTTGTCCATTTCAAGCCCAAACAAGATACACTATAATCACCAAAAGCGGAAAGGGAAACTAAAAGACGCGCAGCCTCTGCTGTCCTCTAGATACGAGCTGCAGCTGTTTTTCTTTTTTTCAAGCTTTATTGAAAACAAGACAGCCATATCTCACTCTGTCTATTTACACTGCAGTTGATCCATAGCACCTATCTCACAGGTGTGGGATGACACCAGCCTATACGTCGTCTGTCATCTGTCAGCAAGAATATGACATCATAATTACCTGATGTAGCCCAGCAACCGTTTTATCAGACTACTAAAATACCTAACACTACTGTGTAGTCTGATAAAACGGAGTTATTATATTTTGTTTTCTTTAATTCGTTTTCAAATTTCTCTTTACCTTTTAGTTTTTCTTTCAGTTTCGTTTTTATTGTTTGAAGATGTTTCGTTTTAGTTCAGTTTTTATTGGTTTTAGTCTTTTGAAATAAAATGTCACGAGTACAATTTAGGAAAATCACTTCAGGTATTACAATAAAAACAACTATTTAAAAGCAGTTGACGGTCAGTCTCATAGACATCCAGAGTCTCAACAATCACGTGCATCAGAGCGTCATCATGTAAATTGTAATAAAGTTTTTGCCACTCTAACGAATCTACAAACAAAGAATATTACCTTTAAATTATATTTTCATTTTCCCAATTTAAACTTTTTGTTTTGTTTTGTTTTGTTTTTTCAGTTAACCGAAATGTTTTTTCACATCCAGTTTTAGTTTTTAGTTTAAAATAACTTTGGTCTGAATCTGTTTTTCGTCCACCTGTTTTCAACCAAAAGCCTTTGAACTGAAGAAGAGAGAGTGGGCTCTTAGAGAGGGCTGAGGCCTGGAGCTAATGTTACGTTTTTCAGACAGAGGCCGGACCGACTGGCTGCTAACAGGCAGACTGAGACAAAGAAGCATCTCTTTTCTCCAGATCATGCAGATCTGCTGTAGTCAAGCCCCAGAATACAAATACAGAGTTAAGTTTCATTTAATATCAAAGCGATAGTGTTTTTTTTACTTAATTGCTCATACATTTACTTGATTAAGATATGCATATTAACTTCTTCAGGGGAATCAGTCACAGCCAGCTCTAAACTACTTTGGCAGAAAAGCAGTTATTTAAATGTCGAGATAACAATCTTATTCATGACTCACTGCGCTCTGCTCGTCTCCTTTGTGAGCGTGTTTAGTTTGAGAGCTGGGTAGGTAAATGGATGATATGGCCAGCCTGTTTGACAGTCGATCTTTCTGTTACAGTAGCAGTCACTGAGCTGCTGTTGGCAGTATGAATGGAAGTAGAAGGTGGTGATGAGATGTGATGCAGATAGTTCGCTGTCACTGACTCGAGCTCTAATATACTCTGCCCACTGCTGTGATTCACTGCACAGAGGGCTTTTGTGGATAATGAAGGCACAATGAGCTACTATTAGAGGCATTTAATGGTTCCCATGATCTATGACATGTTTTTTTTCCTTTTTTTCGGTTTTAACGAAACCTTTTTATTTTCTGGTGAGGTAGGGGGTAAAGGCGATGTGTATAAATATCATAAATATCAACTAAACTATACGTTTATTAGACTTTTAAGGAAATAGTAGTGGTTTTTTTCATGACTGTAGCAAACTAAAAAGCTAGCCAAGTGCGTACATGTGTATGACACAGATACCCGCTGATCAGTGCTGAGGGACATTAGAGTAAAATACTGTTATTGCACTCATTAGAACTGAAATACAGGGGTTTTTTGTATTGTCATTATTTTCACTCTAATGGTTGATATTCACTCATCTGCCACTTTATTAGGTACACTGTGCTAGTCTTTTGACTTCAGAGCTGCTTTGATTCAACAAGGTGCTGGAAACATCCTCAGAGAGTATGGTCCATGCTGACATGATAGCATCACACAGCTTCTACAGATTTGTCTGCTGCACATCCAACTAAAACGAAGCCAAACTAATATGAGCAGTGCTAATGAGCAGTTATTGAAAAGTTAAATATTTAAATCTGCAACGATTTTTAAAAAGATGGTTAATAGTTTAAAGGGTTATGTCCCATTTCTTTCTCGTAGCAGCTGTCTATCCGTTGCATATTTTCAGATTTCACAGCTGGACGAGTTGGTAAATCTGTGATTTCTAACACATCAGAGAGCTCAGTACTCACTCTTTCCTCTTCTATCTTTCTTCATATATGTTTCTGCCTCTTTTATAAATAGTCTTCCACTCCTGGATCAGAAAGAAGGTGGGGGTACCTCAATGTCCCCGACTCAGATGCTGAGACTGTAAGCCTCTCCTTTGGTAGTTGTGCATGCTTTTATTGCACATTCACACAGTAAAGGTGCCGTAGCAAAGCACCAGAACCTAAATATTACATGCAGGTTTCAATAATATATAGAGAATTTTCATGAATATACCATAAGATGATATTCTGAGTGTAACTGCATGCTCACTGCATGGTTTTGCTCGTACTTTTCCTTTTTTCTGTTGGTGCTTTAATTTGGTGCCCCTTGCATTTAACAAAGCCATTTGTCATGCTGACTTCCTGCAGGAAATAAATGAGTAAGACTTTACAGTAGAGGTGGGGTGAGAGAGCCAACGTGGCTCAATTCTGGCTTCTGGAGTCTTTTGCTCCCTGGATAGCAATATTATTATCAGTGGATTATGCCAGTTTTATCCTGTCTGGAGCTACAGCAGTCATGCTTTTAAAGACATGTTCCAGACATAATTACCTGCTGTGATTGCAAATATTTTTTTTCCTCAGAGAAATAGGTTTGGCAAGAGTTCAGTGTGAGGGGGAAAATTGTGATGGTGAATGTGGCATAAAAATGTTACTGTTTAATTTGATGGGCAAACAGTGAAAATTCAGGAGGAGCAGCCACCCAAGTCAGAATTTTACCGCTTTTTAACTTTAAAAAAAAAAGTTCACTTTTATTATATTACATGTTTGCTAATGTGGCTTTTATTTGATGGAGCAGACCTAATTTCTATGACAGTTATAACCCTGTGGATCTGACTATTTAAGCTGACGACCAACAGCAACAAGTGTTCTTCAAGCAAAGTCACATCTCTCTACACTCTCAGTTGACACAGTTTGCTGCATTCACAGGTCTGATGTGACTGTGGACTCGACATCTTTAATGTTCAGTCTCTGAAATTTCCAAAAATGGCAACAAATGCCGGTTAAACTTCTAAAAGATTGGCCAAGTGACAAATTCTACAAAGTCTACACGCTGCTACATGTCACGCATCCTTACATATGTCTTGACATTTCCAGACAGAATATAAATGCTTTTTCTCATTTATACCCCCTGAAAGCTTCACGTTTTGCACTTCCCTCAAACTTCCAGTGACAGCAATGATTGACGTGAGCCTCAGTCTGAACATTGTGCAGATTTTCCTCCTCTTTTGTTCATCGTGTTTTGTTTCCACTGTATTTCATCACTTCTCTTGCGTCACATGCTCCCCTGTCTCCCTTCTCCCCTCCTTTATCGTCGCCGTCTCATATCTACGCCTTTATCTCTCACCTTGGCCTCGTAGAGCAGTATAAACAGCACGATGAGCATGTACAGCGAGACCGGTGACTATGGCAACGCAAAGGTGAGCGGCGAGATCCTGCTCAATGTCAGCTACAGCTACAAGACCGGCGCTCTCAGTGTCCTTGTGAAAGAATGTCACAACCTGGCAGTAGGAGATGAGAGGAGGCAGCGCACAGATGCGTAAGAGAGCACGCACGCACACACACACACAATGGCGTAAGAGGACTCCGTTATAACCTGCTGTGTGTTCTTGTGGCAGGTATGTGAAGACTTACCTGTTGCCAGATAAGTCCCGACAGAGCAAGAGGAAGACGAGCATCAAGGCCAACACCATTAACCCTGTTTTCAACGAGACTCTGCGGGTGTGTGAGAGGAAAACTCAATGAGAGCTAGAGAGCAATGAATTAATACGTTACATCATAAAACGACATTCAGTTGATCTTCTCTTGTGGGATTTTTTTTTTTTTTGAACTTCCTCTCTCTCAGTATGTGATCAGCCACTCGCAGCTGGAGACACGAACCCTGCAGGTGTCCATATGGCACCACGACCGGTTTGGACGCAACAGCTTCCTGGGAGAAGTGGAGCTGGCCTTTGACGCCTGGAAATTCGATTGCCACATAGAGGAGTGGTACACACTGCAGCCCAAGGTGGCAGCCTGAATCAGCACATATAGTGTTTTTCAGCTACCTCGTATAAATATGAGCATCTGGTTTATTAGTGTGTGTGTGTGTGTAGGTGGAGGGCAGTATAGACGCAATGCTCCAGTATAAAGGAGAACTAACTGTTGTGTTGAAGTACATCCCTGAAGGAAAGAACGTCACACCGACTGCGGACCAAGTACAAGGTATGTTCATGGCTGTCATCACCATTAAACTTTACAGTATGATATACTGTATATAATAAGATTTCTTGACATCTGGAGTACATTGCTGCAGATGTTCTGTCAGTCTGTGTTGGCAAGTGTGCTGTTCTATGCAGCAGTCTGCTGAGAACGCAGCATCAGAAACAAGGATGCAAGGAGACTGGACAAACTAGTGAAGAAAGCTAGCTCTGTAATCGGAGCCAGACTGGACATGCTGGGGGAGGTGGTGGAAAGATGCACACGAAAGACGTTAAAAGCCATCCTAAATAACTTTGATCTCCTCCTTTACAACACCTTTATGAAACCAAAAACCATCAGTACTGGAAGACTCTGCTCTCTCTGTTGTAAAACAGCAAGATATAGAAAATCATTCGCACCCACAGCCATCAGGGTTTCAGTTCTCATACAAACCGCAGATGAGCTGTCAGACATTTGAATTTCCCTCGGGGATCAACAGAGTTATTCTTCTTCTTCTTCTTTGCTCCTTATTAGTGACATTTTAAACCACAAAATCAAAAACATGTTTGTTATATTTAAAACTTTGAAGTTCTGAGGGTCTGAATAATGTTTGACTGCACAACATGAGTTTGTGATAATGAGTGACCTACCAGTGAGTTGTTGATTTGCTAATGAGGATAAATATATATTTGCCCAACCCTCTTGGATCTAAATAAAATCCTTCTTATCCCCGTCTGACCTGAAAACATTGTTTTTCGCTACTTTCAGACGTTCCCTGGTTTTTATCCCCAATTACTGCAGCGCGACTGCTCGACTGCTGCCCAAATGATTAGAAAACAGAAACTGACCTCCTGTTTGTGACTAGTGAAAAATATTCCTAGACATCTATAAAGCACTGCATGGTTTTGTAGAGCAAGTGGTGTTGTTAAGGTTGGTGCAAGCAGAGGATTGTCACAGGGGTCAGGGCTGAAGGAAATTCTTTGATATTTTTTTTTCTATATGACCCTTTTTAATCATACAGACGTGTACAGACACACGCCCCCACACACACACGCACACACACACTCTCCAAAACTAATACTTGTCTTAACCAGATGCATGTATGGATCAGGTCTGGTAAATCTGAGAAGGAAGGAATGCAGTGGGCTAAATCACAGCTCTAAACTAGGGGCTGAAGTCCAATGTGCACAATAGCTGCTATAGCTGAGACTTTTTGGGGGGGATTAGTGTGTTCTTTTCTTGTGAAAATCCTGATAAGATGACCACCTGACCACCAGATTTTATCACTACAGTACACAACATCTGTTTGCTTGCAACCAGGTACATCTTAGGCTCCTGAAGGTACTCATCTATATCGTGGAGTGTCATTATGTTGCCTAGCAGCCACCTACCAACAGATAAAGAGGCCCATTTGTAATTTATGCTCCTGTAATGTCTTATAAAAGCATTGTATCATTTTAATTTCACAACATCTAATTGATTTCAAATGCAAAACTTTAATTATGCAAGCTATTTTGTGTTGAGATTGCATTGCCTAGCAACCACCTAACACCTGACAAAAATTACAAACCAAACAATACTGCATCATGAGCATGCAGTAGTTATTTAAAATGCGAAAAATGCAAATGTCCAAAATATTGAACAGAAATGGAAAAACTACGTTTGTGTTCTTACACCAAAAATATCCACTATGCTGTCTGCAACAGATGATGCTTGTGTGGATTTCATCACACTAAGTAACATAAAAACTGGTTAACATAGGTCTTCATTTTAAAGGTGGGTTTAAATTGAGGCTTCCATCATCTTTCACTGACCACATCTCAGAAGAGATACGAAACACTTCCTTTGTGAAACTTTTGCTCTTTGCTGGCTTATATTTATAATAATAAAGCATGTAACTATGGTAACTGACGTGGTCATGTGTGACATGTGGCTGCATGGTTTTCATTGCTGTGGTTTGCATGAATTAAATTTGTATCCTGAAATTCCTGAATAAATAAAACATGAAGGGCCATATGCTTTACAAGCATGAGTCACTACTTTGTAGCTAGTAGGGATAGATATTATTGAACTTAATGCCTTTATTGATTCTGCAAAAAGGTGCAATTTATTTATTGATTTTTTTTTGTGTAAGTCAGTGTGCACAGGTCATTGATATCTCTTTCTTACTGTTATGACTGATTTTATTTAATTTTGTATCTAATGTTACATATACATTATAAACTTTCGCTTGCACATGGATTCATTTGTCTGCTTTTCCTACCAACGCAGTGAAAAAGAGTTTTCTGAAGGGCAAAAAGACGAGCCCTTTAACTCTGCCTGAAGGGGGCATGGTTGAGCTGCTGGTCAAAGGAGCCAAAAATCTCACTGCTGTCAAGTCTGGAGGCTACTCGGATCCTTTTGTGAAAGGGTGAGACACTGGTTTATGAATTTGAATGAGGTAATGAGGTTTTACGTCAGAGTAGGCACAGCTTTTATGAAGCACACATATAACTTACAAATGTAAATGATCTAAATGATATTTGACGTCTCATTTCAGAAAATGTAATCTATTTTGGCATTTACAGTGTGTTATTCTTCAGTTTAACATCTGGCACTAGTTGTAAATCCAAATCATGAAGTTACATGGACACAGTTTGAGACAACAGGACTAATTTTTCTGCCTCTGTAGTCACTTTTTTACTACTTCTGAAGCTGTTTCATCTCTTTGGGTCAGTCTTGCATCTCTTGGAGCATCTCATGTCTTTTTTTTTGTCGTCCTCTGATTTCTTTTCAGTGACCGAATTTTATTTATTTATTTATTTATACCATTTTCCCCTACCAGTATATTGATGCAGTATGGAAAATGAATGATAGTGGACTAAATTGTGATTTCTTAAAAAACACAGCTTGAGTATATGCTAAGTAACTTCTATCCTTTTTCTTAGATACCTCCTCCCTGATAGCAACAAGTCAACCAAGCACAAGACCGTGGTGGAGCGACACACCGTGAACCCACAGTGGAACCACACCTTCACCTACTGCGGCCTGCAGCCGGGAGACCTCAACAACGTCTGCCTGGAGCTGACTGTGTGGGACAAAGAAACTGTGTCCAGCAACGTCTTCCTGGGAGGGGTGAGGCTGGGAGCTGGCACAGGTAAGACTGTGTGGCAGGAAAACAAAATAATCTGGTTAGCCAGTGTTATGAGAGAAGGAATTTCCATGTATTTTTTCTGTTACAGTCAAAATGTTGCAGAAAATGTTTTATTATTTTTTAAACAACTCATATGTTGTATATCTGCTTGAATGGATGCTTTTATTTATCACATTAATTAAAATTTTCCTGTGAGCCAAAGTCAGACGTATTTATATTTATTCATAATTTTGCTACAGTCCTGTCACATCCACAGTGTAACAGACATTTTCCCACTTCAGCCTACATTTTAGATTTCCCACACTTATAAATATACTTTTTTGTTTTTCGGACTATGTCCGAGATTAGAGTCACAGGCATTATTTCGACATATACTGACATCACTATTTTAAACTCTGCTCGAATTAAATGTAAACATCCATATGTCTGTACAAAAATAAGGACAGGTATTATTGGTGTATGAGGAAAAGAAAACTGCCTCATGCAAACCTTACTCTAGTAGTTCTCTTCAAGCACATGCACGGTTTGCACATTAAGCAAAAATCATAAAGCATATGGAAATCCTATTAACTGTGGGCTGTCTAGTTCTAACAAAGTAAAACAAATGTGTGTGTTTCTCTCTGCTCCCATCAGGGGAAAGCTATGGGAAGGAGGTCGACTGGATGGACTCGTATGGGGAGGAAAAGCGGCTGTGGCAACGAATGATTGAAAATCCTGAAGTCCCTCATGAGTGCACTCTGATGCTGCGATCCAGCATGTGCAAGCACAATACATGAACCCAAACGAAGCACAGCTAGAGAAAAGACTGAGACTGGAAGGGAGAAGGGAAAGAAGTCGTCTGAAGGTGTGAGGAGGAGCTAGAAAAGCGGAGCGGTCAAGGGGTAAAAAAAGAAGGCAGTGAAGGGGTCAGGACTCAGAATAGGAACAAAGCCCATGCCTCTCCCTGCTTCTTTTCTCTTCAGATCCCTTCTCCCATCCACAGGAGCCAGTCATGCCTTACAAATTCATTCACATGTGCCCCTCAGCCCTCAAAAGCATCTAGTCTTGACCAAACACTGCTGTTTATGGAAAACCAAGTGCTGTATTTAACATACTGTACCTTCTGAATAAGCACAGGGTGACTCCCAATATGTCCGCCTGTGTCTCTGTGAGTCATTTCTGCATGTAGCGGCTGGAGACCATTCACAAGGCATTAGACGAGGCACCGATCAGTTATAAATAAATGTGAACACTCCCCTTATAAACAGCAAAGCTGAATCCTGTTTTGAAGCACATGGGATGTTGAGTTCATCCCCTCAAACAGCTGCGTACAGGTGTAGAAAGTGACTCACTCTTACTACTGTGCTGCTCAAGTACTCAAGAAGTACTTTCACTTGAATTTACTTCTTCATAGGCTTTCTTTTAGATTAAAGAAAAGATTAGCAACAGAACACTTGGAGAGATTTAAATTACATATGCATACATATAATTTAATAAAATGAGAAATAAAATGAAATTTACTTAGTTGACATTGAAATAGAAGAGCAGGAAAAAAGTCACTTTTGAGAAGCTGGGTGTAGCTGGGTAATTTTTCCATGGATAGTATAGCAATAGAAGGATGTTGTGAATCCTGTACGTTCATTGTCCCCATAGGATGTACCCTCAGGATGATAATGATTCCCTAATATTCCCTTGGGCTTTGCCTGCTGGAGGAAGGTTTCACTTATCCTGTAAAGTGGTTATATCAGTGTTCAAAACTGCTGTGCTGGTGAATCATGAATAGTTCCTGGTTGGCGCATCCTAGTGAACCCAACTTTCTCAATCAGCCGCTCAAGGGTCGCATTTGAATTTTGAATACAATATCTTCAACCTATAAATTGTGTGAACAAAATGTTATGGCATTCATAACCCTCTTAGAATTCTCTTTTAATAACTCTTGCAATCTGAACATTTGTTTAGTGCCCCCATCTGGTCAGAACAAAGTGCTAATTTGCAAATGTTAGCATGCTAACACAGTAAAGCTAAACATCACACTATCGGTATGCTAACTGTAGCGTTTAGGTTTGCTGCTTGCATGGCTGTTGTCCTTTTAAAGTGCATCTGCACGGGAAGCGGTTTGCAGTAAAATGCTACAGCAAGTCAATGACATTTGGCAACTTTAAGCTACCATGGGTGGAGGAGGGGGAAAACACTGCCACAAAGTTGATGGGTACTGAGACAAGCTTTCCTCAACTTCAAGGCAAGTGGCTTAAGCAAGTACTAAGTAAATTAGAGGGTTAACTAGTAACCACATATAACCCTAACCCTTACCCTGGAATTTATGCGTCGTTTACCAAAACGATGGGTCAAGCAAATCGCTCCCTGTGTGTATGCAGCTTTATGCTAGGTTCAGACGACACTATGGCCTTTGAGATTACGCCGTTATAGACTGAAATTATTTGACCAGTAATAGAGGTAATTTGTGCACATTGCTTGAGTTGTCCGTCATATTGAATGTCATGCAACCACCGATCATGAGTAAAATCTGTATTCCCCAACTGGTTTGCAAGTGGTTGCTGGATGTTGCTGGGTAAAGTCTCAAAGAGGCTGCTGCACCAAAAACCTTGCAATTGCCTTGGCTGTTAGCAGGGTGTCAAGTTTGGCTGTAATTTGTGTGAAAGATGCCTTCTTGCCTAGAAACACTCATTAACAACTAGCGAAGTGCTAAATAAACTTTAGAAAATGCAAGGCAAATGGAAAACCCAGAACCTTCACCTTCAAAGTAAAAGTCAAAGGTGCAACTGTTGTGGTTATTATCGCACTTTTCACAATGGCGCTACCACTCAGTGAGTAGCTGGCGCGTCTCTGACAATAACTACAACCTGAACAGTCTGTTAGCAACCAAGGCAACAAACACAAATACATGTTCTTAAACAGGTCAAGGATTTTTGCTGTCAACTGGTAAGTGCCATCAGTCTCTATGGCTGTGTGACTCGGGCCTTATTCACTTGACCCTACATTGTCGCACGAACAAAACAGCAGATGTAACATGATTTGGAAAATGTCACTAGCCAGTAGTTTGCATTCTTTCATGACCTGTGTGATGCGCACAATGCTTGTCTTCTACCCCAACCCCTGACACCTTTCTGCTGTTTTGTAGTCCAAACCTGACGTAGTCCTATTCTTTGAGGGGGAAAAAGAAAGTTGCTTTGTTTTGTTTTTTTTTGTTTTGATTGACTAAATAATTACAGATTACCCATCTTAGACTAGCTTTGATGTAAATTGCTTAACACTGTATCAGTGTGATAATAGAAAATGCATGGTATTAGAGAAAAAGAAAAGATTATATAAAGCACTGACATTGTCACTTTACTCCTAGAAAACAGTTATTTGAAGTGCGTTCCCAGCAACCCCTGAGAAGGAGGCTGTTTGCTAAGAGTGAGTCAGCACTGAGGCGAGCGCCTCCATCTCAGTAATGAGCCGGTGACAGTCGGTGACCTTGCCCCTGTCGCCCGGAGCTCTGTGGTCCACCGTCATGCGTTGAAACGCACAGTTAACAAAAACTCATCTCAAGATAAACTCCGTAGAGCAATTCTTTATGTGGAATGCCAATTTTGTCTGCTTGTCCTCTGAAAACGTCCGCTCTCAGCTCCCAGTTTGACACCCAGTTATAGTAATAATACATGTGTTAACTGTCCAGCATACATGACAAGTCGTGCAATACCCAATTACTGAGAAAACTCTTGATGTACAGCATGTACTCTCTGTTGTCTGGTTTCCATGCATCAGATTCACTGTTTGAAAGCCTATTTCATCCCAAATGTGTTACGAGAATATTTTGAATTAAACACTCTTTCCATACACTGTACCCATTTTAGTCTTGATTTTACTTTGGCTCAGTCTTAAAAACGTGTTCATTTATACGTTCAGTCATTGTTTGACTCATTTTACCGCAGATTCCTGCATCAGTGCAGTGTGCCATGAAGGCACTCGGCTTGTGGCACTGCTTACGTGTTTCCTGAGATCTGGTTCAGGTGAGTTTGGTCAATCAAGTGCAATGACAATATGGTCAGCAAACCATTTGGTGGCAGTTTAGGCACTGTGGGATGATAAGACCTGTTTGAAAGGGAAATCAGCATCTACGTACAGCTGGAAACATGAAGTGCTTTCCAATCTCCTTTTTGATGGCTGCATCGATTTTCATCCACTTTGTTTTATCACGTTCAACCAACACCAGCAGATGACCTGGAAACTTCACACTGGACTTTATAAACACTTTATAAACACTTGTTTTCAGAATGCTTCTGTACGTGCAGCTATCAAACAACATATCCAATAAAGAGCTCAACATCGTAACAGGTTTAATTCTGTGGCCTTAAGGTCACCTAGAAAGTGGAAAAATATCCCCATAGCTGGGTCTGGGTGCAGTTTCCCCCTCCAGGGGCAAGGGTACCTAGACCCGGGGCTTAGAGTACGCTTGGGGAGTGTGATTGTGTGTACAGTGTCTATTTATGTCTGTCTCCACGTTGGGTGATTGCTGAGTAATTGCATATGAGAGCATGAGGGTGGGAATGGATGTTTGTATCCGTGTGTGCCTGTTTGTTTGTGTCTTTATGTCAGGTTGGGTATCAGACGCCACCTCTCTGGGGACATCTCAGGCCCTCCAAGGTATGGAGGCCTATCTCCCCTCACCACTCCCCCTGCCAGTGGCCGACGCCCGCAGACATCGGGCGGTTCTTTGTGTCCGGGGATGGGCGTCCAGGTACGCACCGGCTCACTCCTTGTGGCTGCTTGTCGGAGCCTGGAGCCTGGGGCTCGCTCGGACCTCTTCGGGGGTGGGGTGCCCTCAGCCTGGGGCTTGGTCACTCTGGCACAGCTGGCTGCCGGCGGAGCTCACGAGCACGTCACTGCAACCCCCCCTGGCTTCTGCTTCGTGACTGGTGAGTGACCCCTCATTTGGGGCTCTCCTCAGCTCTTTCCGGGATAGTAGAACGGTTGCCCCTCCGTTGGTCTTCCTTGGTCTCGTGTGCTCTGAGGGCCTCTGGATGTCTGGAGCCTGGATCTCCTCCATACCTGCTTCATGCCCAGGAGGACGGGGCTATGGCTCCCCACACCCTCTAGGAGATCATTACATGAAGGAACCTTTTAAATACAAGCGCGCTCACAGGTGTACACACAGGTGCTCACAGACACAAGCTACACCCTTTTTAGCTCCTACCTCAAAGCACACTGTGCAGTGTCGATCCTACGTGCCGCACAATACAGGGAGTGCAGAATTATTAGGCAAATGAGTATTTTGTCCACATCATCCTCTTCATGCATGTTGTCTTACTCCAAGCTGTATAGGCTCGAAAGCCTACTACCAATTAAGCATATTAAGTGATGTGCATCTCTGTAATGAGAATGGGTGTGGTCTAATGACATCAACACCCTATATCAGGTGTGCATAATTATTAGGCAACGTCCTTTCCTTTGGCAAAATGGGTCAAAAGAAGGACTTGACAGGCTCAGAAAAGTCAAAAATAGTGAGATATCTTGCAGAGGGATGCAGCAGTCTCAAAATTGCAAAGCTTCTGAAGCGTGATCATCGAACAATCAAGCGTTTCATTCAAAATAGTCAACAGGGTCGCAAGAAGCGTGTGGAAAAACCAAGGCGCAAAATAACTGCCCATGAACTGAGAAAAGTCAAGCGTGCAGCTGCCAAGATGCCACTTGCCACCAGTTTGGCCATATTTCAGAGCTGCAACATCACTGGAGTGCCCAAAAGCACAAGGTGTGCAATACTCAGAGACATGGCCAAGGTAAGAAAGGCTGAAAGACGACCACCACTGAACAAGACACACAAGCTGAAACGTCAAGACTGGGCCAAGAAATATCTCAAGACTGGTTTTTCTAAGGTTTTATGGACTGATGAAATGAGAGTGAGTCTTGATGGGCCAGATGGATGGGCCCGTGGCTGGATTGGTAAAGGGCAGAGAGCTCCAGTCCGACTCAGACGCCAGCAAGGTGGAGGTGGAGTACTGGTTTGGGCTGGTATCATCAAAGATGAGCTTGTGGGGCCTTTTCGGGTTGAGGATGGAGTCAAGCTCAACTCCCAGTCCTACTGCCAGTTTCTGGAAGACACCTTCTTCAAGCAGTGGTACAGGAAGAAGACTGCATCCTTCAAGAAAAACATGATTTTCATGCAGGACAATGCTCCATCACACGCGTCCAAGTACTCCACAGCGTGGCTGGCAAGAAAGGGTATAAAAGAAGAAAAACTAATGACATGGCCTCCTTGTTCACCTGATCTGAACCCCATTGAGAACCTGTGGTCCATCATCAAATGTGAGATTTACAAGGAGGGAAAACAGTACACCTCTCTGAACAATGTCTGGGAGGCTGTGGTTGCTGCTGCACGCAATGTTGATGGTGAACAGATCAAAACACTGACAGAATCCATGGATGGCAGGCTTTTGAGTGTCCTTGCAAAGAAAGGTGGCTATATTGGTCGCTGATTTGTTTTTGTTTTGTTTTTGAATGTCAGAAATGTATATTTGTGAATGTGGAGATGTTATATTGGTTTCACTGGTAAAAATAAATAATTGAAATGGGTATATATTTGTTTTTTGTTAAGTTGCCTAATAATTATGCACAGTAATAGTCACCTGCACACACAGATATCCCCCTAAAATAGCTAAAACTAAAAACAAACTAAAAACTACTTCCAAAAACATTCAGCTTTGATATTAATGAGTTTTTTGGGTTCATTGAGAACATGGTTGTTGTTCAATAATAAAATTATTCCTCAAAAATACAACTTGCCTAATAATTCTGCACTCCCTGTAATATTCAATATTTAGTATTTACTGTTATATTCACATAGATGATGTTTATTATATTGCTCTTTTTTTTGCTTGTTTTCTCTTTATTCTTTCTCAACCGGTGATCCAGGTGATTGATATGTATTTTTTTTGTCTGTTTGTTTTGTTTTTTGCCCTTTATCACTGTTTTTCTTTCCCTCTTTTTTTCTCTTTTCTTTCCCCCAGTCATGTCTGTCCCATGTGTAGCAAGTGAAAATAATATAAAATAAATAATAAAAGCAAAAAAAAAAGGAAAAATATCCCCATAGTTTAAATTTTTAATGTTCAGGCTAGCCAACACCAGGAAATGTCGGGGAAACCACAATCATTATATTGCAGAAACATCCCACGGGACTCGTTAACACCTTGGATTCACTGTGTCTCCACTCTTCCACCAGAATTTAATTTCTAAAATTTGATTTCTAAAAAGAAAAGCAAAATGTGATTTCATCTGAAAAGAGGACTTTGGATCACTGAGGAACAGTCCAGGTAAGACGCTTTCTGATGTCTGTGGTTCAGGACTGACTTAATATTAGGAATGAGACATTTGTAGCTTCTTTCCTAAAGATGTGTTTGTGTGTCGTGGCTCTTGATACAATGACATCATCCTCAGTCAGTTCTTGAATAAACTTTTCTTGATGATCTTCTCAAAACTGCCGTCATCCCTGTTGCTTGTGCACCTTTTCCCTTCCAGTATTCTGTTTATGTTTTGATGGATGATGAAAAAAAAAACATCTGGGTAACTGTGGAGTCAACAACATGATTGTGGCTGATTGTACTGAAGATGCAAAGTATTCATACTGTTTAAATTGTATTTCACTCAAACTGAAATAAATATACTAATAATCTGAATATTTTGTTTTGTTTTTTCATAAGCTATGAGGCATATTCATGAAAATTTAAATGTCAAGTTCAGGAATCATCTAACTGAAGACCTTCAAAGGTCATAAATATGCCAGACTAGGATGTGTGATTCTCTGCATGCTTCCACATCTTTCCTTTTCCCAAAGAAAACCAGTGGACCATTGAGCTGTAGGACTATTAACCAGATGTCAAACAAAGAGCTAAACATCATAGCATGCCCTTATTGGCTCTTATAAAAAATTTTTTTCCCATATTTAAAATGCAGTGTTGCAAAAACAGTCCTGGAACCAGAATTTGTCTGCTGCACATCCTTTCTTTGGAACAACCTAGTAAGTGATACTGAACACAAAACGAAGCTGAGGATTGTTAAGGCATAAAATTCAAAACAAGAATACATTAAATATTCAAGGTTTTCCTCAGATTACTCAATTAAACATAAGGTTTAAATGTTTTGCAAATCACTGCATTCAGTGGGTTTTTTTTTAAGTTGTGGAAGGAAGTTTTTTTGCTTCAAGGACAATTTGTATTTTAGGAAAATATTTAGTACTGACTTATCGAGTTCTCCTGTGAATCATTTGCCCTCTTAACTTTCTCTCTTTACTTGTCCTCGGGCACTTTTGCAGACTGCTTCCTCACACTGACGCACACAGGAGCACATCCTTCGCACTAGACATATTTAATCAGTGTTTGCAAATTCAGACACAGATGCACTGCATGTACAGAGTACATCCTTATTGGGAAAGGTGCGACATAAATATTAGGTGAAAGGTCTTCCAGTTCATACAGTAAAAAGACTTTTTTTTTTTTACAAAGTAGTAAGACAATTATTCTGCTTTGAAAATAATAATAATAATAGAACAAATAAAATACAGACAAGACACAGGAATCAGTATGACTGTAATGCACTGTGTGATTAGCACCATGACTGACATCCAAACTTTTGACACACACACACAAACAAACAGACATGCTCGCGCACACAGGATACAGGGCAGATTTGGTTCAGGTAGGAACGTGTGACATGTGGATGGAAACGGGAGATCCGAGTCTTTTCTGCTGTGACGAAGGAGGGAAAGCTCAAAGATGGCTGACAGTCCATGGAAGTGTACTGGGCGTTTTATGACTGGCAGGTCTGGCCCGCCTCCTGCTGTACCAGCATCTCGTCTTTGCGGAGGGGGAAAGTGTCGATGGTGGTGAATAATTCAGCCGCTGTGATTGGAAACGGGTAGCGTTGTTTGTCTATGCCCTGCTTGTCTACCAGCACCATTTGGAAAGACCTTTGAGGAATCTGGAGCAGTAACCTAAGAAATGCATTCAGTTCAATGAGCAGGAGCGAGCAAAAGTCACACATGCTGAAGTTAACAGAGGTGGGTGTGTTTGCATGTTAGTACCTGAGCTGCAGGGCCAGTCCTGGAGAAAGCAGGTTGTGTCGAATCCGGCCGACTTGTGCCGGGTAAGTCCCGACCAGCTCGATTACTGTCACATGTCTCAAGTCCAGGCCACACTGAGCTTGCTGTTCTCACAGGACACAGACACACAGATCCATCAGTTTTATGTTTTTGATTACGTTCAGCGCCACTCGAAAACAATGCTGTCTCTGTGCATGTGTTTTCCACATGTACGTATGACTACACTGTTTTAGACTGTGACTAATTTGGAGCCAATCTTGGCTCTGTTTCAAGTTAAGAGCTTGATCTGGAATCTCAAATCCACAGCACACTAGAGAAAGCAGAACTGGGAGACATCGTGTGTCCAACAAGTATACACACTGGATTTTTGTTCATGAAGAGAGGGGGAAATTTTAATCCAGTGGAAACCCCACTCCTGTCCTTATTGCATGAACAGGAATTCAAACAATCTGGCAGGCTGTTGATGTTGGTCAGCAGGTTAAAGTTAACAAAAATAGATTTTAAATGAGACATTTTTCACACCAATAACTGAAAAAAACAATGTGCCTACAGTGCTGTGCAAAAGTCTTGAGCCACCTCTTAGGTCCAACAATTTATTTAAATGTCCGGGCTTCTTGAAGGACTCCCAAAGCTTTTCTTTGGATGTTTTGTGCCTCTTGTTCCGTTTTCTGTCAAGATGATCCCACACTGCTTCGGTAATCTTGAGATCCGGGCTCTGGGGAGGCCAATCCATGTCTGATAATGTTCTATTGTGTGGTTTTTTTCTATCCAGGTATGATTTTATTGCATTAGCAGGGTTCACTGCCATGCTGAAAAATGAAGCTATTGGCAATCAGACTCTTTCCAGATGGTACCCCTAACTACATGGTGGATTAAAATCTGAAAGCACTTTTTCTGCATTCCTATTTGTCCTTACTTCTCTTTGCTCTTTTCTCAGACGGCTCATTTTTTCTGGTTTTGATTAAGTAATATTGTAGAGTCCTTACCTTCCAATATAATACTCCATGAGGTGACTGCTGCTGTGAATTGGCACTTTGTAAGTAAAACCTAACTGAATAACTATTGCAAGCATATTAATAAACAATTTATTGTAATATTGATATTTCGACTCATCCATTTATATAAACGCACGAATGCTACAGGATCCCTGCGTACGTGGGTTATACATCTGTGAATGTACAGGGGGATTTTTGTCAGTGTTTCGAATGATGTTCAGGTGATAGAGAACTTGTACAGCACTGCAGTTTGCTACTTATTTAGTATTAATATACTAAGGTAAGTATTAGAACAGTGTCTACACATGTGCTTATCTTGCTATTAAAATGTGAAACTATCTGAGCTAATTATTAGCCCTTTATTTATCCAGGTAAAAAATCTAATTGAGATTAAAATTCTCATTTCCAAGAGACGCCTGACATCATGGCTAATCTGCTATGTTATTATGAAAGCATACAGTTTAGTACATTTACGCTAATTTACAGCTACACTGACACTCCTTTTGCTTTTTAAGCTGTGAAGTTGTGGCACACAACACAGATAGATTTGGACAGACTTCACTGAGCCCTGAGGGGAAAATCTCTCCACAGTTTGCATAAAAACTCATTTCAAGTTAGATCTGCCTACTCCACACAGCCCAAACTTTCTGACAGTTCCTTTGTCTGCTACTGCAGCAAGATGATTTTTAAAGTGTTTGCAGTGAATAAATAACCATACTGATGGGTCAGTTGTGTAATTGTGTAAATTATCACCATTTTCCCAAATAAGGTGAAAATGAACTGTTTTTTCCTTCACTTTCAAACTAACTGTAGAAATTCCTGATAACCAGTCGACAGACTGCAGGACCGATCAGTCATCTTGTTCACAAACTGACACCGGTTTATCTTTCAGCTGATATCCGAGTCACTTTGAAAGGTCAGGCATTTAAAAACAGCTCTGACTTAATGCTGTCTGATGATGTGGGAAAGCATCCACCCCAGAATAGCCTTATCAGAGCCAGTGTCACTATCATTTATTCACTGCCGTGACATTTCGTGTTCATCACCACAACACCCTCTCTCCTATTTATTTATGTCACCACTTTTACCCACTTAGGTGGCAAATCGGGCGAAAAACCCCCCCCACAAACACACTGAGGCTGTCTTTGTGTGCATCATCACAGAGGACGCAAGACGCTCCGGCGTTGACTTCCACCCCTCCATCTCAGTCGACTCACATTCAGCTCATTAACTGAGAGTCGTGCCTCACCTGCAAGTTAGTCATCTGGAAGCGGTAATTATGATTGGCAGCCGTTGGCGCGGAGATAACGAGGAGCCTTCGCTTCTCATAGAACTGGTCCAGCAGCGCAGCAGCCGTACGCACTCCCACGTTGATGTTCATGGCTGTGACGACATTGAACGGACAATTTAAAGTGATGAGACAAGGCGTGACACACACGCTACAAAGAAAAGGGTGCTATTACAACACATTTCTGTGAGATGTTTCATCATTGATTGTTTTTGGCTGCTCAGGTGATAAAATCAAATTAATGGCTCACGGTCTTTGACCCTTGTTTTCGATTATAATCCTTACCTTTTAACGGTCCTTTGTGTTTCTGGAGGGTTTTCCTCGTTTTCTGTGCCTCCTATGTTTCCTCTTTCTGCTTTTCATCGTTTGTCTGTGTGTTTGTTTCTGAAAGTCAGTTCCTCCTGTGGCTGTCTCGCCTTTGTTCCTTTCCCTGCCTTCATTATTGTCTTGACTGAGTCCATCCCTGCCTTATCCCTCTCCCTGGTGTGAGCATTTAGTCTGTGTCCTCTGACCCACAGTCCTAACACTGTTGTTGTCCCATCACCCTCATGTTTTTTAGTCGCTCTTGATTTCTCCAGCTGGCTCACTGCTTTCTTTTAGTCTCTTTGCGATTGGATTTTATTTCTGTATTGATTCTCGTGCCACAATGCGCATCGCTTTTTACGTTTGGTAAACAATAAAAGCACTTTTTAAATTTATTCTGCGTTCCAGTCTGTCTCTGTAGGTCCAACTTATGAGTTTCATTGGAAATGTGACAGAACCGAGTCGAACACATGACTTTTGTTATTCAACTGTTGCACTTTTTCTGTCTTCTTGAACATTTAATGGAGGACCATCCAGTATTGATCTGTCCAATCGATCGGTAAGAGGCGCCATATTGTCCTCATTTTGGATTCTCATATAAAACCAGAAAAGGTTACAGGAACTATATGAAAAAAGAAAATGCACTCCAATATCTCTGCATTAAGCAGGATCCCTCTGAGTTTCTGTAGTCAAAAAATGACCTCCACCTCTGTTTTGATTACATTCAATGGTGAAGAAACCCACTTACATAAATATCAGGCCATATAATATTTAACAGGACAGAATTTCGATTTTAAAACGTCATATTGGGCTAATAAGTAAGCAGATTTTGTAAATGAATGCAAACTAAATTCTCTAAAGTCCTTGAGCTCTCTATTGAGTAATGTCCAAGGCTCATGGTTTCAGTTTCTGTGATCATTCACCTTTTCAGACTTCAGGATTCCCTCTCATACTGCAATATTTCTACAATTAATTTAATCATCAGCAATTTCAGCTACTTGTAAAAACTCCCAGCAGGTTACAGGACAACAAAGTGTCTCTCTTACTGACTTGTTGCACGAGCAAGCTTTTTCCTCTGAAGATTTCATCCCAAAAAGCAAAACTAAACAGTGAAAATGAGGCTTTTAGGGAAGCTAGATAAAAGCTAGTGGTATATATTTTTTTTAATTGCCAATTTAAATTGTATTTTATTATTTTAAGTTGTATCATATCGACAAAAAAACTGATCTATCAGAAGTTTGTCTTTGTCTTTAAAGTCACTGTATATTGAACCTTCTCTTTAATGAAGTAGAGATTTGCTGCATTTCAGCCAGATGGGGGAAAAAAACTGCCAGACAAAGCAGCCAAAATGACGGCAAGACACAAAAACATTTTGACAGCCAAACCATATGAAAAACAGACAAACTGAGTAGAAAAAAAAACCACCTAATGAAAACCACTGCATATGATTCAAATGGTTGGAAGTGAAGCGTTTATACTCACAAAAACATAAAGAGACATAAAACAGAAACCCACTGGAGAAGATGTGAGCAGTGAGATGAAAACTACTTGCATGTGTGTTGGTTGTTACTACAGATTTTGTCTTTTTAATAAATCCTGAAGTACACAATGTCTACTTATAAATACAGGCTAAGCACATGACACAGTGATGGTAAAACGAGTAAGAAAGGTCTATGTCTATGTTTATCCTTCCATTTCTGAATGACTTAAACTAATACAATTATTAAATGAAGATTGTCATGTCTGTACGAGAACAGCTTGTATGGCTTGAACAGGATGCAGTACTTACGTGCACAGGTTGTGTCTGAGCCCGACCAGGTGAGTCCATACTGACACACTCTGGCAGCGCTGCCCCGTAGCTCGGAGCCGCCGGTGCAGGTGAATTCACAGGTGGCTCCGTAGTTGTCTTTGTCACTGTCACACTTCATGTAACCGTTGTCCGGAGGAAAGAGAGGGCTGCAGCGACGCACTGTTCACAAAAAGAGACGGTAAGATTCTGGAGAATTAGCTTTTTACAAGCCTGATTAACTCTTGCCTAATAGATATTTGCCATATTAGTCTGTATCATATGTTCAGACTTGGCTTATGCATAAACCGTTGTGCTAAAGGGGAAAATAAAAGCTGGAGTTGCATTCAGGTAACTGCCACAGTACTGTGCAAAGGTCTTGAGCTGCCCCTAGTTTCTATTTTGCTTCCAAGCAGCCAGTCTTGTCATTTTTTTAAAATGGGATCTTTGGAGATTACATTTTCAGAAAAACGAATCATTCAAGCATAAATAAGGTACCTTACTCAAGGAATGAACCAGTGTTTAGTCCCCTCATAATAAATTGTAACTTTAGCCACTTTGATATGGCTATTTTATCACCACCAAGGTTTTTAGCAGAACCTCTGGCATATCTAGACATGAAAAAAAAATCTGAGGAAACTAGACAAGAAGAATAAGCAGTCCTAAAAAATGCTATCTACAGCAGATAGACATTATGGGCATTAAAATTCAAGCAAAGATCTGAAACAGAACCAGAGATGGATGTATGTAGGTGGATATATACTGTATTTCCATATATTTTTGCACATGTTTATTTTTGCAATAAATCACTGCACTTATTTTGCATTATACTGCAAGACTTTTGCACACATATTCTGTATGTACCGTACATCTGTTCTGTCTTGATCTAACACGTTTAACACGCATCCTAGCAAATATTGCATTGCATAATGTTAGTCTACCAATTAAATATATATTTCTATAATCTTTGGAGACTTCTTGGAGATAACCCCCTGAAAAAGTGTGTGACCAAAAACCCTGTTCCAGACAAACGATCAAAATCTTTTTAGAGGCTCACCTCGCACTCTGACAGTGAAGCGGCAGGACCCTTTGTTCCCAGCCCGATCAAACACAGTGTAAGACATTTTATGGAGCCCCTCTGGGAAGTTGGATTTTGAGGGCTTTCCTTTAAGGATAACACTGGGGGGGGGAAACAAAAAACACATTCTCAGTTTTAATCTTTCAACTTGCTCTTGGGGGCTTAACAAGGAAGCAGAAAAGCAACTGACTCTGTGAGGATGCCGTCTGCAGTGTCAACACCCTCTGGTGTGTCCCAAGTCACCCTCGCTGTCAGCTTTCCAGGTTCTGCCCACTTATCCTTCACATTTGGACACTTGATTTTTGGAGGATCAATATCTACAGGAAATTAAAAAAACAAACAAAAAAACTTGTCAAATCTTGTCATCACTGTAACTCTTGCAACATAAAGTTATACGGTGCATCCTCCTAAACCAAATCTAGCCTAGATGAAAGACATGCTTGAAGTACATGAAAGCCATCTAAAAAATCTTTTAAAGCAATACAAAAAGTAGGATGACTGCAGAGACAAAGATGAATCTTGTGAGGAAAGTGTCCTCACAGATTCAGGTGATGACACTGTCACTGGCTTTAGTTCTGTGACACTATGACACTATGTACAGGTCACAAAGCTGAAAGCCATTTTTAGTTCAGATTGGCGCAAAGAAATGAAACACATTACACACTGGTGACGGTCAAAGTCTGCGTATGTGTCTCTGAGTATAACACACAGAGTTCTAACTTCGCCAAACACTGTATCAGGACAAATAGTAATAGAGATGTATAAGTGAGAGCTGGAGCTGACGGTGTGCCTCTGGCAGCTAATTACTTGTTAGCAGCTTAGAGGCTTCAGTCCTCTGTGGGAGATCAAACTGTACACAAAAGAACAACAACAACAACAACAATGCAAACAGTCTTACCAACACAGCTGGGCACTCCTGCACTCCACACCGCGTTGTAGCGGCACGTTGCCGTCTTCTGGCCCTTCAAAGTGAATCCGGGTGAGCAGAAGAACTCACAGCGAGAGTTGAAGTAAGAGCCGTCTGAGCACTTGTAGCCACCATTAATGGGCATATCCAGCTTAGGACAACGGATCTCTGAAAGCAGGGTGAGCTCATTGTCATTGTGGTGCTTGCATGAGGGTTTCATTGCAACAGATGCATTTAAATACTTATACACACACACACTCATGTCTCAGGAGGTGGCAAAGCCTTCAGCTGCCAGACTCCTCTCCTATGGAACGAGCTCCCAGATCAGACTCAGGATGTAGACGCTCTTTCCACAGTTAATGTTTGGTTTGAAACTTTGCTTCTGCTGCAGGTTTTTGATCCACAAACTTCTTTTGAGTCTGGTTCTCCTGGTTAATGTCTTCCTGTTAAAAAAGGGAGTTTTTTCTCCTAACTGTCACTCACATTGTAGCATCTTTACCTTACAGCGTTGAGTACACTGAACTTGTGAATTGGACCAGTATAAATTAAACTGAACCGAGTTGCTGACGTTTGCATGCATATGCAAATTCCTAAGGAGACAAGTGGCACACAAAAGTATAAAAAAAAATCCAACAAACTACATCCCCTAAAGAAGACTGTGATATGTGGTTCAAAGCATATAAAATTTCTACTTCTAGAATCAGGAATGAGCTCTAATCACGCAGGAATCACTTTGACATGATGCTTTAATGTGCAGCTACAAGCTATCTGGCTGCACTCAGAAACAAAATCTCTCTAGAACAGTCAGTACGGTCTCATTTGCTAAATTTGGGCCGTCCACAAAGCGTGCCTGTGGTCATTTTGGATGACGGCTCTGTTAATAAGATTTGAAGGCTTATAGACAGCTTTGGTTTCTGCAGTTTTTCTGCTGATTGGCAGCTCTGTGGAAGGTTCTGGCTCCAAACAGCGGCATCTCTGGGTTCCCAGTTTGATGATATCCCACCTCCCTTCATCCATTTTGATAAGCATGGCTATAATGCGTGTGTTGAATACATGCATGCATTTAAACAGTGAGAAACACAATGTGTGCGCATGTTCAAGTGGACTTTCTCACCTCGGCAGGCGTAGTTAGAGGACCAGTGTTTGCTCGCCATGCACACCACCTCTGAGCTCTGAGCTTCATATCCCTGCTTGCAGCGGATTTTACACCGTGTCCCCATCACGTTCCTGTAGTGCTCTCCTCTGGGTGTGCGACAGCTCACGTCACCATGTTTAATTTTAATGGGTGCGCACCACGGGGTTCCTAAAAAACAGCAGAACGAGGCACTGACCTTTTCTTCATCGTTTTATCTCATGTCTTTATGGTGTGGCCTTGAGTGACAGACGCTCAGTAACAAGCACTTACCTGTGATCATAGAAGCTTAGAGAGAGACTTCCACTGCCAGAGTGAAAGAACAAAAACCCACCCATCACCTTGAGTACAGGCAGATACAGTGGATTTCTTATTACCTTTTCAGTGACTTCCATTATCCAACAGTCTCATGAGGCAAAGGAGATAGTCTCACTCGAGTAAAAGACTGATAATAATGTGTGTAGAGAGCACTTAAGTTTTTGTGTGTGCGTGTGGTTTCAGAGCGTGAAAGGCACCACACCAAATACAGTCTTTATTAAGAATGCAGCTCTTTTTTATCCTTATCCTTAACTGATTTAGGAATCAAAGTTTATGGTACCCTGGATCCATTATCATCTTTCCCTGATTAGGACTGTTCCTGATGCTGATAAGGATGACCAGGGAAAGTTAAAGTCTCGAAAAATAGTGCCTTAATTAAAGGAAGAGTTTGACTTTCTTGGAGATCTTAGAGAAGACAGTTAAGAAGTCTATTTCAGGTTTTCATATGGAGCTACAGTACTGTGCAAAAGTCTTGAGCCAACTATTATTTCTTTGTATTATGTTTCAAAAGCAGTCTTGAGCAATTTGTCTTTGAACACTGGCTGCTTTTTCACTCATTTTCAGTCCAGTCCTTATACCTGACCATTTCAGATGTATGTTTTTTGTTTGTTTGTTTGTTTGTTTTGTTAAGCCACTTAAGACTGACCTATAAATTATTCAAACATACAAAGGGCACCAAAAGCAAGGAATGAACCGGTGCTGTGTCTACACATAACAGACAACTTAGCAAAACCATTTTTTTGTTTCTTTAGGCACTTTGTTAATAGCAGCCTGTCATAAAAACACATAATTTGTTTCCATTTCTTTGGTTGAATTGACAAGAAATGCCAAAGATAGCACATCTTGACAGGCATAAAATATTAATTTTGTCCCAAGAACGTGACTCACAAAGAGCTATTAGCTGAAAACTTGGCATATTTCTAGGCACTGTGTGCAGTGTGTCCTTAAAGACAGTAAGGACCCAGTGCACATGGTGTGAAGGAAAAAATAAGGAAGTGGCAAAACAATCTACAGCAGATGAACTGTATCTGAAAGTCATGTCCTGAAGAACTAGGAGAAAATACAGCAAAAACCTGTGGGAAAAACATCAGGTAAGTGAGTCGTGACTGGTCCTTTGGGCCAAAGTTGAATCATCATCAAAATGTACAGAGGAGGTCAGGAGAGAGGTACAGCAGTGAATGTCTACATCTGTAAAACTATGGCGTTATTTTTGTGCCACTATTCTGAGCGCACGTAAAAATAAATTGCAGGTACAAGTGTTGCATTTTGAGGAGAAATTTATTATTGAGCAAAGAAAAGCTAAATTTGAGTGAACAAAATTCATTGCTGCGTGCAAAAAATGTATTTCAGTGTTTGCTATTATCCATACACACGCACACAATAGCAGCCCCTGTCGCTCAGTTTTTGCACTTGCGCTCGCTCGCAATGTGTTGCTCGCGCTCTCAACATTTCGGAGCAGCATTTTGGCAGTCGTGTTGGAGATCGTGTCTGTCTTATTTATCAGTCATGTATTGGCCTCCCCAATACATGACTGGACCTCAATGGCAGTGTGGGATTATCTAGACTGAAAACAGAACAAAAGGCAGCCAACATCCAAATAAGAGCTTTGAATGTCCTTCAAGAAGAAAGTATATCTAAGTGATTTCAGGCTGTGCTGAAGAATAAAGGTGGTCGTACCAAATATCGATTTTTAAACTTGTTTGAATTGTACAAACTCAGTTTTTGCCTCATATATTTTCCATGTATGTTTACATATGTTTCAATCATTCATTACATCCATTTTCCATTTTTCTAGCAAAGTATAAGGAATTGAGGAATTACTACTACAAGACTTTTTGCACAGTGCTGCACTTTCAGTGACTCCGCATAAGCTAAACTCTGCAGACTGAATTCAGTGTTCACTTCTGATAGATTCGTTTATTAAAGAGACTGAATCAATCTTCTAATCTTCTCAACAAACTTAAAGTAAGAAAGAAAGTATTTCTTTAAAAAAAAAAAATCAAACTATTCCTTTGAGATCTTTGCTTGAAATTGCACATTTCAACTCGCTTCCTCACAGAGTGGATAGCTGCCCATCTCTGTGATGCTTGTGTAAAATTTCTTGAATGTTGCCAAATTTAAGGGGCCACAAGGTTCTTATTCCAATACAGGAAAATCAAAATCTGCAGTTTATTTCCTGCTGGCTCTAGTTGAACATTGAGCCTGCAGACCACCACAAACACACAGAGGAGAATACACACAAGCTCAGGCTTACTTCCAGGTGGAGTCAAAATGAGTTTTCATTACACAGCAAACCACCCTTGCTCCTTCTCTCTGTGCTGGTGTGTGTGTTGGCAAAACTTCCACAGCCAACGAGTAAGAGAAAATATTATATCTGAGCTTTTACACGAGGGGAGAGTGCGGTTTGGCCGGGATGATAATGTTCCGTGTCTAACTGACCCTAGATTTAAAATGGGAAGCTACTTTGACGTAACAGTGTCAGTTTACAAAACTGGCTGAATGAGCTGGTGTTGAATTAATGGAGGAACTGAAATGAGTTCAGCTATTTTTGTTCAAGCTAAACAATTTTTTAGTATTTTATCGAAAATTTTATCCTGTGAAATTCTTGCCTCAATTTAAACTTGGGTGTATACACTATCTGACCACTTCATTAGGTACACATTGCTGTGTATTCGGCCTTCAGAATTACTTTAATTCTTCATGGCAGAGATTCAACAAGGTGCTGGAGACATTCCTCAGAGATTTAGATCCATATTGACATGATAGCCTCACACATGCATGATGAGAATCTCCCATTCTACCACATCCCAAAGCTGCTCTTTTGGTTTGTGGAGGCCATTTGAGTAGTAGTTACGCCACCAACAGTAGCATGAACCACTGATACATTACAGGATGGATCCATGCTTCCGTGTGGCTTACACCATCTGAATGTTACAACAGAAATTGAGACTCATCAGACCAGGCAACATTTTTTCAATCCGCTTCCTGTTTTCTGAGAGGAATGGCATCTTCTGCTGCTGTAGCCCAGCTGCTCTTATGCATGCCTTATTTATAATGAGTGGTTTCCATTTTTGCCCAGGAAACTGAATATTTTCTCTTTTTTCGATCACTCTCTGTAAACCCTAGAGATGGTTGTCTAGAGAAAAGCCCAGTAGATCATCAGTTTCTGAAATCTTCAACAATACCCAACAACCACGCTACATTTAAAGTCACTTAAATCCCTTTTCTTCCCCATTCAGATGCTCAGTTTGAACTTCAGGGGGTCATGTTTACCATGTTTAGATTCACTGAGTTCCACCCATATGATTGCATTATTGCACAGCTGAATAGGTGTATCTAACAAAGTGGCTGGTGAGTGTACTTTCTTAACTATAGTGCATTAATTGTCTACTTCTAATGTAAAAACGTCTTGAATTCAAATGCGAGTTAAGTTTAAACTGATCCTGTATGTCTGCGTGCATGCTGTGGCAGTGACAAACCAAGTGTCGTTACCTCTATAGGTATGAGAATACCAGTCCTCGTCGTCTCCGTAGGCGTACCGTCCTGACCCTGGGGGTAAAAGAAAGCAAGAAAAAAGCAACTAATACAATGAAGAGCTACGTTTATGTTGGGCAATGTTTGAAAGCTTTGTCCTGAGCTGACCTGCAGGGCTTTTATCCGCCCTGCAAAACAGCACCAAGAACAGCCTAAAAGTATTGCTCAACTTCATCTAATCCAGATACCACGGGTGGGAGTAATCAGAATCCACTGGACAGAACACATGCAAGAAGAATAAGTAAGTCCCAAAAGATCTCTGTTTTCCAGTTGGCTTGGAAAAACGAATCTTTTTAACACAGGGATACACTCTGTGATCCTCATTTGAAACGTTTTGCTACAAAACAGCTCCTAAACATATACCCACCATAGCCATCGATATTGTGTCATCTTTAGCAGTGACACATTACTGAGAAAACATGAAAAAAAAAGCTGAAATGTGACACATCATTGAGAGGCACTCACAGCCAATCTGTGAGGAGCCAGGGGGATTCATCTAGGAAAGAGGATGAAGGGATAGGGAAGATAGAGCAGGCCTGGAGCTAATAAAGCTGAGAGGAAATGAGTAAGGATGGGGTTAAAGAAGCAGGAATAAAACTGGCTCAGAGACGTTATGAAGCCCGGCGTGAATGTGTTCTCTGTTCAGGGTCCACAAAGGAGGAGTGTTCAGACCTCCTTCAGCACCGTATATCGGCCACATGTCAGTCAATGAGCCCAAGATAAAAATCACCAGTAGCTACCACTCCTTCTTCCTCAGCGTGGTTTTTCTGTCAGTCTAACAAATGCTGTCTGGGCGAAAATGCTGCAAGTCATATAGCGCACAGTTACACACATGCACACACACAACAAGCTTTGAGGTTTCAGCATTCAGATCACACAGCATCGACTGCACAGAGCAAACCCACATACTGAGTGAGTCAGATTTAGCTGTCTAATGGGAAAACTTAAGTGTCTGCTTCTTAATGGGGCGAGGGAGGGAGGAAAGAAAGTTATGGAAAACCAATTACAGGTGTGTCTGTGTGTCTCTGTGTGTGTGTTTCAGCATTATAGTGAACACTAGTTAGAACCACATACACCGTCAAAGTTATCAGCTCTGAAGGAATTTGCAGCAACTGCAAACAAACAGGATGTGATCATTTACACTGTGATGCAACTGGCACTCATAACCCTATTTTTGTGCTTTTTATGGGTAGACTTAAAGATACGTTCATTTATAGAGAATTTGAAGGACTTGTGCATTTGTTAATGTTATCTAACTGATTAGAACCTCGCTGTTTACTAGATTACTAGTTCAGTTTGCAAGACATGCAAAAAACGTGTTTTTACGACTATCAGTTAAAATGTAATTGCTGTGAATCAAAAGGTAGGAAAAGCAGTGCATTTGACACCGTTGCTAGAGCTGTGTTTACAAAAAGAAATAAAAATAATCACTGGATCCTTTTTCACTTTTACTGTGGAGTAATGTACCAAGATGGAGCAGTTACAGTGAGAAATTGCTTGCACTTTGCATAACAAGAAATCTGCTAATTAAATATTGGGGAAAAAGCAATTATTCACAGACTTATTTATTAAAACAGGTTGTTTTTTCACCAGTTACTAGAAAAGTAGCTGCCTAAGGGGTGCCAGGAGAAAGCCTCTTCTCTAAAAAGAACATGGCAGCACAGCTTAGTTTTGTAAAGCTGCACAAAGAAAAAGACTTCTGGAACAGTGTCAGCTGGACTGTTAAGACCAAAGTTAAGATGTTTGGCCTTAATCCACTGAGCCACGTTTAGTGGATCCATCCACGCGTTTGTGTTGTTTATGCCAAACTCTGATCCATGCAGAGCTGAGTGATTCCCTTTGGGTTTCCTAACACACATAAACAGGCTTTAATACAATAATCTTACTCATCTTTAACACCTTTTTTAAAAAATTGAGTTCCCATTCCTTCTGCAGTTTTAACATTAGTGAGCTAATTTATTCAGTCACCCTTTATCTTCCTGAGTTTTACTTCATTTAATCCATTTTGTTCTAAATTGTGTTTTTTGGTAACTGCAGTGTGAGAGTTTCAAAGCTTGTGACATAAATAAAGTGCATTCTATCGTATTCTATAAAAATGTGATCACTGTTTTACAGCCACTCATTTTTCACTGGCTGCATGTTATCAGAATGGGTCAGTGTGTCTGACATGATCACTGAAGTTGTTGTAATAACACAGTTTGCCTTACTAAAACCACAGACAATATAAAAGATAGATGTAGCTTCATAGTCGGAAAAGTGAAGCCACGAAGTGCCTTAAATTTGCATTCTTTATGTGGCCACCAGGGGGCAGTGCTTGTGGCTGCAAAAATGCTCCCTGTCCTATTGAACTGTGTGAACTTTTCTGCTGAGTTTATGGACCCAGTTGCTAATTTTGGTTCATACTGAATTAAAAAATAAAGTCTCCTTTCTAAATCTTGGTCATTCTATATTTTAGAAATGAGGATAATCTTGGGTATGTTCATTGGCTAATGATATGTGATTGGCAAGGTGTTAGCAAGTGAGCATGCAGTTTCACAGTCATCCCGTCTCTGGACACAGGAGGGTAATGAGACACAGGTGAAACCAATAAGGACACAAGTGAAAGAAAAGCTAAAGACAAATGTGTATCTGAACTTTTACAGGAAATACCAGGAAAGGCTGGGAAACTTAAAACAAACGGATAAAATAACCTAAATAACTAAGAGGATGAAAATAAGTTAAAAGCTTCACAATAATCCAAAAACAACTAACAAATCATAAAAACAATGAGACCATGACAAGTCATGCACATCACTACTTTTCATAAGCTTAAGGTAAAAAAAAAAAACATTTGCCTCACTGTGTAACTTATAACTCCTTATCATTCACAACTAAAACAGCCAACATGTGTAATAAAGATCAATAAAACAAACAGAAATGCTCCTCTCAGTATAAAAAAACGCTTTATGTAACACTTTTGTAGCTTGGTGTTACCCAAGAGTGTGTTATGGTGTTTCTCATTCACCCATTCAGAAACACTCACACACCAAGGTGGTCACCTGCCACCAGGAGCGACCTTGGTTTAGGAACAGCCTCAGTCTAAGGACACCTCACCAAAAGCTGCATCTTTCAGCTATATTGGCTAAAAGAATAATAATTTTCTTTAAAATGGGATCAGATACAAAATCCATGATGAATGATAACCTCACCACCAGGAGAGATACAACAGCCATAAATCTTAGTCGAGCCGATCAATAGCCTCTCCCCAAACTCAATTATTAATCTCTGTATAATTAAATAAGATGAAACGCTGTTGTGCCACACTGGCCTGCAGGGAACAAATAGTTAACCCTTCCCACTCTCTAAAAATGCTTAGCACACATGTAACTTATTCATCCACTTTGTTTACACGTTGCAGAAACCAATTTGGGTCTTGGCTCTGTAATAAACAAAAGCAACTAAACAAAAGCATTGGAGCTCAGATATTCATCTTCAAAGAACAAATAACTTTTTCTTATATTGTTTACTTTTGGAGTAGACATCTTTTTTTATCTTTAGACAAACAAGCAGCCATGAAGGACGGAGGGCACACAAGGATGCTCAGAGCAGCGTGAACTCTCCCATCACTGATGTCTCCATCTGCAGCTCTCAACAGCTGCTGATACCTTTCTCACCCATAGGTGGGACAGATTTGATTGGATCACAGCAGCTACGCAGCTGGAATAAATGGACTGGGTCTGGTTTGTGCTTGTTGATGAGAGAGCTCCACATTCAAAGGATTTCAAAACAGGGATTGAGCGATCTGAGACTTTCCTTCATTTATATTTAACGAATCTGTCAACGCGATGAGGAGGGGATCGGCAGCCAGCATCATCTTCCTGTCCATCTCTCTTACTTCAAAGGAGTTGTCAGTGTTAACAGTGCAGGAACGGCAGGAGCTTGCCTTCCTGAGAAACCTCTGGGAGTGAATATGCTTTAAATTACAGAGCCTGATTCTCCAATTAGCTGTTCTCTGCAGGCCTGTAATACAAACCGTCATTATGTGGAAGAAGCTCTTTTCCGGTAAATGTGGAATCGTGGCTGCAGGCTACCAGAGGGGAAGAATAATAAATAAAATCCGCTGTCATTTCTGTAGAACTCACTTCAAAACGCCACGATTATAAACTTACATAATTCCCTTTTTTCTGCACTAATGACTTGTGTCTCACTTACACTCACGTCTGCTTTGCTTTTCTCATTACATCAGCAGTTTCTGACCCTGAGGAGCAAACTGCTCCGGGTTTCATCTCCATTACCTTACAAAGAGGTACAGTGTTACACCCTACAACCCACCACAGCGAGTGAAAACCTATTAAGGAAAGTAAACTCGCCTAAGTGCTCTCAACTGATGACGCCTTGATGCATCTGGTTTGTGTGTCTCGTGTAAAAGCAAATACTTATATCCAGTAAAACCTCTGTAGGTACTAGCCAAGCAGGATGAAGCACTTCATCACCTGAGAGATACAAAATAACTACAAGCTGTTGGCAGCTGAGGTGTTTGACTCATTCAGTTAGTGTTCACCAGGTTCACTGCTAGAAACCAATCATTCCACACCGGGTCTTTATTTAGCATCTGTTTGTCCATTCGTAAAGCAGAGACAATCAATATTTCTGCATCAACAATGGGTCGGATGGACCCCAGGAAGGATAGTGAACACTAAGGGGGGATGTGGGGAACACTGCAGTTTCTCCTGTTTTAGTGTTTCAGTTCACTCAACATTTTCAGAGGAAGGCAACAATTTTTAGAGAAACATTTGATCAGCACCACACAGACACATGCCATTCAAATGGATGTATGCATCATGTATCTTCAGGATTCACAGTCCAAAATAATCTGCATTTATCTTAAAGTGACCATTGTTGCAGCCCTTCATTTCATCCACCTTCTCAGACAAGCTGTTGTCCCTCATAAACAGCAGAGCGATAGACCCATACATCGATATCCGGTGATTTAAAAACATAACAGAGTGATATTTAGACACACGAAACAGATTTCTCTAAAATTTCTCAAACATGTGTTTCTCTCGTCACTTCTTTACTCTTGATTTTAGGTTATTGGTTGTTATAAATGCTGATACCATTATACCGACAAACAGCTAATACTGGCTCATATATCAGTCCAGCCAGTATTGCTCGGACTCTAATAACCACCAGGCTTGGATATCAGTTTAGTGGGAGAACTGTGTTCCTGAGATGACCTCATGAAAAGTTCATGAGAGTTTGCAGACAAGACGGCATCTTCAGGGCAAACTATACTGACCACTGCGATCTGCTAGCAACGAAAGCAATCAAAAAGAGGTTTTTGTTGCAGCATCCTCTTTGCAACCAATTTCACAGCCAAGAACCACTCAGGCACACTTCACCTTAGCGACTGGAGGTAGCCAAGGGCCCGTCTCACACTGCTTATTAACTTATAGATTGAACTTATTGAGTTCACTCTATTAATCCTTACAAATATGGTTTTAGTACATCATGGCTACAAGTGAATAATGAAGACTTCATTGAACATTTTGTAAATCCTCCTGCTGCTTTCTCTTTCAGCCACATGCAAACGCCTCTAATAACACTTCAGTCTAAAACTAGCTACCCATTAACCAGAAAGGCATTTGGAAAGTGCATCCTTCACCAAGGTCAATATCCCTGTATTGCAATGAAGAACGTGAACCAGATCCACCCTCAACTCAAATATTGTGGATCCAGGATGGGAAATTTAAGAAAATTCTAAAAAGCTCTAGCACTGACTGAGGAATTACTAGAGAGTTCTTGGTCTGGTCCTTGTGCATTGCTTTGTAATTATGCAGGTTGCTTTCAAGCAGACTTCCTCAATGATGGTACTTGCTGGCATTTCCTCAAACTACTCCCTTCATGAGGTGTATGACCCACATCAGTAAAACATACCCTCATGGAAAATGTGATCTGGCTGTGATTGAGTGACTACATGGCCGTACAGTAAGCCCCCCCTCCCACACACACACAAAAAAGAGCCCGAAAGGAGCAAAAGCAACTGCACATCTCTAGATTTGACTCTGGTGCACTGCCAAACAACCCTGGCCATGCCTAACTAATAAAAGGCTTACTAACCAAAAGAAAAAAACACAAACAGAGCCCAGTAAAATAAACTCCTCATAATAGATGCAGGCGCATACACAAGAACAGACCAAAGTCCTGACTGTCGGCTCAATGAGCAGTTTTTAGTGTGTCAGTATGAATCTGCTCCACAGCTTGTGTTCATGTTTCAGCCTGTATGATCATACAGCAGCGGTGAGCCACTCTCAAACCATCTACAGGCACACAGCCACTGCAACTGGCTGCACAAGCTGGGACACACACACACGCACACACACACACACACACGCACACACAACACTTCATCCGGACGTACGCTTAGAAGTCGTTTCAGCTTCTCGCTGGAGGCTACAGGCTTTATGTTTCTGGATCTTGCACATCAACGGTGATTAGTTGCATTATGGAGTGACTGCTGTGTTGGACAACGTCTTGTTTCATTCATCCAAAGAAAAGCAGTTATTTTCCATGAAGGAACAGTGATAGAAAAGTTAACAGGGGCAGTAAACTCTTTGGAACTATATTAGAACAGAAACTCTTTCGTGTTAAGTAGTGTAAATAATTCCAAACACCCAAAGCCAAAATATGTGAAGGCCCTTTGTTTATTTTAATTCAAAGCTCTTAGTTATTGGGGTCTTTTCAGCCTCTTAGCGCGGTATCAAAGATTAAGAGGTGGAGGCATGAAGAAGCGAAAATTAAACTTTGAACGCAGATCAGCTGCGGGCCTGTGATTAGTGCCACCGACCGAGCTGTGCGCACAGAAACGTCCCCCACATGCACACTGCACTCCCCCCGCTCACCACCCCCTCCACGTAAACACAGCCGCGGTTCACCAAACACCAGCAGCAGGGAGGACGAGAAACCTCAAACTCAGTTCAAGTTACAGTCATCTCTAAGCCCAAAGCGCATAATTTAACTACACTTACCCTTCCACCAAGCCACTGGCACCGCCAGAGTCTGTCCATGTGGACTCTCTCTCAAGATAAGCTGCTCTACCATTTGATATTTCTTCTTTTCAGCACGGTTAAAAACGTCCGGAAGATGAATGAGAGGCTGTAAGTTGCTGTTTACCTTCATACCCGGAGCAGAAGCAGAGCTGGACAAACAGGAGCAGCAGCGGCCACATGTCCATGTCGGGACGCGGGACGGACGTTCCTCAACATGTGAAGGGGAGCCTGCAGGAAAGCTTCAGTGCATTCCTTCTTTCTAAAGGCCCGCCTCTTGCTCCAGAAACAAGGGAGGATTCTCTCCACACAGCCTGGCCCGACCACCGGCATGAGGGAGCCAGACAGGGAGGACAGTGCCAGGCTCAAGGCTAAACTGTGACCCAAGTGCATCAAATCAGCCCATTTTATTTTTATTCCTTTAACTTGTTTATTTACTGATATACTTTGTGTATTTTACTCAAGTGACTACTGTGCATATATTTATTTTATCTATCTTTAAAATACACGAAAAACTATCAGTTGTATAGATAGCTAAGTTTATTTGGCCCCTTAACGACATTTGATTGGAGCATTTTCCCTACACCAACATGGATACAACACATGCACATTTCATTGTGTGTTGCTCATATTTAGCTGATGGCTTGAGGAGCAAAATAAAGTTATAAAGTGGTGGATAGGTTTTATTTTGAGACTGAAGTCTCAAAGTCACAATATTTTGGTTTACCTGCAAATGTTCTGTCATCATGTTTGCCTCTCCACGTTTTGGTGCCCCTTGTAAGGTGTGAGGATTGGTCCAAATACCGATGGTATTGGATCAACACTAGCACGATACTTGATTTTGATCCTCTAAGTTCACTATGAATTAATATATATTATTTTACTTATTTATTTTTTAAATAGTTTTATAGCTCATGTGCAACCCAGGTCTCTACAAAAAAGAAAGCATAAATTTGCAGTATCCCACCCCACCACTTTATTGGTGAAATAAGATTTAATGTCACCCCTGCACATTTCACACTTTTACAGCTTCGCTGCATCTCAGAAAAGTAAGTAAATGAGTACAGTTTTGTGCTATGTGCTATGCAGCACATCTCAAGACAAATATCACAAAGTGCTTCACAACAAAATACTAAAAACATGGAGTCCAAAAAAGTTACCTGCAAGCAACATTTTCAGCTCCTTTTTAAAAGAGACCACAGAACTCGGCTCAGTGGGAGAGAGTTTCAGAGTGTGTTGCAATAGCACTTTGTACAGAGTTTCAACATCTTTAACAGATTTTAGTTTTCAGCCTAGTTTAAAATCAGATGGACACTTTTCAAAAGTGACAAGTATCAGCCAGTTGTACAACCAGTTTGTAATTCCAGTGAATCTTTTTAAAGTTTTTCCAGAAAAAATCATAAATCTTCAGAAAACTCAGAGCCTTTCTTGCCTTTTTTTGCAAGTTGATTTAAAATGAAGATAAAAGTAGCCTCGCAGCAGTGTTTTTCACACACATCATCAAACAAGCTTTTATTAGAGTGTGAGTTCTTTAATCTATCACATTTAATGTGAGAAATGGAAGGGGGCTTTTATGCACACTTGGGTATATTTAATTTTATTTTACAAACATGTCCAAACTTCAAAATAATGAGGTCAGTAATCTCTGTGAGCCAAGAGTTCAGGCTTCAGACTGGCCAAACACGTTTTGTTTTGTTTTGTTTTTCACTTTTAACTCTGTGTGACGTCAGTGAGAGCGGATATCCCTAATATGGTCATCTCAAGCATACACGCCTGACTGTGAGCACACAATCCCCACCTACCTGCTGTTTGCAAGGGGTAACCAATCAGAAGCAACTTGAGAGAGGGAAATAAGCTAAAATAGCTTCTTTAAGACAGTGGATGGTAGTAGTATTAGACATAAAATTATAATTTTGAGCTGTGAATCACAGAGCAACCTTAGAGTCCAAGAATTAAAAAAAAAAATCAGAGATATGGCACTTTATTTTTTGTCCTGTCTCCCTCTGCTCTCTTTTCTTTCCCCTCCTCTTACCACCAACCAATCGCAGCAGATGGCTGCCCCTCCCTGAGCTTGGTTCATTATGAGGTTTCTTCCTGTTAAAAAGGAATTTTTCCTTCCCACTGTTGCTATGTGCTTGAGTCGTGTGATTGTTAGGGGTTCTTTCTAATATTGTAGGATTTATCTTACTATATAAAGCACCTTCAGGGAAATGTTGTTGTAATTTAGTCCAATATAAGTAAAACTGAATTGAATTATTAGGTGCTATTAAGCCTCCAAATGCCTTTTCTATCACTGATCTAAAACTGCAAGTAGAAAATATTTATGGTTAACTTACAGAGTGAACCACTGAATAGTATTTTATAAAATTAGATATAACTGGAGCCACAAAGCTTTTGTACTTATGACTCTGCAAACACATCATTTTAAAAGTCTACAATCAAGAGTTCATGAATGTAAATACAGAAGATCTTACAACAAGGTGCAGACAGCTGGTTACGCTAATGAATATGGGGCTAGATTAGACTTTGGCAGCAAGCATTTAAAGGCGCTTGCACAGTTCTGATGAACTTGTAGCAGAATGATGAGCAGAGACAAGTATGGAGGAGGAGAGAGACTGCTCATCATCCAACTATTAAGAACAATGTGCATCATCCAAACACTTAACGAACCTAAATGTGACAGATATAAAATTACGCATGCACATACCGCACTGCTGACACTTTTATTTATGATCTTGTTTGCATGTAGAATAGTATAATATTTGGTACTCTTAGTTTAGCGAAGGCAGGACTTTTGATCTTTGTTTGTTTGCTTTAAGTTTATGTTCAAAGCATTGCATGTTTCACCAGAATATAAAATAATTCAGTAAAAGTAAAGGTAAAGTAAAATAAACATTAAAAGGTTGTAGTTAGTAAACCGTTACAAATTTTGTCTGAACTTCTGTATATTTGTAAAGTTGAGTGTTAATGAAATCATTTATGATTGGAAACGAGTATTGATGTGTATTGTTGTGGCCGTTTTCTCTGCTCTGTTCCCTTTTGGAAGCTGAAATATTCCCCCGCAGAGAGCTCTTGTTTCTTTCTCGTCCCCTTAATAAGTCACATCCATTCTGTCTTAACAGCTGAAAATAATATCACATAAACAATGGCTGCTTACAGCAACACAGCTCAGCACTTAGTAATGTTAGCCGTTCATTGTGTTTGTGATTCACAAGTCAAAATGTCTGCTGTGAACCAGCTCTGTTTACCTGATAGGGTTTAAATTATATTAACCTTTATGCTGAGCCGCTCTGCTCTTTCATCACCACTGGAGAGCTGCAGAAACAGTGCAACATGGAAACTTGGGCACAAGTTTGCTCCCTGTTTCAGTTTCCTAATGATGAACATTTTATAAGAAGTCGAGCTGAATCCAAGTTGTTTCCTAGCAACAATACTCTGATGAGATGTTCTATAGTAACCATCATGATCTGTCTTTAGTGTTTTGTCTCCTATAGCTGAAACAGAAGCTGTTTCTGTAGTATGTTTTTTGCAAGATCTGACTTGACGTTTACTTGACAGTCTTCTAGAGCTAATGATTGCTCTGTTTCATAACACGTGTACATGCACGCACTGCAGAAAAGCTGAGAGAGTACAGAGCTCCTGCAGGACTAATTGGTGTTTAATTTTCTGTCTAAGACAAGCATGAGGTTTGGATAGAAACCCTGTGTAGTGTGTAGTGCAGCAGAGCGAGTCCACACATGAAGGTGTCAAAACTCTCCTTGTCTCGACAGGGAACAGGAAAGAGGGGCGTGCAGTGAAACGACTGTGAGAGGATCTCCAGAGCAGTAATTATATGTGGGTTCAGGTGACCGTCTTGGCTTTGGTTGATTCGTTTAACACTTTGTTGTGCTGGTTACCACCAGTAATTTTGTCTTAGGACTGTCTCTGGATTTAGTCCGATGAGTTTAACTGTTGTTTACAGGCAAGAGCTGCTTTCTGATCCAGCTCAAGACAAGAATTGTGCCTAGTGTAAACACAAAGTAGTGTTGCAGGAATTTAGTCAACATCAAGGTAGCAAAGAATAACTGAACTTGAGCCATATGCTGAATGTAAAATTTGAATCAGTGAATTATTACAAATAAATAAGAAAGATTTCTACATAATTTTTATGCATCCTGATAAAATTTGGGCTTTTGATGATTTCTTTGAGCTGCAAGTTTAACCCCCAGGGTGCTTTAGGGGTTCGGTTTGTAGGGTTTGATTACGGGTTTTGAGAAAACATTTGGACTTGCTCCACTGACAAAAGGCAGGAGACTGGAGACCAATTAACGGGGTTCAGCTGACAGCAGGAGGGAACAGAGAGAGAACAGATTATTACTGATCGGGGCATGGAGGTGAAGACAATCTGGCAACGTGTGCTGCACACGCCCACTTAATGTGGGGCTGCTGTCCAAGTGTGAGGAGAAGAATTGAGGTCTTTGACTCTGCCCTGAGGCAGACCTGCACTCCCGAGGAAAAAGTAAAAAGCAGTTTTAACAGCCCAGAGTATGCTACTATCACCTGCCACCATGCTTGACAGCTGTTCTTAGGTTTGAAAGCCTCACCTTTACTCCTCCAAGCATACCTTTTCTAACATCTGAAACTCCTTGTAAGCACTGTAAGCAGACTTGTGGGTAATTTTTGCAGAATGTTTTTCCCAAAGAAGAAAAACATGTGCATTAAAAAATTAATTATTGTCACTCAAATGCTGTCCTATCTTAACAATAACATTTGTCTTATTATTCTAAGCTGAGTGGCCACAAATTACTCATTTTACTCTGCAGCAGGCAGCAGTTTCTAATGAAGGTGCTCTGAAAACCCCACTGTAAAAACTCTGTTCAGCATCAGATAACAGACACAGCTGGTTGATGTAATGGAGCATGTCTGAAGAGCCTTAAAACAGAAATATGTGTGCATATTTAACTTAAGCCCAACTGAATGATGTTTTTGTCTTAAAAACAACACTCACACATCAAAATGCTTTCTCTATTATCTATTATCTTTTTCTATTAACTACACTGTGATCAACACAAGTTTTCTCCTATTTCTGTGTGACATGTTTCAGTACTTCATTGTACACTTTTTGCTGCAAACGTAATATGTTTTGACAAATATGAAATATTCTGAAATAACTGACTCATAAAAAAGCTGTTTTCAGTATATTATATACATTCATCAGAACAGGTGGAAGACTGGAGCCTAGATATACATTAGAAAATTATATAGTATTCAATTCAAGGCTCTATAATAAATACATAAACACTCTGATTAGGGTTAAGACAATAGGAACATACCATCACCAGTTACTTTTAGGTACATTTGCTAATGACTGTCTTCATGGCATTCCTCAGAGATTTTGATCCACATTGACATGATGGCATCTCACAGTTTGTTAGCTATACATCCATCCAAGTGACTCGTGAGTATAGCAGCGTAATTAGATACACTGAAACCTGGAAATATATGTGTCCATTGAACATAATCATGTTATCTTAAACGTTCATTTGTTTCAACAGCTGCAGCTTTTGAGCTTCTTTGGAACCTAGTGTGTCGTACCTCCATATCATCATTATTATTATTATTAATATATGTCATTCTCAGTGTGTTTTCTTTATAAATATCAATGTCACTCATGTGCAAAATAAGCAAATTCGCAAAACAGTTAAGTCATGTCAAGTCTATGTGTTCACATTTTGGCTTCAGTGCCCTCAAGCTAAGGTTTAAGCTAAGGTTGTCAAGAAGCGCTGTGTGGAAGGCAGGAGCCAGACCCAAAATGCAGGCGCTCAGGCACAAGGTTTAAACACAAAGAACTCAGCTTTATTTGCTGGCAGGGGAAGTCATACAAAACTAAACTGGGGAAAATATGAACCACAACTTACAGAGAGGAACATGAGGAAACACACAGCTTGAGGGACAACACAACACTGACGCAGAGAAACACAGGGTTTAAATACACTGGGAAGTAACGAGGGGAATGAGACACAGAAGGAGAGCACAGCTGGGAGAAATCAGAACTGATGAGACAAGGAAGCAAAGCAGAACACATTCACATAAGACACAGACCTTCAAAGTAAAACAGGAAGTATAACACGGAGACGCGAACTTGACATGGTGGAGACAGCAACTAAGAAACACAGAGACTTACACGGAACAGAGGGGGCACAGAGAAACATGAAGGGCAGGGGATCAAAACTAGAAACCATAGAATAAATCACACGAGTACAAAATACAAAAATCACAAAGAACTAAAAACGCTGGTTCAGGAGACCCAGGATCCTGACAAAGGTAGTGCCAAATACACCACTTTAGTGTTGTTCTACACAGAGCACCACATGGATATCAATACGCACATGAAAATAGTTCTTGACAAAACTTAGATTGCAGTATAAATGGCTTGACTGCCTTGGACAGTGTAAGGGTTTTTGAAAAGTGCTTAGACACACTTGTTATGTGTTTTCAGAGCATAAAGAATAACTCAGACGAAGCTCGTGTTTAGCTGAGATTTCTGTGGGTGTGGCTTCACCGTGGGCGTGGTCACTGAAGGTCTAGGTATTGAGGCAGGACATCGTTCCAGAACTGCTGAGAGTCCTCAGCTTTCGCCCCCCCTGCAGCTCTCTGCCTGGTCCTCGGTGCTGGTTTGGGTGCTTCTTTCTGTTTGCTGCTTCTGTCTGGTGGCGGTTTCTGTCGCTTCTCTTTTTTTTTCTTTGCTAATTTTGCTTGGTCCTCCTCTTCCTCATTCTCCTCCTCCTCTTCTTCATTTTCATCTCCTTCTTCCTCTTCCTCAATTCCCTCTTCTTCTGCCTCCTCCTCCTCCTGGTTCTCATTTCCCTTTTCCTTATTCTCTTCATCCCTTTCTTCTTCATCACCCTCTTCCTCACTATCCTCATCTTCATCATCAGTTTCCTCATCATTACCTTTCATGTCTTTCCTTTTTCCTCTTAGCCTTGTCTGTTTTTGCTGTTCTTCCTCTTCTTCCCCTTCCTCCTCACCTTCCCCCTCCTCCCCCTCCTCCTCCTCCCCTTCATCACTCTCTAACAGATTTTTTTTAGCAGGCTCCATGCTTTTATTTTTCCTTTTGATTTCTCCTCTTCCTCACTTTCATTCTCTTCCTCAGCTTCTTCTTCTTCATCCCCTGTATCCTCCTTCTCTTCCTCAGCTTCTGTTTCTTCGTCCCCTGTATCCTCCTCCTTCTCTTCCTCTTCTTCCTCAGCTTCTATGTCTTCGTCCCCTGTATCCTCCTCCTCTTCTTCCTCTTCCTCTTCTGCAGACTCTTCCTCCTCCTCACTCTCTTCTTTGTCCTCATCCTCTCCATCTTCTGTCTCAGCTTCCCCATCACCTACGGACTCACTTTCTTCCCTTTCCTCACCTCCTTCTTCCTCTTCTTCTTCATCACTTTTTTCATCTTGGAGTTCCTCTTCATCAGCCTCGCTATCTTCTTCTTCCTCTCCCTTATCACTGTCTTGCTCTCCTTCACTCTTATCTGCCTCTTCATCTTCAACCGAGTCCTTCTCCTCATCCTCATTTTCTGTGGAGGCATCATTTTGTTCCTCAGTTTCGCCCTCTTCATCTTCATCATTTTCTTCTTCTTCAGTTTTGGCAGATTCTGCAGTGTCTCCTTCCTCTCCGTCCTCCTCCCCCTCTGACTCTCGGTTCGTGCTCTCATCGCTCTCTGATTCATCACCGCTTTTCTTCTCTTCATCCTCACTCTCCTTCTCTTTATCCTCTTTACTCTCTTCATCACTGGACTCTTCATTTTCACCTTCCTCCTCTTCCTCCTCAGCTCCTTCACTCCCATCAGAGTCACTCAATCCATCACTTGTCTTCTTACTGCTTTCTTCCTCTCCTTCAGTTTCAGCAGCATTAGTTTTATCACTTCCTTCATCTTCATCACTCCTGCTTGTTTTCTCGTCACCCTCTTCTTCCTCAGATACATTATCTTCCTCTCCCTCTCCCGTATTGCTCTCCTCTCCTGTTTCTTTGTCACTACTACTCTCACATTCTTCCCTTTTATCTTCACTGTCACTTCCACTCTCGACATCTTCATTCTTTCCCCCATCCTCAGAATCCTCATCCTCTCCAGATGCCTTGTCGGATTTCTCCTCCACTTCTTTTTGTGAATCTTCCATGTGTTCACCCCTGATATGCTCAGACAGGCCCCCTTTCACTGCCTCCCCCTCTGATGGATCACAACTGCTGTCATCATTTTCTACTTCTTGGGATTCATTTACAGATTCCGATGGAACACCAGCTTGAGCATCTGTCTTCAGGCCATCCTCCGTTTCATTCGAGGAAGAAAAATGTGACAATGTGGAGCACAAGGACGGCTCCGTAACTGCACTCTGCTTCGTGAATTGTCTGACTTTACTGAGCGTTTTAGAGGGTGTCGAGGTGGCTTTGTCACTGTCAGACTGCACACTTGTCACTGCCTCACGAAGGACCTCAATAGCTGCACCTGCAATCCCAGCAACTGGAAGAAGTGACGCTGAATTACTGAGAATTTCTCCCCAATTTGTTTTTCCCCCATTCTTGCCCCAAGTGTCCTCTTCATCTGTTTCAGAAACACGGGAATCCATAACAACAGGCTTAGCGCCTCGCAGGGGTTTTGCAGCTCTAGGAGAATCCACCTCTGGGCTTTGAGGGGAAATTGGGTTACCTCTCACTTCTGTAGGTGTATCCTGCTGAGATGACGGCAGGCTGGAAGCTTCACTCTTTGGTTTAGCCTTCATCTTATTCTCAGAGTCAACATCCCCCTCACCTTTAACTCTGATTTCCTCTTCCTTGCCTCCTCCTCTTCGTTTTGTTTTTGCCCTCTGTTCAGCACCGGATTCCTTTGCCGTCTTTTTGTCCTTTATTTTTGACAATTTCTGCTCATCCACAGTTCCACCTTTCATCTTCAGAGTGGCGTCTTTGGCACAATTTAACTCATTTTCCTCACACTTTTCTTTGCTTTCACCTTCAATGAGGGGATTTTCTGCACATTTACTTTGATCCTTGACTGGTGTTGGTTTAAGCTCTTGCAATTTTCCCTTAACTTGCAATGGTGTTTTTCTGGAGACAGATTTCTTGGTTTCAGCCTTAAAAGGTGTTGTGTTTTCTTCCTGTGCTGCTGGCGATTTAGCATCCACTCCTGGTACAGATTTAACCTTGTGCTGATCTTTTGTTAGAGTCGATTTGACTCGCCGTGTCCCCCGACTCGCCACTTCAACAGGTTTGACGTCATCACTTCCCCTCTGAGTTGCTTCATTTTCCTTTACGCCATTTTCTGTGGATGCTAGACTGGCTGCTTGATTCACTTTACTGACCTTGATAGAAGGAGATTTCGGATCTAAAGATGATGATTTCTTTGTCTCCTTTTTTGGGGTCCTTGTCAAGCCTTTCTTCAGAGAGCTGTTATCCTATTCATTCGGTTCATTACTTTCTCTCAAATCCTCAGTTTTCCTCGTCTTGTGCTTCACTTCAGTCACTCTCTCCTGTGCATCTGTCAGCGTCTGTTGTGTTTTTGTGCTATGCTCTGACGGTTTCCTCTTATCTTGCTGTGATGATTTAAAATGCGGGAGCTGCTTTTGAGCTTGCCTGTTTTCTGAAGGTTTGATGTTGCTGGACTCCTTGGTGATGTTCTCTTTGCTGTTTGAAGTCACTTTGTGATTTTTCTTTGTGCTCTTCAGAGGAGACACTTCTGTCTTCAAGGTGCTGGGGCCCTTCATAAGCTCTGTTGGCAAAACCTTAGGGGAGTTTCGGTCGGTCTTCTCGTTAGTCTGGATCTGTTGTGCAAATGGTTCTTCTTCCTTTACTGCATGTCTAAAAGCTCTGCCCTTTTTCTTTCCCTGTAACAAATCACATAAGGATTCAGAAAGATATAATACGAAAAAGAAAAGTAGATTAAAGAAGGAAAGCTGCACAAGCGGAGCGGCCGTCAGTATAACTGCATATGTAATTTGTTCAATGTTTTATGTGTTTTTAATGCTTTAAATATCATCTTACCTACCTACTGTACTTGCACCCTACTATTATAGACTACTAGAGGTATATTTCAGTGGTTTTCAAAGTGTAAATAGAATGTCAGGGCAGACTCGTATAATTAGTTGCACTGAAGACTTTAGTAGGTGTGCACGAATAATTAGTGTCAGCAGTTTGGTGAAATATATTCCCCTTCTCTTCCCGAGTTATGGCACTGACAAAAAGTGAATGAAAAAAAGTGTTTCTGCTGAAAATTATGATGTCACAGTGAACCCGCCTTTTGACCACCAATGACTGTAAAAGTTCTGTTAAATCTCAACGATTTCAATGTCAATTCATGCTAAATTACACATATATAGATTTCATTTGTAATACCAAGAATCAAGCATAACACCACAAAGTCAAGCTCGGATACAGTCACAGTGGATTACCTGATGCCAGCATAAATCCACTGTCTGTGATGTCTTAGCTGAAACTTTTCTATATATTGAAGTAGAAAATCTTTCACAGGGTGTCACTGAGGTGCTATTTAATCACACAGCAGCCAGTCTGCCATTGTGAGGTGTTTAAAAACAAGTTCAGCACCTCATAAACCTTCTCTCCAAAATTGATTGTTTTCATTAAATACCTATGTATAATACAATATTTTATTCTCTTGATTACTGATTATTTTAGAAAACATACTGGCAGGGATAGCTCAGTAGGTAGAGTGGTGGTTCGACTCCACTGAACGGCTACCCTGAGGTACCCCTGAGCAAGGTACCGTCCCTACACACTGCTCCCCGGGCGCTACACTGGTGGCTGCCCACTGCTTCACTGGGTGAATGGGTTAAATGCAGAGGAACTATTTCCCTATGGGGACTAACACGCACACTTTACACTTTTACACTGTCTCAGACTGACGCTGAAAAACTAGTTCTAGGCGGGACTACTGTAATTCGTTATAATCAGGATGTTGTAAAAACTTCCTAAAAGGCCTTCGGTTAATCTAAAATGGTGCAGCAAGAGTACTGACAGGGACTAGAAAGCAACAGCATATCTCTCCTATTCTGGCTTCTCTTCATCTGGCTGCCTGTTAAATGCTGGATCGAATTTAAAATCTTTCTCCATGCATACAAGGTGTTGAATAATAAGGCCCCATCTTATCTTAATGACCTTATAGCACTGCATCACCCCAGCACAGTACTGCACTGCCAGACTGCAGGTTTACTTATGGTTCCTAAAGTATTTAAAAGTATAATGGGAAGCAGAGCCATCAGCTTTCAGGCCTCTCTTCTGTGGAACCAGCTTCCAGTTTGAATTCGGGAGACAGACACTATCTCTACTTTTAAGATTAGGCTTAAAACTTTCGTCTTTGATAAAGCATATATTTAGGGCTGGATCAGGTCACCGTGAATCCTCCCTTGGTTATGCTGCAATAGGTTTAGGCTGCTGGGGAATTCCCATGATGCATTGAGTTTCTCTTTTTCAGCCACCTTTCTCACCCACTATGCGTTTATACACTTCTCTGCAATCATTATATGATATATTAATAAGAAAACTAGAACGTTATGGTGTCAGAGGGGTAGTTTTAGATTGGGTCCGGAGTTATTTAAGTGACAGAAAGCAGTATGTGAAAATAAATGGTGGTTGCTCCTTATGTATGGACATTGCTTGTGGTGTACCCCAAGGGTCAGTTTTGGGTCCAAAATTCTTCAACTTGTACATTAACAACATCTGTAAAGTGTCCAAAGTATTAAAAATGGTTCTCTTTGCTGACGATACAAACATTTTTTGCTCTGGTGATGATCTGCAGAATTTATTGGAGGATATGACTAATGAAATAAGTAAAGTGAAGTTCTGGCTTGATAAAAACAAATTATCATTAAATTTGAATAAATCTAAACTGATGTTATTTGGAAATAGTAGTTTAAATACAAATGCAAAGATTCAAATAAATGGTGTTGATATTGAAAGAGTCAGTGAAAATAAATTTCTGGGGGTAATAATAGATGAAAAACTTAACTGGAGAGCTCACGTAAGATATATTCATTCCAAAGTATCACGAAGCATTGCAGTACTAAACAAGGCAAAACAGGTATTCGACAGAACATCACTTCATATTCTCTACTGTTCACTGGTTTCACCATACTTAAGCTATTGTGCAGAGGTCTGGGGCAATAACTATAAAACCACATTACATTCACTTTTTACTCTTCAAAAGAAAGCAATTCGAATCATCCACAATGCAGGTTATAGGGAACATACAAACTCACTATTTTTGCAGTCTGAAATATTGAAAATTGACGATATAGTGAAATTCCAAACAGCACAAATTCTATTCAAAGCAAAAAATAAAGAACTGCCAGGTAATATTCAGAGTATGTTTTTTTTGAAAGAAGGAAGTTATAATTTAAGGGGTTTTTGTAACTTCAAAACAATGAAGGTACGTACTACAAGAAAAGGCTTTTGTGTTTCTGTTCATGGAGTGAAACTATGGAACAAACTGAATATGGAATTAAAGCAATGTCCAAACATAAAACTGTTCAAAAAGAGTTATAAAAATATGATCTTCTCGATCTATAAAGAAAAGGAAAATTTTTAAATTAAGTGAATGTCTCTATTTAAAAACAAACAAACAAAAAACTCATGATGTGATATTATAGTATATAGTATATCAGAAATCTGTTCACTATTTTTATTACAAATTATATCAGTAAGGAAGCTGACTAAATATTCACTGATAATTTATGGGACAGGGGTGGGATTAAATAAGTGTATACTTCTTCCCACTCCCTTTCAACATGTAAATTAATCAGAATGTTTTTTTGTATGTAATTTGTATAGTATTTTTTTTCTCTCTTATTTCTTTTCTAAATGTACTTGTATATTGTTCACATGTTGAAATAAATTACCAATCAATCAATCAATTAGTTATTAGTCATCTCTGGAACTCTGCCACTGCGCGTCTTTGTACCATCTTTCTCCCCTCACCTCCAACCGGTAGCAGCAGATGCCAGTCCCTCCCTGAGCCTGGCTCTGCTGGAGGTTTCTTCCTGTTAAAAGGGAGTTTCTCCTTCCCACTGTCACCAAAAAGCTTGCTCATAGGGGGTCATATGATATGTTTTCTCTGTTTTCTCTGTGTTATTGTAGGGTCTTTACCTTACAATATAAAACACCTTGAGGCAACTGTTGTTGTGATTTAGCATGATATAAATAAAATTGAAATTTCTCTCACACTTAAAACTCACACATGTGAGGACACACATACAGTACTGTGCAAACACAAATACACAAATTTACCCCTGCAGTGAGGACAGGATTGCTGGGGGGGGGCACCACATGTTGCAGTAACCCATAGCACACAGCAAAGTAGGAGACTCTTTCTCAACTTGCTTCATCACTGGTTGTGGAAACACTGATGAGATGTGGCAAGATTCCTGAGAACTTTTCCAAAGCACTGCATGTGTGTGTGTGTGTATCCGTGTGTGTGTTTGTGCATCTAGGGGCTGGAGCCCAAACAAATTTGTGTATCAGCAGAAGCTGTCCAAATATCTGAAACTGGCTGATGAAGATTCATTAGAGATATTCAATTTTATATTTTTCTTCATTGTTTTACCAAGTGGAAAATTTCTTTACACACACACACACACACACACACACACACACACACACACACACACACACACACACACACACACACTTGCAAGAACACACACACATACAGTATACACAGCACGTATGCTGATGTATGCACATTTCCTGGAAAAAGTCAGAGTGTTCTACGTTGCTGCTTCCTGCCCTGCAGTGCATTTAATCCAAACCAGAGAGAAGAAGCCAGAAGAGGAAAATAACAGTCGTCTCACTCTACATCTAAGACTCTGTGGACTATACTGTATTTATCTGCTCTATCTAAGAGAAACCATCGCATAATGAGCCATCAAAAATGTCTTCTCTCACCATATATGGTGAAAAGACTTCTTTCTCCTCCACTTCTTCAGTGATTATTTGTCTCTTAACATTTCCTGAAATAACAGACAAAATTAGGTTAAACAGCTTAAACCCGCTCAAGCATCAGCTAAAAGCTGGCTATAACATTTATTGCCACTTGTTGAAACCATAGAATTCAAGTACCTGTTTTTGTTGGGGCAGAATGTTCTTCCTCCTTTAGATTTTTAATGAAAACATTACTGGGGGGTCTAGTCGGGGTGTAGGGCTCTTTAGGTGGCACAGGAGATGAGAATTTGTTACTTAGAGGCTTCTTAGTGGCTGCTGCTCGGTTTAGTCTAGGCTTTGCAGTCATTTTAGTAGCTACAGGACTGCTGGGGTTTAATTTTGTTATAGACTTTGGTAAAAGCAAAGGAGAGGGCACCTTTTTGCATTTAGACTTAGAAGAAGCAGACGTGGATGCTTTACTTTGAAGCGTGAATGATGATTGTGAATGTGGGGTTGATGCCTTAGAGGATAACAGTGGACTCTGAGGGGATATGGATCGAGATCTGGGGGAGAGAAGTGGGCTTCCTGTCACCTCTGATTTTGGTTTAGGGGATGATGAAGGGGTAGTAGCATCATTTGAAAGGGTTTTCAGAGTTAGGGAATTTCTGGATCTTTGCCGAGATGTGTTGAGAAAGTCAGAGTTAAGCCGTGGGAGGCTCTGAAACTTATCCCCAAACAACTCCACAGAACGAACCTGAAAAATAGGAAACGAGATTCTCGAGTTTAAGTTTGGAAATGTATCTATGGAGCGTCAGCAACCAGTGGCAGATTTGCAGTGTGGTGCAACACTGCCCCCTATTGATATAATACAGGTCATACAAGTTTTCCAAGGGGTTCTGCAAGCATGGGTTTCAAATGTTTAACGTTTTATTATCGCATAAAATACACTTAAATACCTGTTTCATGACTGCACAGGTCAAATAAAAAATAAAAGAAAAAAAATCAATTCCACCCCAACCCCTTTACTGATTTCTTTTTTCAACATGCCTGCATGTTTATCACACTCAGGTCCTCAAATAAAATTTAATATTAGACAAAGATAACCTGACTAATTACAAAATGCACTTTTTAAATTCATTAAGGAAAAAAGGTATCTAAACATGCCTGGCCCTGTGTGAAAAAGTAATCTGCACCCTTGTTGAATCATGAATTAACTGTGGTCAACCACATTTTTTTGGAAGTCTGATCCATCCATTGGAGAGCACCAAGGAGAAAACCACTGCTGATCTAAAACAACACAAAGGTTCGTCTCACTTTTGCCAAAAAACATCTTGAGAACCAGGGGACATGGGAGAAAAAAAAATTAAGACGGACTTTTGCGAGATCTCGCAAAACAAACTCGGGATCTCGCAAAACAAACTCGGGACTCGCAAAAGTTTTAGCCGCATTCTTAACCTCCCGTTAACGGGAGGTCGAGACCTACTACAGCCGGGTGGAACACCGCTTTCCCGGCACATCGTGCCTCGACCTCCCGGTTGGCTTCGAGCCGGCGTCCGAAGAATGCGGCTAAAACTTTTGTGAGATCTCGCAAAAGTCCGTCTTAATTTTTTTTTCTCCCATGTCCCCTGCGGGGCTCCGTAGAAATCCAATGGAGATCCAAAATGCTAGAAAAAAACCCTCCAATGTGGCTGAATAAAAAAAAAATCCTGCAGAGTGGGCTAAAATCCCTCTGCAGAGATGTAAGACTTATTGCCAGTTATCACAAATACGTGAATGCAGTTCTTGCTGCCCAAGTGTGGCACAACCAGTTCTTAGGTTTAGGGGGCGATCATTTTTTCATTCAGGGCCAAATAGATTTGGGTAACTTATTTCCATGAATTAAACTATAACATAAAAAACAATTATTGTAGGGTCTACCTTACAATATAAAGCTCCTTGAGGCAACTGTTGATGTGATTTGGCGCTGTATAAATAAAATTGAATTGAATTAAGTGTTTTAAAAATGAGCAGTAAGTTGAAGGGTCTCACTCTGTCTCGGTGGCGTGCCCGGGCTGAGAGGGCTGAGAGTGGTGATGGTGGAGTTGGACTGATGAACTTGTTTTTAAAGATGATTTTGGTAAAACTTGACTCCAGAAAGTAGTCTGCGATTAAGACATCCTTCTCTGGCACCGCTTCTTGGCTCTCTGCTGGCCTGGGTGTAGCCACGACCAGCATGTGGTGACCGCCGCACGACACCTGACGGGGAGAGAGGACACAAGAAAACATCTTTGTTACATTTAGCTGATTAACTCTCAGTCTGCTCTTCACTCATTTACCTGCTGACATACAGGATATTACTCCCTCAAGGCTACAGCAAGATTGTTTTCGAGATTACGTTTGCCTTACTTTGAGAGAAGTTTACCTCTGATGTATCTAAGAATACTGCTCCCTATGAACAATCAGCTGCCAAATAGGAGAAAGCCTGCAGATGCAAAGAAAGGCGATATGATGTGACACTACACGATCCATTCAGAGCTCATTACTCATTAAAAGGCTGATCTCTGAAAGTATCCAGGTGCTGGCTGTGAGCACAGCTTCAGCTGCTCTTCCTGGGGTGATTGGTGAAGAATATTCTGTTATCGATCACTGATGGTGCTGTGGATACATCCTGCTGTAGTAGGCTTCCTGTTACAAGCTGTGGTGCCTCTCATACATTTTATGGCCTTTTTGGAGGGAGTTGACTGATTATGAAGATTACTTTTAAAGCCCTTCACATCACCTTCACTTACTGACTGAACAGCGTATTGAAGAAAACGTGTGCAGAGTGTCGGGCTGAACTGGTTGATGAAGTTTTCCTCCCCTAACCCGAGTTTTCCATGACGACCATCACCAAACGTGTACAGCAGCCCGCTGTCTGTGGAGCAGGGGGAGGATAAATGCATCAAACACAGACTGAAGGTTTTCTATCCTGGCTGAAGTCGTTTTGCTTTTAACACATTTTATAAACAACAAAATCCTTGATTTTTATTTAATTCCCTTTTTAAATGCACATAGGAATGAAAAGTTTGAATACTGAATATTGGTTTTTAGTACATTGTTTGGCTGAAATTAGATTTATCATTTAGTTAACTGACAAAACTTGGATTTATCTACCCCCTCGAAAACTGACTCACATGTGGTGATAATCAACTGAATACCTCTAGAGGCAGACAACATCTGAGAAAGTTTATGAAATTAGTCACTTTAGCAAATTCTAGAGAAAGCTTGTGAGTTGCTGAACTTGCATTTGAACACCTCACAGTGGCAGACTGGCTGCTGTGTGATTAAACAGCACCTCAGTGACATGTTTATGCTGGATGGGGAAAAAAAGAGATTCCACTTCGTCTTCATCATCAGTTAATTTGTTTTATTTACCTCACTAATGGTACTTTTAACCTGATTACAGGTTTGTTGCTGTGTGTTTAATTATGCGTGGTACACAAGTCATATGTCCTAAAGAAGTTTGTTTCTTGAACTTATCACAGAAAAACTTTTTTAAATAATTCCTTCCTTAAAGCTTGTAGATATATTATATTCCATTAAAACAGTTATTATTGGCCTTTATATGCTTTCATATATAAAACATGCATGGACATCTAAAAAGGTGAATGGGAAATGCTACTTTTAAAGTCACAATGACCTTCAAAGATGGCTTACCTGTGACCACAGCTGTGTGGTTCTCTCCACACGTGATGTGTCTGACCTTGCTGTTACAAAAGTGCTGCAGCGCTTTTGGCAAATGAACCTCAAACAGAAATGTTCCGTGGCCCAGCTGACCGTACTGACCTCTGCCGAATGTGTACACGTTCTTCTCTGGCACAGCAAAGCAGACAGAGGGAAAGAACCCTTTTGATTCAAAGCGATGTATAGTACATTTACTCAACTACTGTACAAGAGCACTATTCTCAGGGGAATTTATTTTGATGTTCTTCTTCATTGTGTCTGTGCTACATTTGAGCTGAGATCACTTATTCTGTCCCTTAAAGTGTCTAACATAATCAAACAAGTTGAGTTCTGTGGCAGATTTTAAAGAAGGAAACACGATGTGATCACCACATGTGTTTTACAGTTAAAATCAGCCCTACTTTGATCAGCTGACATTAAATGTTGCATACATATTAATGCATACAGTAAAAGCGATAGTATTTTCTCCTTATTTTTTCCCACAATAATGTGAAAATCATTATCAGGCACACTGATACTTTTGCTTAAGTTAAAGACCTGAATACCCCCCACACTCCCTAGCAGATCATTACATGGAGAAACCTTTGGAATGCAAGCATGCTGATCCACACAGGTATGCACACATGGGTATTCACAGACGCGGACTAAAGCTTTCTTGGCTGCTGCCTCAAAGCACACTGTGCGCTGTCTATCTTGCGTGCTGCACAATATCGTTTATTATTTAGTAAATATTGATATCTATGACTAGCTAGTTTATTGTGATGGTGCTTTGTTTTCTCTATTATTATGTTGCTCTTTGTTGTTTGCTGTCTCCTCTGTTTGTTTTTTTTGTTTGTTTTTTTTTTCTCCATACAGGTGACCCAGGAGTTCTTTTTTTTTTTTTCTCTCTCTTCCCCCCCCTTCTCACCGTCTCTTCTCCCCTTTGGTTTTCTTTCTTTCTCTCCCCCTCTTTCTCTCATTCATTCCCCTGTCCTATTTATAAAAAAAAAAAAAAAAAAAAAAAAAAAAGACCTGAATACCTTTTCCATCGCTGTTTAACCAGCTCCTTTCACAGATGTTTTATGCTTTTCTTTAAAAATAACAAATTGTTAGCATACCTGTGAGGACCACTGTGTGCTCTCCTCCACAGCACACTCGGGTGACATGACCCAGGACTCCCTGCACCTGCTGAGGAATTCTGTGATTGGCCAGCTGCTCCTCCTGAAGACCGAGTCTTCCATTCGCACTCTCACCAAACGTGTAGAGACGACCATAAACTGGGACAAATCCAACACAATAAATGACACAAGTATTGAAGACTGGTTCATTTAACATTGGACCTACTGCAGTGATGCATGTGGCTGGACTGCGTTGTACCTGTCACAAAAGCTGAGTGCTTATACCCACAGGACACCCATATGACTGCTTCTCCAACGTGGACCTCTCTGGGTTCTGCAGCAAATCCCTCGTCCCCAAAAGAAATCTGACCCACAGAGTTGTCCCCCCACATGAACAGCCTCCCATCCTCTACCAACACACATACGTACATACACTTTACATATGCCCAGATCATCTTTTCTAGCAGAGAAACTTATTATATCGTCATTGTTCAAACCTGTTAAGGCGGCTGAGGTGTTGCATCCTGCAGAAAGCATTTTGATTGGTGCCCAGTCGCAGAAGGGGCGGAGCAGGTGAAAGTATGTAGACTTGTCACAATGGCCTAAACCCAGCTGCCCGTCCTGGTTGCTACCTGCACTGTATACACTGCCATGAACTAAATATACAAGTATACTCATTTTGAGGACAACAGTGTTCATGGAAACATCTCTCACGTGTAATTAAATATTTGTTTATTGTCTCACATGTGCAAACAATTGTGTGGTCTCTCCCACAAGCTGCAAGCTTCACCTTCTCAGACTTCAAGGCTGGAAAGGAAATGCAGTAATTATAGTGAGTAAAATGGCTTCAAAATACCACAATTATCTTCTTGTTAATGGACTAACAAATTCTGGTTCTGGTCATTAGTTAACAATTAAAAATAATTCAAATTTATCACACATTTTCTCAACTTTCTGCCTTTTTTGTCTCACATTTTTTTGTCTTTTATGTGATTAGAATCACAATACCAGAGGAAACTATGTGGTCACAATTGCTCCAAGACAGTAAGAACAGTAACAATACAACACAACTGGTTACATACAAGTAATATATAAGTTACAAAATATAACAAAATAGCTTGAATAGATACAAATAGCTCTAATTATAAAGATCCCAGTATATAAAACTGTATTGCACTGTACTCTATATTTTGGGGCTTAGATTAACAAAATAAGTCATGTGGGCTTATTTTTTTTTATGCTTTACACAAAAAATAACTAGTTTGATGCAATATGACCCAGCCACGGTGAAAAATACTAACCTTTCACAGAGGTTGGTTTCCTGGCACTAGGCTTAATTCTCAACCCCAGCTGGCCCCATGTGTTGCCACCAAACATCAGCAACCTCCCATTTTCTGTAACGCCATTGCAGGCACAAAAAGAATGTTATTAGTGAACAATGTCAGCTTTCATTACTAAAATATACATACAGTGTACCTGTGATAACAGCAGAGTGCTCTCCGCCACATGACGTTTTCTTTGGATGGTCATTCTTCAGCCAGAACTTGCTGGGAACATTATTAGCAAAGCTGGTCCTTCCAAATGTGAAAATTGCTCCTGTTTCTGGTAACAGATGGACAAATACAGAGCTGTGCAAAGGTCTTCAGCGACCTCTCTTTTTTGTAATATATATTTTGCTATGAAAATGGGAAAGAGGTGCAGTTATCTATTGAAACATGCAAACATACATGGAAATACACCATTATAAGGCAAAAAGCAAGTCTGTGTAATTCTTACAAGCTTGGAAGTTGATATTAGACCACCTTTATTCTTAAACACAGTCTGAACTCTCACAGCCCCAAACCATGACACAGGGTTCACACAGGGTTTTACAGATGGTTGTACCTCTTTCCTGACCTCCTCTGTATTTTGGCAATTATTTGAACGAAAAATTTCATATTTGGATTCATCACTGCATAAGAGCTGCTGCCAGACCAGTTATTTTGCAATTTGACCTCAGCCTTTTCTCCTGGTTTCACTTCTTTAATAATGGCTTCTTGACAGCCACCCTTCCACTGAGAATATTTTTGATGAGACTTCAGTGAACAGTAAATGGATCAGCTGAAGGGCAGATGCATCTTTCAGTTCCTGTGTCAGGTCTTTGCTGGATTTCTCAAGGACATGATTTTCAGATACTGCTTATCTTCTGTAGATGGTTATTAAGCCTGCTACCTTCTTTTATCTTACAACTGTAAAGTTTCCTCAAATTTTTAAGAACACACTGCACACCATGATAAGATCTTTTTTAGGTTTTTGACAAATAGCTCTTTAGGAATCATCTTGTGGTTGCAACAATACTGTTTCATGCCTATCAAATATGTTTTCTTTGACATTTTTTATATGATTTAAGGTGCCAAAGAAATGGGAACAAATTGTGTTTTATGACAAGCTGTTAAATTAGGTGTCTTTTTAATGCTTGTGTTTCATAAGTCAGTGTTAACTGGCTTAACAACAATAACAAACAAACAAATAAAAATTAAAATATCCCCCTGAAAACGGTCAGGCATAGAGACTGGACTGAAAATAAATGAAACAGCAGCCAGTGTCCTAAAGAGAACTATTGCTTAAAGAAATGGTTTTAGGTGAGAAGCGGTTCAAGAATTTTGCACATTGCTGTCTGTGATTCATCTCTAGAAAGCCCAGGGACAGAAAGTTTAAGTACTTCCCGAACTTAACACCCACTAAATCCCAGCCAAGCCTGCTGTCAGAGCTCAAGCCATTTAAGTATCAGCAGGCTGACAGAAATAGAAACATGCTATCCGTGAGCAAAATGGAGCCTGTGTTAGGTATGATTAGGTGTGCATGAAGCCGAGGGCTTTATAATATGTAGCAAGGCTCACCTGGTATGTCGACATCGGTCTGCCCGGTCATCTTCACTGCTGGCTGTCTCCCTCACACCTCCTCACCTTGCGGCTCCCTGCTGATTAGGTAGATCAAACCCAGGAGGACAGGTGAGAGAGAGGGGGAAAGAGAGAGAGAGAGGCAGGAAGAGGCTTAGCCACAGGAAGATGCTGCATTACGGTCATTTTATTTTATTATATATTATTGTTCCCCCCAAAAAATATTCCCTGCTTCCCCAACAAGAAACTTTGGGTAACCAAAGACATTAAAGCTGTACTGAACAAGAAAAAGACAGCTTTTAGAAACAGGGACAAAGAACAGTTGAAACTGGTGCAGAAGGAGCTTAAAGCCAAGATTGCTGAGGGAAAGGAGTCTTACAGAAGGAAGCTGGAAAGCAAACTCCAAGAAAACAACACCAGGGAGGTGTGGAAGGGAATGTGGACCATTACTGGCCAGAGACAAAAGAAAGGTGTGGGAATAGATGGAGACGTTGAATGTGCAAACAAACTAAATCTGCCTGCGTCTTCTGTCTCCACTCCCAGCTCTTACGATCTTCTCCATTTTCCTCCCCCCTGTCTTGCCCCCTCAGCCTGTCTCTCTTTGTCCCTCTCAGCAGATGAAATCACAAGGGAACTGGGCAGACTCCATTCCAGTAAAGCTGCTGGCCCTGATGGTGTGTGTCCCAGAGCCCTCAGGTGCTGGGCTGCCCAGCTGTCTGGAGTTCCAATTCAAATTTCAAAATCAAATTTTATTTGTCACACACACAACCATACACAGTATGACATGAGGTGAAATGCTTATTGCTGTGCAATGCCCGACCATTAAATTATAGAATTGACAGTAATATTTACAGATTACTACAAAAAATTACAGCTTTAATTTAGAAATTTACAGTAAGATGTGCAAATAACAGTTTATGTAAGAAATTATTAATAAAAAGAAATTATAAATTATAAGAAGCGTGCAAAAGGAAAAACCAGAGTGCGTGTGGAGATGTGAGGTGTGTGAAAGAGTCCAGTATCTTATGTAGTTCATATGTATAATCCACAGATTAAAACAGTTGTTTGGCTAAAAATTGTCGAATTTTTTCCAGGTTCCTGGAAAAATGGAACACGAGTTTTAAAGACAAGGTAGCCAGGGAAGCCAGAGACCTTAAAGAGACTTGTCTTCTAAAAAGATTGCTGAAATCGGCCTTGAACAAAGGAAGGGATTATGCTGATGAGCCAGGTAGTGTCCCAAGGTAACATTTTATTAATGTAGTGATTTTAGTTTTCATTTTTAAAAGTTATTTAAAAAGCAGTAGTGTGCATAATGTGTGTATGGATCACTTCTTTTCTGCTCATACCCTCAACCAGACATGGCTTCTCTTCTTGTTTTGCTGCATCTTCTCACGCCACAACCAGCTGGAAGGAAACGTCCTAAGAAGATGAGTGTTGGATCCAGTTCCACATACTGTGGTTCATGGAACACCTTTTCTTAACCTAAGGGGCTTATAAAGTTATGCTTTTTATTGTGTTTCAGTCCTACCAGAGCCTTGAGGATCACCTCATGAATAATGAAGGAAACCCCCAGCCATATCTCCTGGCCACAGGGACTTAGAAAGCACAGGTTTTCAGCTTCTACATTGTCTTGGATCGGAAGCTTCTTCCATGTCAGTCATGCACATCACTGCGTGCATTTGATGAGCTGTTCCAAGTGTCACTTCGTTGACGTGTGAAATATGAAGACACTCTGTCCAGCCTGCACACATTTTTGCAGACCTCTGTGTACAATATTGATGTAGGCACAACAGCGGGAATTCATTCATCTCATCTCATCCCAGAAGATGATTTGCACTGGCATTTGTTGCACATTCTAAACATCGTTTTCCCAATCTCTATCACTGAAGGAATGACTGTGTATTTAAAGCACCTGATTATTGTACACCATAGACTCTTTAGAGAACTATACCCATCAAGCAACTTAATTCCAAAACATCATTTCATGGTCCACTATCCGAGGTGCGTTCGAAAGATTGGTCCTCTCATTCATATCTGGACCATGAGATTTGAAGCCAAACACAAATTTTTCAAAGACTGTATTAAGAACCTTAAGAATTTGACTGCACCACTTGCAAGGAAACATCAATTTGCATTAGCTTATCATTGGGAATGTATGAGTTTAAAAGCAGTTGAGTCTGGTCCAGCTAAAATGTGTTTGAAGAATACTCAGAAATTATATCTCCATATCTTCATGTTGATTTAGACCACTGTCAAACTCACACACTGGGTAATGTGTATTGGTGTTGAATATATTGTTGGGCTTTTTGTTTGCACAGGTGTAACATGGTAGACTAATGTGCCTGGATTAATTCATCTCCATATTATTGTGTGAAGCTGCACTGGGTTGGGAGTGGTTGTGTGTGTTACATTTACAGTGAGCCAATGGCTATAATGGAGTTGGACTAATTAGAGGCAGGTGTAATTGATTGCACTGATACATTGGTCTACTTATAGCCCACACTACAAACACTGCTGTGTTAGTTTGTCTCTCTGTGCAGGTATGTAATGTGCTGAAACCTGTTCTGTTTGGGATGGATGGGTTGTGTGCTGTGAATTATATAGTGAAGGTGCTATTTTGTCTCTCTGTATAGGCCAGTGCCTATTATATGCCACAGCCTAAAGGCAGCCGAGTTGCAGAGGCCGGAGTGACCACTGGCTATCTATTTACAGGGTGGTAGGTCTCATAGGACAACTGCTAACCCTGTTCAAGTTAATGTGTGGAGTTCAACTGGCTTTGTGGCATAGCTGGCTCCGGACTTGGACTGTGTGTTTTTACTTGGTCCACAAATGGGACACTGGACTGTTTAATCTGTTACCTTTTGATTATTGTGTTAATAAATTATCTTTTAGAATTTTATTAACTGTCATCGTTTTACCCACGGCTGAGACAGTTGGTCAGACCTAGAATCTTTGTGTGTGTTACACAGGCACTTATGAAAACATGTCAGCTTTCAGCAAGATAGCTTTGATCATTTTGCATGATGGTAAAGCTGTTTTTGTTATGGTTGAGCATGAAACATGTTTCCATGATCATTTTCATGCTTTTCAAGTAAACGAAACCATTCCTAAGAAGATACTGGCCCTAGAAAGGGAGAAATTAAGACCTTTCAAATGTTTTGATGCCCAAATGTTATATGGGTGTGATTCACAATTTCATGTTGTGTCAGAGAGTTGTATTATTTAATTTGTTGGCTTAATGGAGACTTAGTCTTCCTCATGTTAACACTGCATTACAAGTGCTTTCTTTAAGCTTTCTTTAAATTACAAGTTTTTTCTTTAATTCTGTTAGGCCTATATGATCACACGTCTCAACTGTTTAGCTGCCATTATAATAGCTGTTTTAATGGTGAATGTTACACTATTACAATGCTGTTTTAATAAATAAATTCATACATTCATAATAATCAGTATGGTGTTTTTGTAGTATTTTATACCGAAAACCTTTTTTTCCATTTGAGTAACACTATAAAATATCAAAATGAACTCTAGTTATGAATTAAATTTTACTCTGTGGTAGTAAAAATGTAACTCCATGAGAGTTTAGTTTTAACTCCTAAAAAGAGTTGAATAGTTACTGTCACTCTGCACTCAAGGTTATTCAGTGGTCACCAGTGTTGGGAAGGTTACTTTTAAAATGTATTCCATTACAGAATACATGCCCCAAAATGTATTTTGTACGTGTTACGTTACTCAATGAGAGTAACGTATTCTGAATACTTTGGATTACTTAATATATTATCATTCAATTTTATTTATATAGCGCCAAATCACAACAAAAGTCGCCCCAAGGCGCTTCATAGATACAGAGAAAAACCCAACAATCATATGACCCCCTGTGAGCAAGCACTTTGGCGACAGTGGGAAGGAAAAACTCCCTTTTAACAGGAAGAAACCTCCGGCAGAACCAGGCTCAGGGAGGGGCGGCCATCTGCTGCGACCGGTTGGGGTGAGAGAAGGAAGACAGGATAAAAGACATGCTGTGGAAGAGAGACAGAGGTTAATAACAGATATGATTCAATGCAGAGAGGTCTATTAATACATAGTGAGTGAGAAAGGTGACTGGAAAGGAAAAACTCAATGCATCATGGGAATCCCCCGGCAGCCTACATCTATTGCAGCATAACTAAGGGAGGATTCAGGGTCACCTGGTCCAGCCCTAAATATATGCTTTAGCAAAAAGGAAAGTTTTAAGCCTAATCTTAAAAGTAGAGATAGTGTCTGTCTCCCGAATCCAAACTGGAAGCTGGTTCCACAGAAGAGGGGCCTGAAAACTGAAGGCTCTCCCTCCCATTCTACTTGCTGTTTACAACTACATGAATGTGATTTATTACTATTACTGAAGGTCCGCGGCTCATAGCCGAAAACTAGCTTTACTTTGTTGCCCGGGTCAGGTTTGCTAGCGAGAGACAGAGAAAGGCTGCTCCAACGGAACTTATTGTTTCAGAGGAAAACAGGAACACCGCGAACAATTGAGTCTTAATAGCTTACTTACAACTGGGCTCATCAGGCACTATTCTTGGCTGCAGTGGTTATTATTATATTTACATGCTTCCAGCTAGAGCTGGGCGATATGAGATTTTTTCATATCACGATATGTTTTTTTTTTTCATTTCAGGCGATAACGATATCTATCACGATATAAGCCAAATAACTATATTTGTAAGATTTAAATGTGCCGTTGCTCACAAGTAAAATGTGAAATAATCAGCAGCTTGTTTTGATTTAAATATTTATTTCCCATAATAAGTTCAACAGGGTAGATGTACTTAAGGAACATGAGACTTTTTCAGATAAATAAAGGCAAATATTGCAAACTACACAAAAGGCAGCCGCTAAAGCGTTTAAGTTTCAAAATAGAACAAACGAAACAGACTAAATTGTCAATTCCACTTAGAAACAAAGTACTAATTCTAAAAATAAATCTTAGTTTGTTTTACAGAAGAACAGACAAAACTAACTTTTGTCAATATCAAATAAACTGAGAACTAAAAGGAAATTCTCAATCTTTCCTTGTTGTATAGCTGAGCTTTTCAAACAGTTTTAACAGTTACTTTAGTCTGACAAAAGCCGAATGACGAATTAGTGCTTCCAGTCAAAGACTGAGGCTACGTCCACACGTACACGGGTGTTTTTGAAAACGGAGATTTTCCGTTTTCGTTTTAAAAAAATAATCCCGTCCACACATAAAGGCAGAAATGAAGGAAAACGCTGCTATGAACATGCCAAAGCAGCAGGTGGCGCTAGATTCCTAACCGTGCAGAAATGTTGGCCAATCAGAAGTCTAGAAGCCTCGGTGGGAAAAAGTAAACAAAGCTGCGGCATAGAAGCAGAACCGAGTCGTATGTGTGGACGGACAGTAACTGTGTGTATATGTAAGCATTTAAACACTGCAGAGAGTAGAATTAACAGTATTGTAGAAATTCATTTCACCGAAACAATAACGTGGCGCACAGTGTGACGCATGCACCAGTTTATTGTATTTCCAGACTTGCTTTCGGCACAATTTACAGTGAACGCTACTCTGTTTTTTGTCAGACTTGAAATAGCCGAAATACCTTCACACTACGGAACTTCTATGGCTCTTCCGTTCGACAATCTCTCCGGCATTGGAACCATCATCTGTTTTCTCTTCGGTCACGCTCGGTTGATTTTTCTAGTCGGCACACTCATTTCCCCCATTATGCGCTGGCTCCATTACCCGCTTGCTGCTTCCCAAACAAACACACGTGCGGCTTGGCACTTGTGCTGTACGTAACAAGTCACGCGACGTGACGCTGCGGCTGTGATTGGTTCGGCTCTGCGCTACTTAATTTGGATTGGCTGACCTTTTTTTTTTTTTTTTTTTTAGAGGACAAGAGCGGCGAGGTCTATCGCGATAGCTTAATTTCTCTATCGAGTAAAAGTTATATCGCGATACATATCGTTATATCACCCAGCTCTACTTCCAGCTCCCGTTTCTGCTCAGTGACAGCTCGTACTTTTCCTTTTTCTCCCTCCTCGCGCTCACAGACACATAACGGGTATGGCAGTCCATTCTCGCTGCAGCACGGACTACACTGCCCATGAGGCTATACAGTCATTGGGCTATGCCTGTAGCATTCTGCCTATTAGCTTAGCACAACAACAAGGCGCTCTCTCACCCAGGAAACACACAGTCGCAGAGAGACCGCAGACCAATAGCGGTGGTTTTGTTTATTAACTTCACCATTCACATAAAAGTTCGCCTCATCACTGAACAAAATCTTCTGCGTGAACTAAGGGTTCTGTTCCAATTTTTGTTTTGCCCATTCTGCAAATTCTGTGCGCTGATCTGGGTCATCCTCGTTGAGATGCTGCAGTAGCTGGAGTTTATAAGGGTGCCATTTGTGAGTAGCCAATATCCACCAAAGGGATGTTCGACTAATGCCACTCTCCAGTGACATGCGGCGAGTGCTACGCTGTGGGCTCTTGCTGAATGAAGCTAGGACAGCCACTGATGTTTCTTCATTAGTGACAGTTTTCTTGCGTCCACATTTTGGCAAATCCAACACTGAACCAGTTTCATGAAACTTAGCAAGCAGTTTGCTAACTGTAGCATGGGAGATGGGTGGTCTCGTAGGGTGTCTTGCATTGAAATCTGCTGCAACGATCCGGTTACTGCGTTCACCAGATATCAACACAATTTCGATCCACTCCTCACGTGTTAACCTCTTCGACATGTCAATGGCTGTGAACAAAGAGAAACTTGCAAATAACTCATGAAAGAATAAAGTTAACACTTTCAATTCTCTTAAAACTTTGTCACCAACTTTGAAGACAACATCTCTCGTCATCATTTTTATTTTGCCCTTTGTTTTTTCCTGTGCTTTGACCACACTGTCCTTCACCAGTTTCAACAGCTTTTGAATGTCTTGCGAAAGCAATGTCTATTATTACTATAATCTGTGTAAGACACACAGATCATAGATAAAAGAACTGAGAAATAAAGTGAAAATTAACATTAAGTGTCTTTGGTAAGGTTTTAAGACACAATGCGTTTCTGGTACAGCTTCAGTCTATCTTGGGATTGATTGTACATGAAGAAAACTTATTGGGGGATGGAACAATCCATAAAAATATTCAGTGGTGTAGTGCTTTTATGCATGCATGTATTGAAACTGATCTGCCTGTGCCTCAAAAACTTACATAGGTTCTTTGTGGGATTTTCATGTAGTTTGTCACAGACAGAAAGACATACCATGTACTCTTCTGGGATTTTGGCTGGATAATGAGCCTCTCTGCCAAATATCAGGTAATATGGTGAGTATTTGGTGGTCATTTGCTTTTTAGTTCCAAGGTCCAAACATCACAGCATCCAGATACTCAACCCACAATTCTGGATGGTCACCAACAACCTTACAGAGGCCTCTGACAATGAAAGCACATGGAAAACATTCATATGAAAGATCATTTTAATTTTTTAATAGTTAAATGTCATGCATTAATGTTTTAGTTGAAGTGAATCCCATAAAAGTATAACATGTTATGCATTAAGCTGCATGCACTCCAATTTACCTCTGAATGGTGCCATTCATTCTCTCTGCCAAGCCATTGTTTGTGGGTGATAGAACGAGCAGAGGCTTCTTTTAATGTTTAACAATCTGCATACCCTTCTGTTGAGCTGCAAAAGCAAGTAATATACACTGACTATAAGCACATTACAATAAGAATTTAAATATACAACAGTCATACTAATATCTCAAAAAGAGATTTATAAAGACCAGAAATGGAACCATTTTCAAAAAGGTAATCAAATATGTGTCCAAATATTTTTGCCAAAGACTAAAGTACTTACAGAATTGACAAATTTTTTGCCTTGGTCACTGAGAATCCTTTTTGGTGCTTCGAACTGGTGGACAAATTTTATGAGACAGTTTGTCACATCCTTGGCTGATTTCGACCTCAAAGGGTGTGCTTGTGGCCATTTTGTGAAATAGTCAATAAAAACACAAATATACTGATGTCCGCTGTTGGTTTCAGTAGGTTTCCCAATAATGTCCATCCCAACCAATTAAAATGGCTGAGAAACCTTAAAAAGAAAAACATAGTTACATTAATTAATTGTTGCAGCACTTGCCTGACAAACTGCACACTGGGAAACCTAATCAAAAACAAAAGCAATTCAGTAAGAAACACAACAGTAAATTAATTTGAGAGATACAGAAACATTGCTGTGTTCATCTTAAAATAAGTTAGCTGTAGTAGAATTACAGAGTTTCTTTTGAGTACCCACCCAATTATTGACGTCCAATGACATCCCTGGCCAGTAGAAACGCTTTGAAATGGCTTCTCTTGTTTTTGTTTAGGTCAAAGAAAGGTCAAACTAATTAAGACTAATTAAGACTACACATTTTGCCATTGTGTGTGTGTGTGTGTGTTAATATATGTATTGATGAGGTTTATAAACGCTACGAAGTTGCTGTTATTACCTTCAATGTCGTAAATAGCAGCTTTTCTTCGGAGAAGAAATTTCTCTTTTTTCGTGAAAAGCGCTGGATACTCGCCTTTTAGTTTATTTGCAACCAAACTCTTGTACTCGTCTGGTTCCATCCTCTTGTGGTGTTGGTTATAAAATAAATTGTTATCTTCTCGTTAGCTCAGAGGAACTCGGGTTTTCACAACGTGAACTAATTTGAATAATTAACGAGGAAACCCACGTGACCTAAGATTTTGGAAAAATGTGTCAATGTTGGAGTCGAATAGGCCTACGAAAGGTTGCCCAAAACTGACTTGCAAATTTTTGAAAAGCCCTGTTACTGACAAAGACGTGTATATTTATATGTTTTTTTTATTTAAATTATTTATTGTCAAAGAAAAACTGCTAACGTTTATTATTGATGGAGAGGACACACATTTTGGCAGACGCTGCCACACAGCCTGATAAAATCTGTACCCCTCTATAACCTTTGCTGGGAGGAAGAAATCCTCTCCAGAGTTACTGGGGTTATTGGTTATACTCTGATTTATTTTGCAAATAAACTCCTTCGTGATAGCACCGCTAATGTGCATTACAGAAATGTAAACCATAGTATCAACGTCTTTGTTTGGACAAACTATTCCCAGCAGATACTGGGAAGCACTTACTTCAATAGTCTTCCGCACGGCACATTACAATGTCACGAAGTTAGTATTAAAATCCATTCACGAATCGAGTCTGTTGTTTGTTTTCCAGGTTTACGCTTTATTGCGCGGATTGCAGATCAGTGACAAGTAGCGTACAGAAACGAAGCTGGGCAAGTGGCTCCTCCTCCTTTGCGCGCTCTCGTAGATTGGGAAACAGTTTTTGCCGGGGGTAACTACTTTTGGCAGGACACCTGAAACACAGGAGGCATACAGAAGTTGTTCCTCTCTGATGAAATATCCACATAGCATTGCGCTCCCGCTGCACTTACCGTGAGCCACCATGCCTCTGAGGCTGTCTGCTGCAAAAAGCCCGCTTTCCAGATATTTCCAATCTCTGCACAGCTGTTCAGCACGAGCGTTTGGGTAAGATAAATCCGAATGTGGAAGAAGAGCTGTGAAAGTAGGGTGCGGGTGATAAAAGATAAAATATATTTGTTGCTTTTCCAGCGCCGGAGCCGCCTGCCTCGGCTCGGTGAATTTAAAAGGTCGCAGCTGTCTGACTCTGAAGGATTTCAGCTCAGATGAAATCAAGAAGCTGCTGTGGGTCTCCGGAGACCTCAAGCATCGGATCAAGCACGAAAAACAGGTATTTAACTTTAATTGCAAAACTTCAGTACTTATAGTTGGTGTACTCTGTGGTCTCTGGATGTGTAATTAAGAGTCATTTCTATTTCAGTATTTGCCTCTTCTACAAGGAAAGTCGATTGCAATGATATTTGAGAAGAGGAGCACCAGAACAAGAATGTCCACAGAAACAGGTGTCAGTTTTTCTATGCAAGCATATGCATGACGTGGCTCAGGGTATGGGATTTGACAGAGGCAAGATATTTCATTGCTATATGTAGTGGTGTGGAAAGGCTTTTGTCCCCCTATTCTGATTTCCTATTTTTTTGTTTGTCACATTTAAAATTTTCAGCTCATCAAACAAATTTAAATATTAGACAAAGATAACGCAAGTAAACGCAAAATGCAATTTCTAAATAAAGGTGTTTGTTAAGAGGAAAAAATCCAAACCTACATGACCCTGTATGAAAAATTATTGCCCAATAAAACCTAATAACTGGTTGGGCCACTTTTAGTAGCAACAACTTAAATTAGGTGTTTGCGATAACTGGCAATGAGTCTTTCACTGCACCGTGGAGGCATTTCAGCCGCTGATCTTTGCAGAATTGTTGTAATTCTGCCACATTAGAGGGTTTTTGAGCATGAGCTGCCTTTATACGGTCACGCCACAGCATCTCAATCAGATTCAGTCTTCATTTTGTTTTGCTTGTGTATCTTTATATTTTTCATGTGTTTGGTTACTCATATATTTCAGGGTTTTTTTTTTCCTAATAGTCATTCTTTTTTATTTAATATTATGTTAAATTAATGGAAACTTGCTTCCACCACTGAAAAAAAACAACATTTTTTTCTGTAAGTCACAAATTTAGGTTGTTATTGTGTATAAATTGAGCAATGAAAGTGATTCTGAAATTTGCTGTGTGTTTCTTTATGCATATAATGGATGCTTTCTCCCATTGGAAAAACAACAACAAAACACACACAAAAACATTGTTGTTATCCATAACTGCACACCTTCATGACGACCGTAACGAAACTTGGAATTTTCTTAACCTTAATTTAAAAATTTCAAGTTATTTCGTTCAATTTAGACGTTTTTAGTTAACTATGTCAAGATGCGAAATTAATAAGTTACACAATCTTTTGATAATAACCCAAAATTTTTACTTGTTTTATTTTTTCAGAGGCAGAAAGTTGAAGTTTTTCCATAATTACTGTTTCAATTATACATCCCAATATTTGCTTTGTAGCTTTTTATTTGTTAGTCAGCTTTTTTATTATTTATATGTATTAACTGAATCATTCTTGATTTAATATTGGCATAGATCCATACAGTTACACCCTACAGTGAGTAATATGGTCTTGTCACATCAGGCCAAAGTCAGTCTTTGTTTACATAGATGACATGTATGAATGAATGCTTGCTTTATTTCATGAAAACATGCTAATGTAGCTTTACCTATAGGGATTAAAAGTACAATGGTTTTAACAGTGGTATCTTACTGCATGGAAGGTCATTAAGCCAATAATTACATAAATTAAAAAACTATCCTTGTGCAGGAGCCCGGCTAATGCCATTCAGTGCAGTCATTGTTAATGTAGTCACAAAAGAACTGCTGAAAGGCGACTTTCAGTACAAACCCCCACCAAAACACTGATCAGCACTCCTCATTTCCCCTCTCCACCACCCCCACACTCCCCTTAGTGTGCACTCCTCTATATATTCCTGCCTGCACATTTACTTTAAGTACACTTTTTAAAGCACTAGTTGACTTTTAGGGAAACTAAAAGTACCTTAATCTTGTAACTCCAGGATTTTCTCTGCTGGGTGGACACCCCTGTTTCCTTACCTCACAGGACATCCACCTGGGAGTGAATGAGAGCTGCACAGATACAGCCAGGTGAGCTGTTGGTTTATCTCAGGGAAATAAAAGCAGCTGCAGGCTTTAACCTTTTCTATAGCAGTCTCCTCATGATTTTCATTGTTGTATGTATTGCTGAAGAAGAAACGCAGTTTTTCTCAACAAGATTTCCCTCCTGGCTCAGTATATAAACCACAAAGTCCTTGTGCATGTCTGATCTTTCACAACAGGGTCCTCTCTGGATTCTGTGATGTTGTCTTGGCTCGTGTTTACAAGCACTCGACGCTGGAGGAGCTAGATAGGGAGGCTTCAATCCCCATCATTAACGGACTGTCAGATCTGTATCACCCAATCCAGATTCTGGCTGACTTCCTCACCTTACAGGTACTCTTACCCTGTGGTATTCTGCAATTTTAATGCACTAGTTGATAACCATGCAGTACCTGTTTTCTTTAAATCCAGGAGCATTACGGATCCCTTAATGGTCTAACGGTGAGCTGGATTGGAGATGGCAACAATGTTCTCCACTCCTTCATGATGACTGCAGCCAAACTCGGAGTTCATCTTAAGGTTGCTACACCGAAGGTTGGTTTCTTATTGCGCTATTGGATGCATGTGATCTCTTTGTTACTCTGGTCTTTGTATCTTATGTGTTTTTGTATAGTTTGAGGTTAAAGGCAGGCAGTCAGCCTTGAGCTTCTTATCTGCGCACTTCTTGTGTCAGTAAGATAAAGTCATATCTTTGTGTTCAGGGGTACGAGCCAGACAAGGGCGTTACTGAAGAGGCACACAGGCTCGCCAAACAGGTGAGGTCCTCTAAAACCTGCCATTAATGTCTTCTAGTTTCAAGTATTCTGCCAAGGTTAATGTTAATAAATAATATTATATTCTGTCTCAGCATGGTACTCAGTTGATTCTGACCTCTGACCCCATGGAGGCTGCCCGTGACAGCAATGTCTTGGTCACTGACACCTGGGTCAGTATGGGACAGGAAGAGGAGAAGAAAAAGAGGCTAAAAGACTTCCATGGATACCAGATTTCTATGCAGGTAAAGAAGGACATTACTTTCAGCCAAGTAGTTACTCTCACCTTTTTACCTGATTTTAAACACTAATATTTTTCAGATAAAAATCATTTATTTGCTATATGTTTGGGTGTGTATATGTGTATTAATGATACATGAATATATAACAAATCACGGAAAAGTATTGTTGTTGTTTTTTTAGATAAAGACAAGAAAACTGTATAAAAATGGTTTTTGAGAAAGTTTTGTTTTTATGCATCATGTCACCACCTATTGAAACTGGTTTTAAATGGTTTTAGTTTAGTTTTTCTGCGTATACAGGGAGTGCAGAATTATTAGGCAAGTTGTATTTTTGAGGAATAATTTTATTATTGAACAACAACCATGTTCTCAATGAACCCAAAAAACTCATTAATATCAAAGCTGAATGTTTTTGGAAGTAGTTTTTAGTTTGTTTTTAGTTTTAGCTATTTTAGGGGGATATCTGTGTGTGCAGGTGACTATTACTGTGCATAATTATTAGGCAACTTAACAAAAAACAAATATATACCCATTTCAATTATTGATTTTTACCAGTGAAACCAATATAACATCTCCACATTCACAAATATACATTTCTGACATTCAAAAACAAAAACAAATCAGCGACCAATATAGCCACCTTTCTTTGCAAGCCTGCCATCCATGGATTCTGTCAGTGTTTTGATCTGTTCACCATCAACATTGCGTGCAGCAGCAACCACAGCCTCCCAGACACTGTTCAGAGAGGTGTACTGTTTTCCCTCCTTGTAAATCTCACATTTGATGATGGACCACAGGTTCTCAATGGGGTTCAGATCAGGTGAACAAGGAGGCCATGTCATTAGTTTTTCTTCTTTTATACCCTTTCTTGCCAGCCACGCTGTGGAGTACTTGGACGCGTGTGATGGAGCATTGTCCTGCATGAAAATCATGTTTTTCTTGAAGGATGCAGACTTCTTCCTGTACCACTGCTTGAAGAAGGTGTCTTCCAGAAACTGGCAGTAGGACTGGGAGTTGAGCTTGACTCCATCCTCAACCCGAAAAGGCCCCACAAGCTCATCTTTGATGATACCAGCCCAAACCAGTACTCCACCTCCACCTTGCTGGCGTCTGAGTCGGACTGGAGCTCTCTGCCCTTGACCAATCCAGCCACGGGCCCATCCATCTGGCCCATCAAGACTCACTCTCATTTCATCAGTCCATAAAACCTTAGAAAAACCAGTCTTGAGATATTTCTTGGCCCAGTCTTGACGTTTCAGCTTGTGTGTCTTGTTCAGTGGTGGTCGTCTTTCAGCCGTTCTTACCTTGGCCATGTCTCTGAGTATTGCACACCTTGTGCTTTTGGGCACTCCAGTGATGTTGCAGCTCTGAAATATGGCCAAACTGGTGGCATCTTGGCAGCTGCACGCTTGACTTTTCTCAGTTCATGGGCAGTTATTTTGCGCCTTGGTTTTTCCACACGCTTCTTGCGACCCTGTTGACTATTTTGAATGAAACGCTTGATTGTTCAATGATCACGCTTCAGAAGCTTTGCAATTTTGAGACTGCTGCATCCCTCTGCAAGATATCTCACTATTTTTGACTTTTCTGAGCCTGTCAAGTCCTTCTTTTGACCCATTTTGCCAAAGGAAAGGACGTTGCCTAATAATTATGCACACCTGATATAGGGTGTTGATGTCATTAGACCACACCCCTTCTCATTACAGAGATGCACATCACCTAATATGCTTAATTGGTAATAGGCTTTCGAGCCTATACAGCTTGGAGTAAGACAACATGCATGAAGAGGATGATGTGGACAAAATACTCATTTGCCTAATAATTCTGCACTCCCTGTAGTATACACAGTTAGATACTTTCATATTAAGAAAACAAGTTCAAGGAAGGGAAGGAAAGTCTAAGTCACATCCCTGAAAATCCTTACACTCCATGGACGATAACACTTACCCGTGGTTTGATGCCCTTCTGTTACAGACAGGAAGTGTGGCCAAGTCAGACTGGACCTTCCTGCACTGTCTCCCTCGGAAAATGGAGGAGGTGGATGATCAGGTGTTCTACTCATCCCGTTCTCTCGTTTTTTCGGAGGCAGAGAATAGAAAATGGACCATCATGGTGGGCTGAAATGTTAACGCACAATGTGCTGTTTGAGTTTGTTTTAATCCCCTTTTAACTCCAGTTTAATTTTCTTTCAACTGACCATCACAACTGTCTTCTGTCTTTCAGGGCCTCATTGTTTCTCTTCTGACCGACTACACGCCACAGATCCCCATGCTGAAGTTTTAACATCAGTTATTAAGAGGGACTAAGCTTTTCTGTGGCATGGGATGACTTCAAAGAAGACTTTTGCAATGCTGTCATATTGTAACTTCAGGATAGAGCTGCCATGTGGGAGCGTGGGGCTGTGGTGTGCTTCTGTTTATGTGTAGTAGGTCTGTATGTCAAAGTGCAGAGAACCCAGGAATTCCCAGGACTCGCTTATTGCTCACAGTTCTTATTTCACTCTTGTGTGATGTGTCACCACAGCTGCCTTAAAACTTCAGTGATGATGAAGAACTAGAGGTTAATCCATAAATAAAATACCCCCACTGATTTTGTAAATGTTTAGTGCATATCTGGAATTTGCAATACACCAATGATACAGAGATACTGTTTAATAAAATGTATTTTGTGACCAAGGGCCTCACTTGAAGCCACTTCAGTCAATTGTTCAATTACTTTTAAGCCTCTGAAAATGGGGAAGTGTATAAAAATGCACAATATTTTATCATAAAACCCTGTAAGTTTAAGCTGAAAGCCTGCACTCACAAAATCACACTATGACACCGCTTTATATACTACACTTGCAGAACTAAACATGTTATGTGCTATTGGCTGAGTGCGCCCCCTATGGGATGGAGCCGTGAAGCCTTCAGAGTTTTTTCATTGGATAAGCGGAGGTGACGTTTTAGTGCGGGAAGCTATGATCTACGTGGGTGGTCCAGCTGGATAAAACGATGCAGCTCAGTAATTCATTCATAAACAAGCCGGCCTGTCATCAAGTAAACACTCACGCACACATTCACATGGCTTTGTAAACACTACTATAAACGCACACGGTGCGTGTGGCATCCGCGAAAGAATACACTATACTTTCATCGTTGTTCTGCACTTGTCATAAGGATTTGATCACAACAAACTCCACACGGTTAAATTAAATAACGTAAGCTGGTTCAATGGCAATATGAAAGCAAGACAATGCTCTTAAGCGACCACCCACGTACGGAAGGAGACTGCTCGGGGAGGGAGTCGAAGCTTTGGTGGGAGGTGGATGGGGAGGAGGACGCCATTGCAGCCGCAGCTGGCCGTTTGTGAGTCGGCGGAGGAGAGAGACATTACCAAAGTGAACAATGTCGACTGGCTTTCAGGGATTTCCCTGGCTCGGCTCTCTCTTCTGGGGCTGTGGTGTGGAAACAGAGGAGTAAGATGGACGTTTTATCCCCGTCGAGAGTGAAAATGTGGAGCCGCAGCGCTGAGCCTAAGCAGGTCAAAAAAAAAAGAGCCGAGTTTCAGGGGGGACAATGGGGGAAAGTTTTGGCTAACTAACGGTAGTTTTAGCTAATGTTAGCGTTACCGCTAACTCACCGTGCTGCACCTTCTTCACATGTGCAAGATGCAGTTTTATTTTGTATTTTTTTTACTTCCATATTCACGCTAAATCAAAAGGTTAACACTAACAGGGAAACAAAATAGTGAGCTTTAACAACAATTACGCTTTTCCGATGCGAAATAATGTGCAAAGATAATGCTTTCCACTAGTGAAAGGCTTTAACTGTGACCGAAGACTGTTTAATAGTGAAAAGTTTACCCTGGCTGTAAACAGTCTTTTAACGTGGTGAAATCTAGTGTTCAAATCCTCTATAGTTTTTTAAAACTGCAGTAAATTGTTGCTGGAGTTATTGTTATACATTAGTAGAGTTATATTGCTAGTACATAAACACGTATGGTGGGAGGTGGTACAGTAACCAGTGTTTGTTAGTTTTATTTCTGACATTCTTTTTCACCTGTAAACATTTACTTTTGTACTTTGAACCTTAATGTGAAACGTGTGTGTACCACTTTACTTAAAGCCGTCACTATTTAGTATTCATATGTAGCATACATATTTTATAAATATGTAAAATTTGTACCATGGAGCAAAATTTGGGCAAATCCAGGTAACTCCAGAGTTTAGCCTCGACTGTGAAGGCAGTTCACTTCTTACTGCGGTATATCCCCGTGGATGAGCTGCAGTCCTAACCTGTTCTAGATGAGGTTATGATCAAGATTAGACCTCAACCACGTCCTGTCCAGTTAGTTCTCTGGAATATATCACGCCAAGAGGAGTGATATCTACTACCTACTAGCACAAAGGGTGCTAGTAGGTAGTAGGAAGATCTGAGGTCTTTATCTTTCTCTAAAGACCATCTGTAATTAATATTTAGTCTTAGATGCATCTTTATTCTGTAATGTTAGTTTTCTCTGTTGGCTGTAAACAATTCTGCAACTTGTTGTTGTTGTTTTTGCTCTATAAGCATAAATATTTGATGTCAAACCAGGGCATCTGTTTGGGGATTGAACTTGGCTGTAGATTAGTTTGAATTCGTTTTTTTGCGTTTATTCTTTTCTCACAGAGCGTTAAACACTATTGATAGTTTGTCTGCAGCAGCTGTACTATGTGTTTAACCTCTGAAAATGACCTGTGCATGTTTTTGATTGCTCAGATGCTTCCAACGCTTTAGATTTGATAAATCCTGGATTGACTACTTCATGTTACCCTAAGCCCGAATCCTGTTGTTGGGCTAACTAAAGCCAGATAACAATATCCTGCGTATGTTATCAAACTTGCTTCATAGTACAGGTCCCTGGTCTTTGTTATTAGTTTTTGTGCTGCAGAAAATAGTAAAATCCATGAGTTGAGTTCCAGCTGCATGAATGTAGATTGAGGGTTGAAGGGTTGTTTTTCGCTGTAATTCATGATATTGTTTTGTTTTTTTCTTTGTCTTAGTTTGGCAATTTATTTTGTCTAATAATGCCTTCTCCTCAGCAGTCCCCCACCATTCCTTCACCAGTCCGGTGGCCCAGCTTCTCACCATGAACACGAGCAGGAACTGTACCACAGTGGGGAATGGCGAGGGTCTGGCTGCCCTGGAGTCAGTCTCCATTGTGACCATCACGCTGCTCGCCTGCCTCGGGAACTTTCTGATTGTGGCAACCCTTTATCGCAGGCCTTATCTGCTCACACCCAGCAACAAGTTTGTGTTCAGCCTGACTCTATCCAACCTGCTGCTGTCCGTGCTGGTGCTACCGTTTGTAGCTGTGAGCTCAGCAAAGAGAGAGTGGATGTTTGGGGTGGTGTGGTGCAACTTCACCGCCCTGCTCTATCTCCTCATCAGCTCTGCCAGCATGCTTACCCTTGGAGCTATCGCTATCGACAGGTTAGTGCCAGATTATACTGTATTATATTGTAGCCCTATAATCAATCTAAGCATTTAACTTGAATTCTTTTAAAAAGTGAGCCCTTACACTGACATTAGGACATATGGTTCCCTCCAGCGGAGAACCTGTAGCCCATTTTTGGTCTCTGCTAATTTCTGAGAAAGATTTAGCTGATTAATGCATCGCTATATTATTAATTTATCCCAGATGTTGGGAGATTCTGGCATCAAATGGACTAGAGCATGAAATTTAGTGTTGCTTTAAGTCCTGAAGCTGAACGTAACCAAGACAGTAAAGTTACAGTAAGCATAGGAAACTGAAGGTTAGCAATTTTCCACTTCAAGCTCAGATGAATGTTATGCTGAATAAAGTTTTAAAAAATGCTCTTGGTGCATTTCCCTCTAACGTCACACTCTTGTAAATAAGAGAGGTTAACCACAGACTTAATTTGTGGTATTTTCCTGTAGATTTCTCTGATCAGGTGATGAGCATGGGCTTAAATGCTTGAACTTTAAATGCCTGCTTAAACAAATACATGGAATAAAGCCAGTAAACATATTGCACAAAATTTATAGACAAAAAGTTATAGATATTTTAAGGCACTTTATTTATTCCAACAACAAAAAAACATCTTTGATATTTGGGGTTTCCTAGTTTTCATTTTCTGGTTCCAGTTTTTAGACTCGATCGTATTTTGCCAATATTTTGTGCAAGTACTTTGTGTAATAACAAACTCAAATGGTTATTCAGACACAAAGTTCAGTTTATTTTGCTTTGCTTGTAAGAAGGGGAGAATTGTTAATTAATTTTGGTAATCAAAAAATATACAGTAACATACGATACCATCTCAGAAAATGTCCTTCCAGCCCCATTATTTGTCCATCAAACATTCCCCGGCTGTGAGGTTTTCTCTATGTATCCATGTTTTGTTTGATTGCAAATTTAAATTCTTTGGGTTGTGGCTTATTTGTTCAGAAAACCATGCAATTAGGAGACACCTTTGGGACTCGAGGAAATTGTTAGCAGCTGTTCTGTTGTTTTCCTAAATGCTAGAAAACGCCTGAAATGATTAATCTGATGTTCAGACCAATAATCAACAATTGAATGACTTTTGAGATTAACACTAAAGTTTCAGCACTTATAATAACTTCTTATCCACATGCACTGCCTTTCAGATTTTCTGGAGCTACTTTTAAACCGCTGCAGTTGAATACTGTTTTAATTCTGTTGGGTGTCGCAGAGCTACCGAGAGCTACTGTAAATTTTCTGTGTAGCGCACAGTTCCTGCTGTTCTCACTGCTCACCTAATTATCCTCAGCATCCTTTGGGAATTTTAGATTACAGAGCCTGTTTTTGTTCTTCTGCCAAGCCCGTCTGTTCTCTTCTGTTTGCAGCTTTTAGGAAAACATTTCACAGGATTGTCGGGGAGAGAGAAAAGTGCAGCTTTTAGCTTTTGTATCACTGACTCCAATCTCAGCAGCCTGTGTGCTAGTCTGATCAAAAGTCTCCCTGGAGGACGGTGTTGAGTTCCTGTTGTGCAGATTTCTTCATCGTGCTCATGTCTCCTCACAACAGGTACTACGCCGTGCTCTACCCGATGATCTACCCCATGAAGATCACAGGCAACCGGGCGGTTGTCGTCATCGCCTACGTGTGGTTTCACTCGTTGGTAGGCTGCCTGCCTCCTCTGTTCGGCTGGTCCTCCTTTGAGTTCGACTGCTTCAAGTGGACGTGCGTGGCGTCGTGGCACAGAGAGCCGAGCTACACGGCCTTCTGGGTCACCTGGTGCATCCTCCCACCCTTCTTCATTATGTTGGCGTGTTACGGTGTCATTTTCCGCGTAGCCCGCATGAAAGCCCGCAAAGTTCACTGTGGGACTGTTGTTGTGGCCCAGGACGACTCCACTGGAGCCCAGAGGAACGGGCGTAAGAACTCGAGCACCTCGACTTCCTCTAATGGAAGTCGGCGGAGCCTCGTGTACGCAGGGAGTCAGTGCAAGGCTTTAGTCACCATCTTAGTGGTGATTGGCACCTTCCTCATGACCTGGGGGCCATACGTTGGGGTGGTGGGCACTGAGGCCTTGTGGGGTCAGGGCAGCGTGTCTCAGTGGGTGGAGACTCTGGTAGCGTGGCTGTCTTTCTGCAGCGCGGTGTGCCACCCACTCATCTATGGCCTGTGGAATAAAACGGTGAGGAAGGAGCTGCTGGGGATGTGCTTTGGAGATCGGTACTACAGAGAGTCGTTTGCCACGCGCCAAAGGACGTCCCGCCTCTTCAGCATCTCCAACAGAATCACAGGTGGGACTATAGCTGGGGCTCTCTGTGTCATGCAGATGTGTGTGTATGTTGCTGGTTTTATCTTTAGTAAATGCATAAGGCTGGTTTAGATTTATATTCCTGCGGGATGTGATGATCTCATGAGAATTTGTGTTTTCAGACTTGGGGATGTCCCCACACCTGACTGCCATGCTCGCGGGTGGAGGACAGCTGTTGGCCCCAGGAAGCAGCACAGGAGACACTGGCTTCAGTTTCACTCAGGACTCATGTAAGTTGCACACGGAAAGGGGGAAATAATTGCTTCATATCAAAAACTCCAAGCAATCCTCAAGTGCTGCCAAGAGCATGCCAAAGCAACAGGTGGCGATATAACCCTAAGCGTGAAGAAATGTACTATGTACTAATAAAAACGGTGCACAGTCTGATGTCCACATTTAAGTGCAGAAACTAAGATTTTGGAAAAACTTCATCCTGGCAGGAGTTTTTCAGTGGTCGAAAGGCAAATACACAGAAAAGCCATATTTACCAAAACACCCATGTACGTGTAGATGTAGCACAAGCTGTCTTACCATTGTGTCCATTTTTAATTTATTTATTTATTTTTACAAACAGGACATGATATTAGTGCATCTAATTAAAATTCATACATTTCCGAACCTGATCTTTCAGCAGCTCCTCTGTTTTCTTTTTTGCCTGCGTTGTGAGCTTTTGTATCCACAACACTGTTGTTTCAATTCGTTTTTATAGGGAGTTGACTAACTTCAATAATCATTGCAGAAAAATTATAAGTGTATGAAAAATTTAAATTTAGTAAAAAAAAAAAACCCTGCATATTATCATGCATGTCTATTAGTCCAGGGGTGCTGGAGCCTATTTCACCTGCCAAAGGGTCAAAAGGTTGGGTAGACCCTGGATGCAGATGAGGATCTGAAAAAAATGACAATTTGTCATGTGTACCTTATTATTATCTCTTCTATGTAGACTTTACAGATCCCCAACCCTGAGACTGAGGCAGTTTGATGATTGTAGGATTATCGTGTATTTTATCCCTACAGACTCATGAATAAAATGAAACATCCCTCAAAAGGTTGATTCTGTTCATCTGGACGTAGAATTTTTCAGTGGGAGAAAGGTTTCGTCACTCATCCAAGTGACTTCTTCAGTCTCAGCTGACTGCAGGTTACCCCAATCTTATAAACAGTACATTTGCATAATGATTGAAACTAGCACCACTGAAGGAACAATGGGCTGGGAGGTCTGTTCCATGATCATTAATATGTAAATTCTCATGACCATTGATCAACAACTACTGATCAAAGACCAATGCACTGTTTATAAGGTTGGTCAAAATGTCAAAAGTGTTTGATTGGCCACCATAATCTGCTTAAGTTTTTAAGATGACAGAAAAACTGAAGGTATTCTGAAAGTTAAGAATATTTACATTTTTCCAGCAGCATTTGACAGCTAATCGAGCAGTTGAGATTCTTCATAAACATACAGCATTGTCACACAGTCATCAGCCTACAGAAACTTACCAGACCGTGGAGTTTGTTAAAAGAGCTCTTTCCTGCAGCAGACCGAAACACAGTGAATCACTGCTGTTTGGCTTCAAATAGAATTGAAAGCATGTTCCTATGGGTGAAATCCCTTCAGCGCCTGGTCGTTTGTTTCAGAATACTTTCGCTCTAGAAAAAAATGCTACATAAATACCTTTTCATTTAAGAACATACTGAGGGCTTATTGAGAACTTTTTGTCCAATTATGCCAAAAACATGCTGCATCGCCTAACTTTGATTTAGAATTTATGCGTTTCTAGAAAGAAAAGCAGCACTTTTTTTTTTCTCAATTTTTTTCTACAGTTAAGTTTAAAATTAAAAGAGAACAAAGCTGTAAAGATGAAGTTTGAAAGCCTTACAAACCTTACTGCATCATACACCTCTTTGTTGGGCAGCCTTTTTGTTTTCCAGCTCATGTTTTTAACTGATCCTGTAGGGAGGGCAAGTGGTGTCATGTTCAACACAAACAAATGTCTTGTGATCCACCTTTGTGTGTACATTTGTGGCCATATGGTATGAAGATGACTTTTACTGCAACTTTCCTGCAATCTCTGTTAAGTTCTGCTTGCAGTTAACTTGCAATGATCCTCTTTATTTTCCTACACAGGCACAGATGTGATGCTGCTGGATAACTTCTCCACAGATGGCTCCTCCCTCGCGCAGCACCACGGGCCTCCGTCCGGGAAAAGGAGGAGCTCAGTCACCTTTGAAGACCAGGTGGAGCATTCCAAAGGTATCCGTCATTCATTTCCCGCTTCTACAGAAGATTAGAGAGCAGGGAAAATACCTTAGACTTCACATGATACACAAATGACCAAAAAAGAAAAGAAAAGGGACCAGGCAAGAGAATTGTTTACTGTAGCTTGTGTTTACCAAAGCTTTGACTGATGTCTGTTGATTTCCCCAGCTGAAAACACATCCTCAGTCCAGATCCACGCAGAGGTGCACAAATCTCTCGACATGTTCGCCTCCTGCTTGGCGAAAGCCATAGAGAGCGATGCTAAGCTCACCCTGTTTGGGGAGAGTTCAGCTCTGTCAGCAGGACTCCTCACAGCGAGGGCCGCACCGAGGCCCAGATACCTGGAAGGCCAGAGACTGAGGCTGGAGAGTATTGATGAAGGGATCGTTAAGGATGACAGAGGTGAAGAAGAGCAGGATGGAGAGGAGAAACCCACCTGAACAGCAGCTTTCCCACTCTTGACTAGGGATGGGTACCGGTGTTCTGACGTAAACGGTAGTAACCAGACCGAAAAGCAGCGCACATTTCAGTGCTTTATTTCGGTGCTTTTTTTTCCTGAGCTGTGATACACTTTAGATTCTAGCCAATCATTTTACGTTTCCGAGGATAGTAGGCGGGGCCAGGTACGTACGTTCTTTTAGAGCAGAGCTACAGATTAAAATGTCCAAGGCGAAGCAGTCAAAAGTCTGGCTGTACTTCACAGCAAAATATGCAAACTCAGCAGCCTGCAACAAGTGCTTCAAGCTGATACTGTGATACTGTCAAAGGAGGTAACACCTCAATCCGATGAAACAGCTGGCGACGCATAGAGGTTTTTTTTTTAAAAGCTGAGAAATGCGCCGTATTTGATAGCTTGCTGCGAGACCTCACACCGAGCGCATCTACTGCGGGTGTGGTGCCTGTTATCAGACCCGGAGTTAGCAACATCCCCAAAAACACGAAGAGGAGAGTCCTGGCCCCTAGCCCTGCCAGTGTAGCAGAAATGATGACGGATGATGATGCAGCAGCAGCCGTTCTTCTCTGCGTGAGTAGCTTAATGTTGTTCGTATGTAATTTACGTTGAGTAGGCTAACCACGTTATTACATGAATGCAGGTAAGGTGAACTAGCAAACAGCGTCGTAGTTACATGCGGCTGTCTTCTTGTTTGATGGCAGATACTCCCTTCACCCTGGCCAAAAAGGCTAAAATGACCAAAGAAAAAGAGGGAAACAGCTGAACATGAGAGGTTTTTGGACAAAGTTTGTGTTTTTTCCATTGTTTAAGCTCTGCTTCCAGCCAAGAGTGATACCATATATGCCCCATAGCTGCAGAAAAGGCTGTTATCTTTTTATAAAAAACAGCTGAACATGAGAGGTTTTTGGACCAATTTTGTGTTCTCCATTCTTTAAGCACCGTTCGAGCACCAACACCGTTTCAAAAGTACCGATTTGGCACCAGTATCGGATAAAACCTAAACGATACCCATCCCTACTCTTGACACTGTTACAGAGCTCTGTGGTACCGCTGATGAAGTCTGCCCTCTTTACATGTGGATACTCCTTACTTGAAATTATTAGCGAACAGGAAGAGGCACGTTATTCATTCTACGATGTTGGACCCAGTGCATAGCATCAAATCTAATAGGAAGCCTTAACTACTGTAACTTCATTGGTCTGATCATTTTATTAACTTCTGCTATAATATATATTATGTTATTGTATGTTTTTAAGCTTAATAAGAAAAATTGCCTCAGTGGGCAAAATGAAAAAAAAATAAAAAAAATAACAGCATCTTTTGACAGATTAGCTCTTTCAGGTAGAATTTCTCTCCTAACATTGCACTCAGTAAATCCTCACTACAGGTTTTCCACTCACTGTGGAGAATTAGACTGTGAGGTACGTGTTTACTCAACGCAGGACAACCTGCACCTTTGTCACTCTTACTGGTACAGGATGAACTCCAGTAATTTGAATTTGCATGGGAAAGAGTCATTTTCAATATTATTATTATCACCGTCACTTTGCCTCCTGCAACAGTGAAGTTTTACTGATTTCAGAGGCATCACTGGTAGATTGGACAAAGGAGTCGTTGAAATGGCTTTAGTTTGCAGATCAAAGTGAAATTAAGTTAGACTGAACAGCTGTTCTGTGTTCTAGTAGCTGCAGTTTCAACAGAGTCAAGACACTTGGTATAACAACATTTACACACTTCTAAATGACCCAATTAATATGTGCACATTCCAGTGACAATGGGATGCAGTTTGCATTTTGTTCAGTGATGTTAGTAAAGGTACGGCATAACACTTTGCATATATGAACATATTCTGCCAGCAAAAAATCTAAAATGTCTGTTAATATCTGTAGTATGAATAAGGTGCCTGCTGTAAGCACGGCTGGAGGCCTGGTATTTCATGATACGTGCGACTGTGGGCAAACAGAGTTATTGCACTTAAACACACAATGGGTACTCTTTCACTGCAGTTTCTTATCAGTGAAGACCGAATGAGCTAACAAGAAATGGAGATCATAGGAAAATGAAGTCCAGAATCAATAATCGATCTTGTTGATGTCAGAAATGTTGTGTGTTTAGTGTTGAATCAGGAAACCTGAGCATAGGGAATATTCATTGGTACACTGGGTTGTACCTCATCTTATACACTCTCTGTATTAGGAGACAATTTTTTTTTATACATAGAGCCCAGTTGTGGTGCTTCAGTCTTACCTCGTATGTTGAACAGGTATTATGTTGTAAGAAAAAAAAGTACACCTGAGTGATGTAACCTTTCATATACAGTAAGTGTTAATACAAATGTTGCATTAAATTTAGTTTTTACATAAAACATCGTTTGAATTCTTTGTCTGGCTGTGAATGAGAGCTGAAGCCAAACAGCAACCAAAACATTGAATCACTGAGCTGTTGTTTTCTTGTTCTTCAAACAAGCCGCACAGTCAGCATCACCTACAGCGTGTTGACAGCTTGTTACCTGGATCATAAAATACTTTATGCTGCAGGGAAGAATAAAAGCTGATACCCCAAACCTCAAGACATCAGTAACATAGTTATCACCTCTATAAATGTGAAATGACTTTAACGAAAATGTTCAATGTGTTTCTTCCTTAAAGAAAAAGTTCTTGTTTGAGCCCCAGATTGGGCCTAAGGTGAAAGAACTCTTGGTCTTCTTTCCAAAATGAGCTAAATCTGCACTCGTCTCATCAGGCAGCCAGGGTAATCTTTGGCTCTGATTTCACTTAATACATGTCAACTTCTGTTTCACTCTGTTTTAATCACTGGTAAATTATTGCCAAGTTAAATCCCATTGAGTTACGCTCTGAACTGGAAATTATTATCATGTACTTATTTCATCACAGTGGATACGTAATTGTATTTTACTGTCTAAGCAAAAATGTCCTTGGAACATCTGCAGGTTTTCAGACCACTGCTGCGAGGCTTCTCACTACATATCCAAGTTCTCATGTCACACATTGCTCTGCCAGCTACACTGGTCCCATTGATCAGAATCTGCTTTTCACTTTAGAGCTCTTCACAGACCAGCACCTGTCCACCTTTACACCCCATACCTGCCCAGCAGGATGCATGGAGGTAAAGGAGGCCCCCCAGAACACTCTGCTTCTGAGCTTGAGATCTGGGACTCTGTGGTCTCACTTTTAGACTGAGGTGGGTAATTTTTTATGTTGATTTGTTGTTAAGCGCTTGTGATGTTTATCTCAAAAGGTGCTATAGAATGAATCACTTTGACGAGTCACAGGGATTGCTTGTCCAAACACTGGTTCACTTTTAAGTGATTTCCACAGGAAACTGGGTTTGGACCAACAGAGCAGCTGTTCAGTAGAACTGTATGACACAGGTTTGACCCAAGAGCAGCTGCTCTGTACACCCACAACAGCTGTCAGTATCTGTCAGCAGGTGCCGTCTGTTGCTGAAGTCAAACACTTAGTCTAAATTTTCCATCCAAACCCAAGTGCAGATATATTTGAGATACCATTTGGCTTTATTTTTTCCAGGTTTTGTAAAACATATTTTTGGGGAGAAGATCCACAGCTTTCTTCCCCCGCCCCCCTTTCTTCTTCTTCTTCTTCTTTATCAACAAGAAAATTAAAGCATCCGTGTTTTACTTTATGTCTGTATTCACATGCGTAACTGCCGGAGCAGCACATCAACATTTCTCAGCTGTGCTACAGTTTCAAAAACGTCAAACGTTAACACTGATCAAAGCTCACCTTCTCCTAACAAAATAATATTGCACTTAAACTTTCACACCAGCCACCACTTTTCCTCACACTTATATTTTGACGTCCTTGCCTTTACATTCACACAAATATAGTTTATCCTCATACAGACACATCAGTAAGAAAGTCTTCTTAAAAAACACAAGGGGCTAGAAATTACACTAATTTTCAAAAGGAAGTTTTTCTACACTATACTTGTACAAATCTCGGGTATTTTTCAAGTGCTATACAGCAAGAAGAAATAGTGTTTATTTTAAAATAAAATTCCAGCTGGCTACTGCTCGTCCTCGTTTTCCTGGCCTGAGCCTTCGGAGCGATCGCCTTCTACTCGATCTGCAAAGAGGAAGAGGCAAATATTAAAGAGAGGCTGAGATTGGTCTAACAAAAACAGCGTGCTACATGTGTGTGTGTGTGTGTTGTGTGTGTTGTGTGTGTGTGTGTGTGTGTGGTGTGTGTGTGTGTGTGTGTGTGTGTGTGTGTACCTGATCTGATGTGGTTGAGGGAGGCCAACATTCGAAGCATGAAAGAGGCCGGGACTGTGATCGTGTTTCTCGTTTCCTCCAACATCAGCTCATTCCGAGTGATGACCTTGACGAGAAGAGAAGAAGAAAGGTTTTACGGTGGGTTTGGTTTTTTTTTCTTTTCTTTTCTGTGGGTTGACTCTACCTCCTCAGCGAGGACTCTGTTGAAAGACGCGATGCTTCTCAGTGGCGA